AGGTAACGAAAGCGATAAGGAGGCTAAAGAATGGTAAAGCTCCTGGCATAGACGGTATACCCGCGGAAGTTTGGAAATATGGCGGCGATACCATACAACTAGTACTCTTCCAGTTGCTGCGCAAGGTTTGGTCAATGGAAAGACAGCCACAGGAATGGAATGTAGGTATCATTTGCCCCGTCCACAAAAAAGGCTGCAAAAAGACTTGCGCTAACTACCGAGGGATAGCCCTGCTACCGACAGCGTATAAAGTGTTATCTTACATACTCCTGGATCGACTCGAACCTTATGCGGAACAAATCATAGGTGATTATCAGTGTGGGTTTAGAGGAAATCGCAGCACAGTTGACCAAATTTTTCTTCTGAAGCAACTGATGGAGAAAAAATGGGAGTACGCTCAGGGTATACACTCACTTTTTGTCGATTTTTGCAAAGCCTACGACAGCATTGATAGAGAATCGCTTTATTCCATACTAGTCGATTTTAGAATCCCCGAAAAACTCATTACTCTACTGAAAGTTGCTACAAAAACCAGTAGGATGCGCGTCAGGATAGAGGGGGATCTAACAGAAGAGTTCGACGTGGTAACCGGGCTTAAACAAGGAGATGCGCTAAGTCCAATGCTGTTCAATCTTGCACTAGAACATGTCATTCGCAAAGTAATGGCACTCGACATAGGTGTGCGGATGAACGGACAGCATAAGGTAATTGGATATGCGGATGACATGGCCCTCCTAGGGCAAACGAAACGAGAGGTGGAGCTGTCTGCACAAACTCTCGCCACCGAAGCTGCAAGAATAGGTCTCAGAATCAACTGCGAGAAAACTGAATATCTCCACATGAAGCGCTATAAAAATACAAGACAGAAACGCGATGATCTTCGAATTGGAGATATGAAGTTTAAAGGCGCCGCTAAATTTAAGTACCTCGGATGCACTATAACGGACACAAATACACGGGCTGAGGAAATAGACATCCGAATTCAAAACGCCCTCCGTTGTAGTGCGGCTCTCCACAAGGTGTTAGTGTCTAAATTGCTGACCAGGACTACAAAGATAAAGATTTATAAAACAGTCATTAGACCGATCCTTCTAAACGGCTGCGAAACGTGGACGCTAACACTCAAAGATGAGGAAAAGCTTTTAGTGACAGAACGCAAAATACTGCGGAAGATTCTGGGACCGACACAGAAGGAAGACGGTAGCTGGCGGCCGCGAAAGAACGAGGAGATCGAAAAGCTGTTTGCCGCCCCTAACATCATGGGAGAAGCTCGAGCTCAAAGACTCCGCTGGACCGGCCACGTCGAAAGAATGGAAGAGCACCGAAGCGTCAAGAAGGCGTATCTCGGAATCCCGAACGGCCGCCGACCCGTTGGCCGGCCCAAATACCGCTGGAAAGACGCCGTTGAGCTTGACCTGGTGGAACTCGGTGTCTCCGAGTGGCGAACCGTGACGCAGGATCGGCGGAAGTGGCGTTCTCTTGTTGTGAAGGCCAAGACCCACTTTGGGTCGCTGCGCCAGCGGAGTAAGTAAGTAGTAAAGTATAAAGTTGCTACAATGCTGAGAGGGTGCTTTTCAAATGTATTATTACTCAAATTTATCGCTTGGACATTTCTGAACAGATACTTTATCAAAAGAAATATTTGCAATGACGGCCGATATAAAATATACTATAGGATGATGTAATACGCTTACCACACTCCTAACGCCACTTTGACTGACGTGGGCGAGCCTTAGGCATCCACACCATCAATTAAAAAATGTATAGATACACATACATACAAGTTGTGTCAGCGACTTCGCCCGCTTGGAATTGTTATTTTGGGTATCCAAATTTATTTGACGCCGGTCGCGTCGCTCTTGTAAGTTAATCTTAAAACATACAACATATGCAACATACGCCGTTGTTTCTTCGCTCCTATTAGTAATATCGCGATGTTTTATCTAGCCTATAGCCTTCCTCGATAAATGCTCTACCCAACACAAAAATATTTTTTCAATTCAAACCAGTAGTTCCTGAAACTAGCGCGGTCAAACAAACAAATTCTTCAGCTTTATATATTAGTATAGATATATATATCCTACTATATAGTACTTATCTTAAATTACCTAACGATTAAAAATGTTGACCAATGTTAAATTTAAACGTTCGGAATTCCACAGACTGAAACCAAAAGATTCGCGATGCTTTCTTCTGTGGACAGTGGTGGGGAAAAACGGGAAGAATTATTCTATATCTTTGAGGGATTCCGTGCGCTGCGCAAATGGGTAAAGTTATCCAAAAAATATGTTTAAAGAATTATTCATCTTTAAATTATTTTTTTAAATGTATAAAGAAGATTATCTAACATTGACTTGCAAGAACGACGGGACGCAATCAACGTCGTGGGTAACAGCTATAGTTTGACAACAACAACAAGATGAGGAGGTTTAAAAAAAAACTAATTTTGATGCCAAAAACAACTATTCTAAGAGAACGAAGCCGCTGACAAAAGAACGTTTGCCAGTTCAGCTAGCTACAATATATGTCATCTAGTGCATCATACTTATTCATAGTACACTTGTTACACCAAGTTCCCCTCTTCCTATGGTGCCAATAATATGCGACACAGCCACCGAATTTCCCCGGAGCGCAATCCACAACAAGGCACGAAGAAGAATAACCGAGTGAATGCAAAATGAAAATTATCATACAAATTTCCCTTCTTATATGAACGGCGTAACTGTCGCGACGTAAGCACGCAAAGATATGACGCTCCGCCCTACTAAAGTATAATATTTGTATTGTCGTTCTTTTAAGTAGCGGGAGCTATTTGAACAAGATTACTGTTAAAAAGAGTAACATTTTTACACGCGTAAGAAAGATGACGTGACCATAACATTATTATTTTAATTAATTGAATAGAAAAACGCGAGGACGCGCTAATACATAAATGCAAGTCACAATAGTCGTATAAAAGTTTAAATACACCTACTCTTACTGTTAGGGTTCAAACTATTTGGACTATTAACTTGGACTATCGCCGTCCGCAGAGAATAAAATTAGCACTGGGCGTTAATGATCTTTGATAAAGAGCAATTCTCTATTTAGTATCTTCGCATTGCGTCAAATACACCACGTTTTTAATGTAGACAATAAGTTATTTATATAAATCACTTTTTATTCAAACGCGAAATGTTTTAGTTAACTTATGTTTAAGTTAATTTAATTACGGCCTAACGCTTTGATCCTCCCGTGACTGCTAGTGAATGAAAGCATCACATTTTATTTAAATGTGTATTACACTATTAAACTACAGACAATACGTAATATGTTAGACAAAGTAAATCACAGTATAAATAAATAATGTCGATTCGTCTCTCTGTTTATTTAATGTGTAGTAATTTATTTTTCTTTTAAACAAATTTACGATCATTCGAGTATACCTTAATTCACCTTCCGCCTCTTCCTACACACAACTATCATATATTACAAGACTATAACATTTACACAAAAAGATAAGTAAAATTAAATACTGTCTATAGTTTACGCGAGTAGTACACATTTAAATAAAACACTTTAACGGTTTAAAACGCGATATACTAGTTACCCCGGTCTTCCCGTGCTGCAAAGCATCCGAAACGTCGGGCCGAAGTTACAAATCATTTTCAAATAAGTTTAACTAATATATCGCGTTTTAAACCGTTAAAGTGTAAAAATTTAAATACGTAAAATTACCCGTTGATACGACCTGACTGCCCGTCAAAGGACATCATGGTATAACTTAGCGATTGGTTGATTACACTTGAGATCAATCCATGGGGTGGAGATGCGATAAGTCAAGAAGAAAAACCTATCAGCACCATATTGCATACATAAACGGTAATATAATAAAAACAAAAGACTATCAGCTATATATCTAAACAAGATGCGCTGTGGGCCTATTATGGCTTGCATCGAATAAAAGTCTGTACGTTGATTTTATGATACCATCGCGTGCAAAAGCCGACGGTAGACCAGACACCACCGTCAGAATTCCCCTTTTTTTCTTTTCTTTTATAACCGGCTGTGTAAATGCCTAATGCACGCCCACTTCGAGCAAGCGTGACGTGGGGAGTGTGGTAAATCGTATAGCCAGAACCACTAAACACACCACCAGGGCTCCTTACGGTGCTTAGAGGGAGCCCTGGGAACACGTTTGTACGACTCCAAAGCATCGTCAGAATTCCCCTACAAAAACAGAACAACTTTCTTTTTTTTATTCAACACCTGTCAAGGGTCGTAAACAGTCTCTCCATATTTTTTTCTGTTCCAGGATAAAACTATTTAAATGAAACACACAATTAATTAAATGCATTTAATAAACATTATCAATATAAAATATTTAAATTTCTTATTATAAATGCATTAAACAATGGAATTGTTAGTTGTATAATAAAATAATATTGTTACCTATAACTTATTATCAATATAAGATTCTCACAGATTCAAGGAATTTATTAGCTTTGGTATTACACTAAAATTACTTACAGACTATGTTAAGTAATTATTAATTATTGCCGACAAATATTATAAGCTAAGAGATTTGAACTGATAACACTAAGTTAAATTTGACGTATTATTAAAATAGTTTATAAAATAAAAATATATGCTGAATTACTACAAATTAAACTAGTATATTATGCGTTTTAAACCGTTAAAAAAGTTTTAATTTGTCTTCCAAAGGATTGAATTACTTTTCTACATACTTTATATTTCATACGCGATTGATCCTACAACAACGCCCATATTGACAAAATTAGGGGAAGCAGGGATTGTGGCTACTTAAGGTCAAAGAAATCTAAAAAAATACTATTATTTTGTCCGTGCGTCAGTTCTTTTATGAAGTTATTATATTTTAAAAAGCTACAATAAACAGCTGCGAATATTTCTATTGGCAATTCAAAATAGGCAGTCACATACAATAAAATAGACGGTAGTCGTATATTTCATGTTAGACAACCCCGCTAGATGGCGCTGAACTAAAACTCGTCGTGTCTCGCGAGTGCCTCTCCAAAGTCAGTGGCCTGGGAGCCGACGAATAAGTCGTATTTATCTAAAATCTCGTCTTTAGTCAGCTTTTCATCCGCGTCACCATCCGCTTCGAAGACTAAGTGGCGCGCTTCTGCCTCCGCATGATCGAATTCTGGTGGGGCTATCCAGTCCTTTACTTCCACCTCGTCCATATAACCGTCTTTGTTAGTGTCTCTGAAAGATTTTGTACAGTCATAAGGAATTAATATACTTTCCTCGCATACACATAAAGAGGCCGTGAAACATATCACATGAATTTTAACTGTGTACTCAAAACACAAGCCATTGAATTTTGACACACCTTTTATGTTTAAATAAAACACTTTAACGGTTTAAAACACGATATATTAGTTAAACTTATTTAAAAATTATTTTTACTTCGGCCTGACGTTTCAGATGCTTTGCAGCAGCCGTGGTCACGGGGAGACACGGCTGCTGCAAAGCATCGCGCTTTAAGCCGTTAAAGTGTTTTATTTAAATGTGTACTACTCGCGTAAACTATAGACAGATGTTTTTGTCATTTTGAAAAATTATTCCTGAGTTATAACTGTTATACTCGACCGTTTTAATGAAATACGGTCACAATAAACCAAGCAATATTATATTAAAATTAACGTGATAAGCCTCAAGGCACTCTGTATATAATCAGATAATGTTAATAAAAACTTAACTCTGCCAACGGCTTGTGTAAATTAAATGATTAGAGCAGAATGGCGTAATACCTGTAACCGGTGAACTGTTCTCGCTCTTGTTTGACCCAATCAGGCTCATCATCCATGCTCTCGCCTTCTTCAGCCTTGTACATATCACCAATGTATTCTTCGAGGGAAACCTTTCCGTCCTGTTCAGAAATAATATTTATTGTACTAAAGCGCAGAATTTTATCAGGTTAAAAGTTCCACATGGTAATCAAGACGGACTCGTTTGTGTAATGCTAATAATCAACGGGTAGTGATTACGAAAGTGAGTCCAAAATTTTTCAAATCAATTTATAGTTTTTCTGAAACACGTTGGACTTCGTCTGAAAATCTGGCTATTAAAAGGGGGGGTAGGAATACCGACATTCCGTCCACTGACCACAGATGAAGAAGCCGTGAAGTTTAATCACGTTTCGGTTTCAGTCTGTGGGCTTCTAATAAGTCGCCAGCGCATCTTATTTAGATGCTATACGCTGGGGTATTACACCTACTATTAAGTGAAGCTTGTCTGTCGCCTTTGTTATAAAATAAGGACAACAAACCTTATCCTTATCTATATCTTCTAAAGTCTCAAGAACGACAACATCCCTCATTCCTGTATGGTCCTCTGGATGTAAGAAAGATGCAAACTCGGTCCTATTTAAAGCATCATCTTGGTCTCCGTCTGAAAATAAATAGAGCCAAAAATAGAGGTCAACAATGCATGTTCTTGAAATGTTATATGACAAAATACTTTTGTACATTTGAACACATATGATCTCCATGTCTATCCTCTATCAAAAGCACTAGATGTACTCCAATACATATGTACAAACTTACCAGCATAATGCCATCTCCTACGGTCTCTCTTCATCAAGTTGGTGTAGGCAAAACCTTCTGTGTTCGACTTCAGCTCACTGGGAGTCATTTCATCCATAAATCCATATACATTCTTTCTGTATTCCTAAATGTACACAAATAACTTTAATTCATAACTTTGGATGCAAATAAAATAATTAAAATTAATTAGCATATGAAAAAATTACAGTAATTTCTGACTAGCAATTTGGTAATATAAAAATGTGATGTATATATTTTAAGTTATATAATTAACAAATCAAGAGTCTGTAATTCCAAAGAATTAAAATTGCAAAATTTTATATAAGGATTTTTAAAATTTGATTTATTAATGGTAGGAATATTATTGTGGCTAGAGAGTCTTGTCTTAACAATCTAAAAAATTATATTAAAAATCTAAGAATGTTTTACAGAACAAACATATTTCTTGTTCAATAATTACCTCCCAACTTATCGATTCGGCATTTTCAGGATTATGCTGCTTCCAGTGCCTTTCCACATCTTCATCAATGTACCTTTTCTGCGTATAGCGTATCCAGTCTTTTAATTCCACTAAACTCACAAATCCATCTTTGTCAGTATCAATTTTGTCAACGATTATTCTGGAAATATAAATATGTACTGATAAAAAGTTCACTGTACCCAGATAAGCATAGTAACAAGTTACAAATATGAAATATTGTTTTATATGTGAGATTTAACCTTTACACTCAATGTAAGATTTTTAAAAGGGTTTCTAGGTGTTTTGTCATTTTGTATAATATATTAGTACAACAATTGAACCTTAATACACAAGAGTTAAGGTTGAAATTACACTGCGCGAGAGGTGCATGTATCAATAAGTTGAAAAAATTTGACGATGAGGTGTAGGACTTGGTAGCTCAATTGGTAGAGCAACAGCACAGAAAGCTGACGATGCCGGTTCAAGTCCTGCCAGAGTCGAAATTTTTTTCAATTTATTTTCGATTGTAAATAACAATATTATTATTAAATTAATATATTTCATTTGATTTAAGATTAAGCAATTATGCTGTGATTATTAAAATTTTACCTTCATAAAATATTTTAACCTACTTTAAGGTTAATACACACTTTGACACATAAAAAGCAGATTTTATTAGCATAACCCCTTGCAAAACACAAACCTGATTTAACTAACCTAGATTTTTCGCTAATCTCAATACTTATCATAGATTAGACTTAGGTAGCAGAATAAAATAAACATACCCTAATCTCCTCTTACTCTCTTCAGGCGGTAATTGGTCAAAGGTCTTAGCCTGATCCTCTCCCAGAAATGCATCATGATCGAATTGTTTATTGTGATGTTCATTCCTGTAGTGTTCAGCATCAGATAAGTGATCCATCAACCTTTTGGTCTCCTCTGGATTGGGAACACCAGCAAGCACTGCGGTGATTGCCACTGCTATACATAATGTGGATAGCATTATGACTGAAACCAGAAAATAAATAGTTTTGGTAACAAAACTCCGATCTCTATTTACCGGTTACCGGTGATGAATTTAATCGAAGAGAAAAGTAAAAATAAACTATCGCAGAAAAATAAATAATAATAACACTGGTATGAACGCTTAAGGAGAAATAACTTACTTGAATTATGCGATGAGTGGAAGCAAATGAATTGACTGTGATAAAATAATAATTACAATAATTGAACCCAGTTAGAACGGCCACGTCACCAAATAATACGCAAACTTCCTGCTTAGACTATAGACTTGACTGTTCCTTTGACTATTCCCGACGTCGGTAGCCCAAATCCCATGACACAATCCCACTTGTTTCCCGGTTAAATACAATGATGTATCATAGAGTCGACTTATATATAAATATTATATAGTCTATGTGACTGCAATTTTAAGAACCATAGACTATCAAGTGTATCTGTGGAATATTCGCTCTCCTAGAAAAGTATATTTTGTCTAATATAGGAGGGCGAATTTCACGATTACCAAGAGGGATGAGTTAGGATATAATTTTTATTAGTGTTATAAATTTCGTTAAAAGCGGACATTTCTCATTAAACCGTTATAACTAAATGAGTATTAAAAAATTGGTGTGGATGGTGGGACACAATTCGTCGTAAGAAAGGGCACCTTATTAACACACCCCACACGCCCCTATAGCTTGCCGTAGACTAGCTCACCCAAGGGCCGTCAGCCCGCCAACTAATTCCGCCAACTAAGAAGCCTCAGACGACTGTGATATGAGCTTATAGAATTAGACAAGCGTTTATTATTAATGTTGGAACGCATTCAAAACAAATTTGTCAGGCATTTGTACAAATTGTTAAAGAATGTATGAAGCATATCCATTTTATCTTTTAATGTATCCGACTCTTTTTATATTAGGCATGGTCGGGTACAATAAATTGAAGGTACGGAGGGACTTATTCCTTGTGATTTATCTGGTAATAGTGTTGCGGGGTCGAGAGCTGAACACAGGAGTTCTACAGTCTTGTAGGTACTTATCTGTTCCGGACTGATACATGCGGAGGTGATTACGACCACCGTTACACTACCGTTCTCACGTACCAACTTACTGATGAAATCTCCTCTTGTTCGTGCTTTGCGTGTTATGAACAAGCTGCAGGAGGGGGATCGACATTTTTACGTGCAGCAAAAAAATCACTCCATGAAATATGTACTTAATAATTCTATCGCAATGCTTACATATCTGTAATGGTGGAATGTTTTTATAATGAAAATAAATAAACAAAATATAAAAATAAATAAATATTTAATTAAATTCTTCATCACCTAACGAATATAGTTAATAAAAATTAAAATCAAAAGTTATGTAGCGCAATGGGCAGTCTTTAGTACCGAGTTATTTTTTTAAAGTGTTTTTAGCTTTTATACAGTAAACCGGTGTGGTAACCGGTAAAATATTTCAACATTAATTGTTGAAATATTTTATTTACATTAATTTCACTTTAACCATGATTTCTATTGTATGGTTCCTATGTATCGTCTGTAACTGAATGTAATCTGTCACATTATCATCATATAGGGGACAAACTATACATAAAATAATCTGTAATCTATTTGTCATGTAAATTCATAGTGAGCGGTTAGTGTTTACTACAATATCGTAAATCATTATCTCATTAAAGAATATGATTTACAGAAGGAAAGTGTATGTTAATTAATAAGCATAGTTTTGGCGAACGTAGGACGTGTTTCGCATAAGAGAATTTAAACAGGATTGCAAATGTCAATATGTCAGGATCTCGGCCTTAATTTCCAACAGAGAATGGTAAGGCCTTAATTTTTGGAGGTCTAACTATACAAACTTATATTCGCCGTCTTTAAATCCATTATGTTTTGTGATATTTGAACAGATTAAAATAAAATTCTTACCCAAACAGCCAAACGGCGACTATATTTTATAGAGAAGTAGGTTACATCTGATCAAATTTTTACTTATCTTATGTATAAACAAAGTAAATTTGTGTCGATAGTAGAACATAGTATCACTATTTCTTTATCTAGTTTTCACTAGATATAGCATATATTAAAAATCATATTTCCATATATCCTGTAAAAAATTACTCAGCAGTGCAGTCTAATTGGAAAAATTAAACATTTTAGGGCGCAACCGCATCACAGTTGGAGAAAGATATTGGATCTGAGCAGTTCCCACCTAATGAACATTATTTTGGCTTAGTTAATGTAAGTTTCTATTAAGTTCTTTGATGTGGCTGGCCAAATGCTTGTTTTTGATGAGACTATATAATATGCTTTTAAATAATCTTTTACAGTTTGGAAATACATGCTACAGTAATTCTGTACTTCAGGCATTATATTTCTGTCGCCCATTCAGGGAAAAGGTTTTGGAATACAAGGCAAAAAATAAAAGAACTAAAGAAACATTGTTGACATGCTTAGCAGATTTATTTTATAGTATTGCAACACAGAAGAAGAAAGTTGGTTCAATAGCTCCTAAAAAGTTCATTGCTAGACTGAGAAAAGAAAAAGGTAATGGCTCCTTTTCTACTTCAATGACCACATAGATCATAAACCTATTTTATTCAATAATTGTGGATTCTTGTATGCAATTTTACAATTAATTAAAAAAGTAATATTATTTTTTGCAGAAGAATTTGACAACTATATGCAGCAGGATGCACACGAGTTTCTAAATTTTCTCATTAATCATATAAATGAAATAATTTTGGGTAAGTCTGAAGTTGATTTTAAGTAGGCTCTTAATATATAAAATAATTGAGATGTATACTGTGTAAAGAAGTATGTGCCCACCAAGTTCAACCTTCTATTATAAGCCTGTCTAATTGGATTGTGATGAAAAAGCGATTCAATGAAAACAGTCAATATGTATTGAAACATCAAATACAGTAAAATTGAACATTTATAAGAGGCTTTGAAAGCCATATGATTTCACGTCCGAATAATACTCTCTGCCGGTTGTTTCAATAAAATCTAGTACATAATAGAGGCGGGCGATTATGAGACATACTAATGAAATATTTTATAAAATTTATATAATAATAAATGAAAAACATTTGATTATGAAATGTTAGTAGTTACAATAGAAGTAGAGTTCAGAAACAAATTAGTTACTAATCCCATAATCAATTACCAACATTAGTAATACAAAATAAATGGATTATGCTGATCATTCATAATCGCCCACCTCTGGTACATAACTATAAGGTTTAGCATTATATGGGAATGAAAATTTTTCATAGAAAGCATTGTGTTAAGCACTTTATATACAGGGTTCAAACTCTGGGCATAAAAACCTGTACTACTTGTCTAAATAATATTGGTTAGTTAAACTGAACACCTGGATCAGACAGTTGGGGATAAAATAAATATCTAATATTCTATATATAATGTATTTTCGATATAAAAGGTAAGGGAATTGATAGGGTTGTCAATTGTGACTTTGTTTCAGCTGAACGCAATCAAAGCACGTTAAAACTACAAAAGACGGCTGGATCGGGTGAGAGTGTTACGTGTAATGGCACAGTTCCACAGAGCAGTGAGCCCACATGGGTTCACGAAATTTTTCAGGGTACCCTCACAAGTGAGACACGATGCCTCAACTGTGAGACAGTTAGCAGTAAAGATGAGCATTTCTTTGATTTACAGGTTTGTTTTCTACATTTGTTGTCTTTATCTCACAAAACATGCCACAATTGATTATCTATACTAATATATAAGGCTGACGAGTTTTTTTTGTTTGTTTGTTTGAACGCACTAATATCAGGGACATGGGGGAAATTTAAATATTATTTTTGTGTTGGTAAGAGTATTTATTTAAACTGAAATGAGCTAAGAAACCGCGTGAAATGTGAAGAAAAAGGGAAAATGATTTATCTTTATGGGTTTTTCATGTTCCGCAAAAACGCATGTCCTGCAAAAACTGTACAAGCTACCCAAAATTATATGTATGAAAGAATGATTTTGCTTTATATGATATAAAATTGTCCGCGACATTATATACTTTTAAAATTAACTGGACCAACAGCGTGGGTAACAGCTTAAATCTATAAAGATAAAGAAGAGGTATGCAAAAACAAATTTTCATGCCCAAAATAACTTCTACACGGAAAAAGTCGCTGACACAGCTAGTTATTTGCAAAATGCACGACATGGCAATACATAGCTCAAACTCGTATCTAAAATACTAAGACTGTTGTAATTATACCTAAGATACTGTTGATTATTTCAGTACTTGAACACCAAAAATGATTGTTTTCTTTTTAACATTAACATTTCTCATCGTCAGGTGGATGTTGACCAAAATACCAGTATTACACATTGCCTGAAATGCTTCAGTGACACAGAGACCCTGTGCAATGATAATAAATTTAAATGTGACAACTGCAGTAGCTACCAAGAAGCTCAGAAGCGGATGCGAGTGAAGAAACTACCCCTCATCTTGGCCTTGCATTTGAAGAGATTCAAATATATGGAACAATATAACAGGCACATCAAAGTGTCACACAGAGTTGTATTTCCATTAGAGCTGAGGTTATTCAATACGGTTTGTATATATTGTGTATTTTTTTAGGCATAATAGTCATTGTAGTAGTGTTGGTATGTCAAAATGCTGTTTTGCTGTATACATTAGACAATATTTTAGTAGAAGAAGTAACTAACTTATTGTGAATAAGTATGAGTTTAAAACACAAAATAAAGATAAAAATTTGAAAATCCAAATGAAGGTCAAATGGGGGCATTTGACCTACTGTCAAGTGACCCCATGTTTATCTGTCCTCATCTATCATTAAAAAATAAAACTTATTGTCAGGCCTGAGGACTGTATAATAAAAAAATAATAATTAAAATCAGTTTATTCGTTTTGAAGAAGTTTACACACTAACTCTAACAGGAGAATTTTCTATATGAGATGTAAGTTTTCAATTTTGTTACTTGACTCTGTTTTCACTATTTCATTGGTTAAACAAGAAATTTACTTGGATCCATTAGGGTTTTTAGGAAATACAAAAACATGTGTCATACTGAATTGTGAATAAAGAGAACAATTTAAAACCGTTTTTTATACTTCCAGTCAGATGACGCCGTGAATCCTGATCGTCTCTATGACCTGGTTGCAGTTGTGGTTCACTGCGGCTCAGGACCAAATCGTGGCCACTACATCAGTATTGTCAAAAGTCATGGATTTTGGTTACTCTTTGATGATGACATGGTTGATGTAAGTAAAGCGATGACAAAGACATCCACAACTGAATGTTTAATTTTTCGGTTCTTCTATGTATCTTCAATTTAAAACTTTCTTGGAAACTAGAAATACATATAATAAATTTGTGTAATGTTTTTACAGAAAATCGACGCGTCTGCCATTGAAGATTTTTATGGCCTAACTTCTGATATACAGAAATCGTCCGAAACTGGATATATACTATTTTATCAGTCTAGAGAAGCTAGCTGTTAATTTACATGAATACTATTAGTTGAAATTATATGGAATAAAGACTCATGTTGACATGCCCAGTTTGTTAACGTTAGAATGGCATACTTGTTTCTTTTGATTTTGTTTTAGAAATAATGCTAATTGAATTGTACATATTAATAATTTAAAAAATAAATTGATTTAAAATCTGAATTAGTTTTATTTTCAATATTAAGAACAGCTTTGGAACTAACTACATTACTTTTGTATTTAATTAAGGTTAGTCTAGTCAAAAAATACTGAAAGATTAAAAAAGCTAATGTCCTACATTTGCTAAATTTATAAATTTTATCATAGAAAAAGTGAGGGTATGAAATAAAATAAAAATTCCTTACAAAATATTTATTTTTTAGGCTACAAACTCGTAAGGGATGGGTGCGAGTAGTACAGGTTTAACATTTCCTTTCACAATGTGAGAAGCCCTGGGTGGCTTAGGCTGTCTCTTGAGGTTAACTCTTTTGCCAGCAGCTTTGGCGTCCTTCAGCAGCCTCTCGTTTTCCTTTACACGTTTTAAGAAATCTTCGCGGCACTTTGAGTGCTTGACGTGTTCAATCCTGATGTTGATCCTCTTAGGGATTATTCTCCCACGGACCCTTTTGTTAACGATAACACCTAGGGCATGGGCTGTTACATTGTAAACTCTACCCGTCTTTCCGTGGTATACTTTGTGTGGCATACCCTTTTGAACTGCTCCATTACCCTAAAAGTTATAAGGTATTATGATTTTAGTGGAATCTAATAGAAACTGACACTTTATATAGATTTAACCAACTTTGATATAGGTCAAAAGAATACATAGTGAGAATGTTTAGTTACGAAGCTCTTACCCTGATGTCAACGATGTCGCCAACTTTGTACACTTTCATGTAGGTTGAAAGGGGAATGGCTCCATGAGTACGGAACCTCCTTGCGAACAAATCTCTAGTACTACGACGATAACCCTTGGAGTTGGTCATTTTGAAGCCTGAAAGAAAAACGATAGGTACTTTAGATATACCGACCAATGCACGTGGCTACATCAAACGTTTAGAAGTTGATAAACATAAAAATGAAATATGCTGGATAAACGGTTCTCGCACATGAGATCAAAGTCACAATTATACCACAATTTTATACATTCTAAACATTTTTACTAAATTTTAAAAGAAATCACCTTAGCTTGACAGCGCTTGGCAATTGAAAAAGAATAGGTTATTTTGTTTATGGTTTGGATGTGGGTTCGGTACTTTACAATCGAAGAAAAAAGTTGCCAGCGAAAAATATTACATTGGGCTTGGACCTCCCATACTGCTAAAATGTTAATTTTACTCTGTGGTTATAACTATTGCCTATATTTGGCCGCTGACAGCGGAGTTCTTGACTTTTGACGTGTTGATATTGTGATTTTTGTTGTTCCCTCATAAATAATAATATTGTAGAGTAAACTTCCATCCACCCCAATTATAAAAAAATAATTATAATTACTTGAGTATAAGTAATGTGCGAATTGAACATAAGAAGAAATATTTAAAATGAATACACCTAATGAAAATAATATCTTGACCTCATGTCAATATACGCCCGTGTACATAATCGAAAATCCAGGCGCCGATACTGTAATTTGTTTGTTTGAGCATTTTAATGTTGAATTTTTATATGTACTTACTATATACCTTTTACGATTTTGCAGGGGACACCGATTAGTACAACTACGAGCTCCTTTAAGACGCAGGCCAGTAACTTAAAAGCGTTTTACGAAAGTAGCGGTAAATTAGAAAATAACCTCCTACAGAGTACAGAGACAACTGGTTCACAAGTTTCAAAAAAAGACAACGGGAATAATTTAAAACTAGCAAACTTTCTGCTACCTAAGAATAATGTGAAGCTTAAAACAGTCTATGAACACCAGAGTGCACCATTCAATAAAATCATTTTGAAACCCATGTATGTCGCAAACACTATTTCCACCAGTAATCAAACTCCTGTATCGGCTCCAAAATTTGATGTGTGCAGTAAAATTGTAAGATTGAAAGATATACCCACTTCTACCCAGAGGAACAGGAAAATACTGCCTAAGATAATTCCAAAAGACGAGTATGTTTTTTTCATGATTATTTAAGCAATACCTTAGATGAGTATGTCTGGTATTGTTTACTATCAACATACTTATAAGTAAGCTTTTAGTAATTAATATCAATTTTTGTGTTATAGACTTGTAAATCCCGCTAAGACTTCAGTACAAATAGTAAAACTAGGTGAAACATACCATTGGTAAGTATTATACCCACGATCGGCCAAAACTTCCAAATTAGGCTGAACTAGATATGTTTTAATCTTTTATTTGTTCTTAATTTTTAGTCTCAACAAACTTAATGACGATCAGGTGAAGGTAGTTAATAAAGCACTCAAAATATTCAATGGGCCAAAGAATACTCCAAAAGAACCTACTTATGAGGCAACACCAGATACTCAAATGGTTTATAAGTAAGCTTTTTTTATTATTAAGATGTCATAGTATAAAGCTGTTAAAGAAATTTTTAAATATTTAATTTGTGATGATATATGTATTCCTAATACAGGGTTCTATTACCAAAAGATGTGTCAGGATTTAAAAAAAGCAAAGTTATAATTAAGCCAAAAAAACCAGAGTTTAAGAAAGAAATATCTAAAAGACAAGAGAAGAAAGAGATAGTTGTTCCCGAAACTAAAGAACCTGAAACAGATATATTGGAGGTAATTCTTTAAAAATATTAGTAGGAAAATTTATTTAAATTTAACTTCTTGGCTTGTATACAAATTTTAAGTATACAAACATAAACATATATATCTTACTTACAGGAGAAAGTGACAAGAAGTGGTAGGAAGGTAAAATTACCAAAAAATATTTTACCAGAGGAAACACTACAAAAGCCTAAGAAAAAGAGTGGTACAATAGTGACATGTTTTCAATGCTCATTGGTAAGAATAATGATAATAAGGTTTAGACTAGACAGGGCACAAAAGCATGACTGTAAATAAATTTTATTCGAAAACTAGATAGAAACATGTTAAGGAAATGGGATAGGACACAATTATAATATGTAATTAATTTCATATATAGTTAAAAATCCTTATGGTAACCTTACAATTATACATTAAATACAATTGGTTATTTCCAATTTCAGGAATTTAACAGCTTATATCGTTTACAAAGGCACTATGAACTTCATCCCACTCACATACCAACTCAGATACACACCGACTTATTTAATTGTCTCCTAGCTATCATTAAGACCGGGTCAGAAGAAAATAGGGCTCATATATTTCTGCAACAATTGGAACAGCTCATAGCTAAGATTAAGTCAGTAATACCATGCCTTGTGAAAAATAACAATTTAAATGGAAAATTAAGTACAATAAGTGAAGATATTGGAATGTAAGTAAAGTGTATAACTTTTACCCATATAGTAGTTTCACAATTAATAAATATGACATAATATATAACCATCATTCTGTTTATAGCTTACTGGGTATAAGCCCAGGTGAATACAATCTTAATGCAGATGCATTGAGCTGTGTGAAAGATAATAATGGTCACTGTGAACATAATCCACCACCATTAACCTCGTGTCTGGAACAAGTTGATAACGCTAGTGAAGCTGTAAGCCTTCAAACTGACCCTTGTATTGACATGAACTCAACAGAACTATGGCCAACTGTTAATAAGAGATCAGAATGCCATAGCACACCTGAATATAATTCCGCTAAAAAGATTAAATTAGGGGATTCAGAATTGCCCGTCATATTAGATGATGATGATATAGATGCCTTCTTTAGTAACAATCTCAAGACTGATATATTAGAGAATAAGACTACCTCAGATGAAACACAAATTAGTGATCAGCTCAAAGACACAACTATTAATCAAAACGCCCCAAAGACATATGTAAAATTTCATAGTGCTCATTTTGACATCCGGTCATCACCAATAAAACCTTCATCTACAGAATTTACAAAGTTCCAAATTAATCCAGAAAAGCTACCTAAATTTGATATTCAAGAAATTCGACCATTGTTACCACAAGTAGATGAAGAGAAAAAGGTGGTGGATCATAAAATTAATGAAAACAATACTCAGAACGGAACAAATCATTTATTTCCATCCAAAGACTCGTCAGAACTTAATTTGGACACATTTAAGGAATGGCCTTTGAACTATTTAGTTAATACAAACACTGATAGCTACAACATAAAAGGAGGTATATTAAGCGATGCAACAGAGCCGAGTGCTTCAATTGAACCAACTTTAATTCATATAAAAGATCATCAATTACCTGAGATAGCTAACAGAGCACCTGAAAATTCGCTTATTGAACTACCGCTAGTTAATCATGAATCTGTCCTCAATTTACTTTCATACCCCGAAACAAGTATTAGTAATAATTCCATTGAATTCCCGATAGATTTATTTACTTTTAATAATGCATAGTTTGTAAAGTAATAAGCATTTACTAGTTAATTTTTTTCTATTTTTAGACATTATATACTTGAGTACAAAGTTGTTTTTTTTTTCTCTTATATTTAGGTGTTAAGTAAAGGTTATTTTATATATGTTTAAGCTTGTAAAACTGGCCTTTCATTTTTAGCATTAAGGTTTTCATTGGTGAGGGCATAGCCAGTGCCTCCTCTCTGTAATGGTATAATATCCTTTTCTTTTAACGTATCACCTGTAAGTGGGTGTAACCAGTCTTTTTTAATAATCTTCTCCACACACTCCATTGTAACTACATGACCAGTGGTTCTGCAAATAGAGTAAAATTTTAAACAATATTCTGTTTCTGTGGTTTCTTAGCTTGTAAGTAAAAGGATTTTTTATAAAATTTTGACTGTATCAAAATTTCACATAATCCAAATATCTAAGTACCGGAGGCTGGAGCTACTAAGTCTTACCACAATTATTGATAAACAGACTAGAAAGATAAAATATACCTAATAATAGCGCAGGGAACTGCATTGCTCAGTATATCATGTGTGACAGGACACATATACCTATTTTCCTTGGCAATCAAAGATTTAGTATCATCTGGATCATTTACCAATGTCCATTTAACTTCAATGAGGTCTTTCATCTTTAAAGGTTTATCACTTAGAGGGCAATAGACAGTAGGATCAGGCTTCTTAAGCTTAGATACTTTCGCATCAGGCAATTGTGATGGTATCCAAAAACTTGGCAACTGCTTATCTTTTCCATTAGCTAAATTTGAAACTGAAGTGGACGCCTGAGAAGTTTGCGCTTTACCATCATTAGTAATGTTCTTTTCCCTGTTCATAAACTTGATTAAATTTGCTTCTTTTTCAGCCTCTGCCAACTCTTTTTTCTCTTCTTCTTCTTTTTTTAATTGCTTCTCATATTGCTTTAACTTTCTATTATACTCACCTTTCTTTCTTATTATGTATTCCAAGACAGCTTCCTTATCAAATAAGAAACCATCTTTTGTTATGACTGGATTTCTACAGGGTTGTAAAGTAAGGCTACAGCAATCAAAGCTTTTTATAGAATCCTTCCCAACCCTTTCACTCTGTGTACCATAACCCGAAGCTGCAGCATCCTTCTTTTTCTCATGATACGTGTAAACTGCACCGGCAGTACAATTTCGGGCATGTCTAGTCATTTTTCTATATATTTCTTCTTCAATATAATGTAGAGTTAAAATCCCCTATGCTCATGTACTAGTCTCTTTTAGATCCTAAGAAGAAAAGGCCGTTTTATATTCACTAATCAAGTGAAGATTCTAAAACCATTTCCAATTCCGACAATAATTTTTAAACATTAATCCACTACGCCTATAACATATTATATCGAAAACCACAACAACAGTTTAATTATACATAAATGAGTTCTGTCACAGATAGTTTCCACTTTCCACTTCAAAGTATGATTATTTGAATTTATATTCTATGACTACTATGAGTCTATAAAACACAATGTTATTATAAGCTGTATCCGCAATTTTAAATCGTGGAAAATATATTTGTTGTCGTAATTTAATTTATATATACATATTTAAATTGATTACTGTGCAGAGCCATAAAATAAAACAAATCGTGTATGTTATTTGATATCTTAATATCATTCGTCTGATACGGATTCAATTTTCAACAAAAAATTATATTATAAAATGTCCACAAGGCATATGCGTAAAGTTTTGGGAAGTACAGCGTTACCACCTCCCGATGAAAATTCAGATGATGACTTTGTTCCATTATACACCAAAAAGCATTCCTTGAAAGGGGCATATGCTGCCGTAAGTATAACTAGAAGTATAATTGCATTAAGAAAAAAGTTACAGATTCATCAACAATGTATCTTCAAGCTGTATAGTGCATGGTTAGTTATAAATAATAATCCCTCATTTTATAACAGGTTGCCGTGCATATATTTTAAAACATTCTTATACCCTCATGTAAATATATATATTTTTTTAATATCAATTTTACCATAAAAAATTACTATACTTAAAAAGATTTTTTGATGCTTACTTGTGTTCTAGCTGGAATTAGACTCAACACCAGAATCTGAACCTGTGGAAGCTCAACATCAAGATGATGAACAGCCAGAATGTTCTAACGATGAAAGAAAGAAAAAGAGGAATAACAGAAAAAATAAAAAAACAAAACCGTCAAATCTGCTTGAGGTGAAGTAATGTTTGCAATGATAATTATTTTTATATTAATATATATTTCAGCTAGCAATTGGTACTATTGCTAAGGCAACTATAATTACTATTATTTTATCACATAATTTGATACTTTCAGTTGGATGAAATTGACAAATCAATAAGAGAAGTAAATGCATTACTTGGAGAGCCAACACATCACACTGAGACCGTACAGAACAAGCCGGACCCTGAGGCTATACTTTTTTCAGTTCAACAAAAACATTTGGACTCTAATAATGAGATGACAAGATTATTTGGACCAGAGGATGATGAAGATGACATTAGGTACCTAAAACGAAACTATTAAAGACGATGTTTGATTTATTTTCTCAATTGAATTTATACTAAAATAGGGAATATTCCTTAAAATTGGTTAGTATAATAAAACCAACAGCTTATATGGCTAGTTTCAATGCATTAGGTAGAGAGGTACGCAGTTCAAATCCAAGGAAAACACTTTATAGTTTTAGTTTAACAGGAAATAGAAGTGTAATCAACCACTTGACTAAATGAACTTGATCAATTAAATGCATTGTTATCTTAAAAATATAGATTTATGTTATAATAACCAGCAGTTTTTGTAAAACATACAATTGTACTAATAAAGCACCTTATTTCAGACGACAAAGACAACGCAATACTAAGATACAGAAGAATATAGTTATACCAAAAGCTTATGCTTTTAATAAGCTCGGTAAGTTATTTAATAACTAAAGTCTTATATATTTGGTTTTTCATTCTGTTACTGCTTATATGAAATATATTTTGTAGGTCTATCTATGTCAATTAGAGGTAAAAAAGGTGACATAACTTACTTTGCATTCGATCACAGCAAGGAGTACAGAATTATGCATCAACGGTACTTGGATTCTTTGAGAGTGTGAGTAACCTTTCACATGCAAAACGTAGGAATGATGCTGGAGACTAAAATATTTTCCCTAGACTTTGTTAAAAAAAAGTATTGTCCATTCAAGGGGTTTGATATTAATTTTTTTTTGTATTCCATTATATGTATCTCTGTGTTTAATATATTTTTAATTTTCGTTTAGCCGATCAAATGCAGACAACATGGTGTTACAACTGCAGGATCTGATAAATTTTATGCATATTGAAGGTCCCTTAGAGGTTAGTACTTGTTGTCACATTGTATCTAATACATAAAATTCTCCTGTCATAATAATCGTGTCCAAACTCAACCGAAACGGCTGTACCGTTTTCAATGTAATTTTGTATGTACTTATCTTTGAAAACTTTAATACTTTTCACATGTTATTGCACATGAAGGCACTAAATATTTCAAAAATCTAAAATAAATTGAAAAAAATTTCGACTCGGGCAGAAACCGGCATCGTCAGCGTTCCGTGCTGTCGCTCTACCAATTGAGCTACTGAATCGAAAAAAATCAACGATGAGGTATATATAGGTACTTATCTTATCTTTAAAAACCTTATTATTTTAAAGTAGACAATTATTTAATTTTATTGTAAAGTAGACGCTGACGATGCCGGTTTTAGTCCTGCCCGAGTCGAACATTTTTTCAATTTATTTTTGATTTTTAAATTATCTTATCTTTTTTAAGTTTAATATAATGATTGAAAAGACTGATATTTGTTTTGCAGTATGGTGACATGCTATTCCAGTTGGAGGAGTACTCAGTTGGGAATGACATTCTAGAACAGTGCATTGCTTACATGCAATATGTCGCCCATCCATGTTTTTCACTCACTGGGGTAGGTACTAATTTCGTTACTACCAAAAAAAAAACAACTTATTGAGTGCATCAATTGAAATGGCATCAATTCTATGATAGATTCTTATTTTAAAGCTACTAAAAATTACTATTTCAATAAAAATATATACAAAATAAATTTCTGTGTGTGAGTTACTCATTTCCTACTAGTATATAAAGCTGAAGAGTTTGGTTGTTTGAAAGAAGGATTCCTCTTGAAATGATCTAAAAAAAACGTACGCAACGCTATATGTCTATTTTATAAGATTAATTTGCAAGAACGAAGGGAAGGGACGCGTCCGACATCGTGAGTAACAGCTTAAGTTTATAAACGTAAAGTAACGATTCTCGCGGACGAAGTCGCTGAATCAGCTAGTTATCTATAAAATGATTGCTCAAAAAATGTGATACTTCATATACAAAAATTCTCAAACGTATTTTAATATGCTCAATAATATATTTGTTCTATTTCAGAGAAGAACTCGTCTAGAATATAAATACCTTGAAAACCGACCATTTCACATTGCCTTACTGAAGTATGCCCATTTATTGACAAACCGAGCATGCCATCGCACAGCTCTGGAAATAGCCAAGGCCCTTCTAAACCTAGACCCGAGTGATCCTTTAGCTGTCATCTTCATAATAGATGCCTTTGCACTAAGATCTCGTGAACACAAATGGCTTTACGATGCAGTGGAATATTGGAATGTAAAGAGGGACGGGCAATTCATGTTCAACCTGCAATATTCACAGGCTATGTGCTGCTTACATTTGTCCAAGGCTAAGAATAAAGAAAGTGAGTATTAGCTACTAAATATTATTACAAGAGAATAGAGGGAGGAGGTAGGGGATTACCTGCAAAGTCTCTCCACACATTACTCAAGGATTTAGGTTCGCCACAATTAGTGTAGCACTGGATAGAGTTGCTAGAACTAGCTAGTGTGGGCAATGCACAACAATGGTCACAACTCATGAACAATGCCCACACTGAACCTGCGGACTCAATGGATCTGGTTACTTGCACAATAATTCCATGTCTTTAAGATCTTTTCTCTACTGCATGGCTGCCTGTCCATCTTATCTCATGTTAGAAATGGTCATCTTTAATCAAATTTTAGAGATCTTTTGCAGACATTTTGCAAAAATAGACATTCAGAGTCATTCCTCAATAACAAAGGCCGCAGCTTGAAATCTCTAAGAAGCTTCAAGGATTTTAATTTATAAATCCAATAATGTTTTTATTTCAGGTACTATTGAAGAAGCAAATAAACGATTGCGAAAGACTTTGTTGAAATTCCCATATGTTCTAATTCAGTTACTAGAATGTTGCAACCAAGGTGTACCTGCAGAAATACGGAAAAACCATTTCTTCAATGAGTTTGCATCTGTCAGGTAGCCATCTTTATATTAAGAAAGCTATCAATGTTCTTTAATTTTGGTTTGCCGGAAATTATATTATAGTGTGCATACTTCTGTGGGCATTTAACACATCAATTTTGTTTATTGTGTATTAATTATAATATAAAGCCTAAGAATATAAAGTTCTTCTAAATTCCAGTACACCCCAACCGCTAAAAGATCTAATGCATCTTTATGTCAAATTCACCTGGGCACGATGGAAAGAACCGGCTGTGTTGGATTGGCTTATAAGCAATGCAAAAGAGTTAATCACTGATTTGGAGAAGAATGTTATCAATCAGGTATTTAATATTATCAACATGTATATCATCATTATTTTTAACAGTTTCTAATACTGGGTCAATTCTATTGGCAAAGAGAGTCATTGCATTTTCTGTACTAGACGGTTTCGTCCACGCAACAGAATCCTTACACATATTTTGTCTCATATCTTATAAGCATAATGTTTTGAGTTTTATTGTGTTTGAGTTTTCATTACAATATCTTGTCTCACATTCAGTATCTGTTGTCATATGTGTCAAAATACAACCAATTCCATAATTTCTAATTATTAACCCTTATTTTACAGGCAGCAACTAAAATTGATGTGCAGAATCATTCAAGATTGTTCCAAAAGTGGCCTGAAGAGATAATAAGACATCTTTGTGTCATTAAACCTCTGTCAAATCTAATTGTTGAAGGGGTAAGTTTAAAGTTTCATTCTTCCAATACATAAGAGATGGTAGTCCTCTTTTTGACAATAGATGAGAGACAAAACGGTCTCTTGATGAAAGGTAAAAATATCAGTCATGTAAAAGAAGTTAAATAAAAAATAAATAAAAAAAGATGAAGAATGTGTTGTCAACTTATTATGGCTTCATATGTCCACACATAAATTTTTAAACAACCAGTTTTAGGCTTCACAGCTTTTATATTTGTGAACAGTGATGGTATACTGAGGGAATTCTGGAAATAATAAATTAAAACGGATATTTGCTCTTCATTTATTTATGATAAAGGTACCACATTTAAAAAATATTAATTTATCAAATTCGATGGGATACAAAGAAAGACATCTCCGCCTTCTAGTATATTTTGATTGATACAGTAATTTATGATCATTGGCTTACCAGGCAGTACCCAACGTCCCTGTCTACACGCTGAATACCAATCCGTGTCCCCCCGCCAATACAGTCAACCGCTACAACTACGCACTACAAAGGCAAAGCGATATGGATTTTGTTCCTGCACTCTTGCGCACCATTCAACCCAACTACAATGAGGATGAAGATAATAATTAAACAATGTAAATTGTTAAAATTACATAGAAAATGTTCTATGTCCTAATGTTTTTTACATAATTACATATAGGTTTATTTTAAAAGAATAGAAATTATACAGATTCTTAGAACTTAATTGCATAGAATCAATTTTTTATATTTTGTCCTAATAAAACATGTTTATAATAAATCTGTCATAAATAATTGTTATTCAATTCATAATAAGTGTCTGTTGTTACTGTTTTTTTTTAATTTATTAAAGCCTTAACTGAGTACATAGATTTTGTTATTTTATAAAATAAGTATTTGTTATAATCATATTATATAATATGATTGCATACAACTAATATATGTCTATGTAGTTACTGCAAACGGTGTTTTATTACTTTTAATATGTACTTGCTTTGTCGAAATAGGTTCTTCTCTTAATCTATTATATTTTTCTTTTTACGTATGAATACGAAAAGAATGGACGAATTTATTTACATGTCTCGGATAATGTATATTATAAAAATATTTGAATTATTACTTTCAATTTATATAAAGAATTTAAATTCTCAAATCGTATTACTTTTAACTTTAATCATTAAATTTTTTTGGGTGTTTAACGCGTTGGTACAATTATTATTTATTACCATTACTAATATTATAAATGCGAAAGTAACTGTCTGTCTGTCTGTTACTCTTTCACGCCAAAACTACTGAACGGATTTGAATGAAATTTGGTATACACATGGTCTAGACCCTGAAAAAAACAAAGGCTTTTTATTGCGAAAAGGGGGGGGTGAAAGTTTGTATGGAAATTTGTGGTTTTTGAAGCTAGAACAATGAAACTTTCTTCTTTGGCTTGTATAGGAATAGGGGTGGGCGTGGGAGTGAGTGTGGGAATGAGAGTAGGAGTGATGTGAGGTGAGAGTGTTGCGGCAAAGTAGCACTTATCATGGATTGGCTGCCTTAAATGCGCCCTTACATAAATTACCCCAAGTCACTATTTCACGCGGACGAAGTCGCGGGCACAGCTTACTAGCTGTGCCAGCTTATAAGCTCATTATCTATAATAATACTTTATTATAGATAATGAGCTTGCTTTGTAGATTCGTGATACTCTGTATGACCACTAAACTTTAATTAAATCAAAAGTTTAAGTAAAATTTCACTCTGACGTGACAGAAAAGTTGTAAAACACAATTACAATATTTAATAAGGTAATTCAATAAAATGAAATTTTTTCTCGGTTTTTTTATATAACATAAACCGTTTACATCGCCTCGAAAATAAGTCAATAATCGAAAGAATTCAAATGGTAATAATTATTAGAGATGTTATCCCTAATGTCACTGTCATTTGTCAAATTTATCATTCAGTATAAAGCAAAATATAGTACGAATCAAGAATATTGGTAGGAAAATAGTAAATACCAATCAGTGTTTTGTGAAATCACAGTAAATTACCAAATAATACATACGTCACGCAATTAGAAACGGTCCAACAATTAATAAATATGTAGCTTATCATTAATTTGATTAGTGTTTACGTTACAGCCACTGTGACGGTCGGTATTCTTATAAACGAAAACTGTCGAAACACGATAAAAGTTTCAACATTACTACTGTTGATTTTAATTATTTCTTTATAAAAGTTATCGGATTTCTCAGTGTAAAAGTGATATTGTTAATAAAGTTACAACAATAAGTGTTATAAGTTAGCTGTTCCAAAATATCGTATGTCTAAATAATAATGAACTTATCCTTTGCGGGTTGTGGTTTTCTAGGCATATATCATGTCGGAGTTTCAGTGTGTCTCAAAAAATATGCACCTCATCTTTTGTTAGGGAGTATTTCTGGTGCCTCATTTGGTGCTGTTTCGGCTTGCTGCTTGCTCTGTGATCTGCCAATAGGTAAGTTCTTTGAAAGTTAGTGAAGCTTTGTGTAAGTTCTACTAGAAAGTGATGATAAATATTGTGTTATAGTTAGGAAAAATATATTTGAATCAATTAATATTCTTATTAATTTAATTCATTATATTTTAAAGAGGAAAATATCAAAAGGGGCTTATATTAGTCCTGTGCCCCAATTAGGAGATAGGAAATTACACATGACAAGAGTCTAAAATGACAAAAATAATTTAATGATGATTTGCATTGTTTTAAGTTCAAAGATAGCGCATATTTTGTAAAGATTAGATTTTGAAGATTGTGGTTTCCTGTTAAGCCTTGATAAACTTAATCAAAGTTCTACCTTTGTTAATTAATTATCTTTATGTAAATAATCAAGCATGGTAACAAAATTACAAAACAAAACGAAATTGAAATTAAAAGGTAATAAGTGTGAAATTGAATGACAAAATATTACTTTTATTACCATGTTATCTCTTATTACAGCCATATTTTATATAGCTGTTTCATGTAGTTATCATAGAAGATAGAATTTTTATAAAGATAGAGAGATAGATCTTAGGTACTGTTATGATTAGGATATCATCTTATGGATTAAAACAACTTTTATACAGGTGTATAGCAGAAATTATTAATTTAAATGACATTCTTTAAATTTATTAAACGAAATTGGAATAACTGGACACCTTTATTTACAAATCTATAGCTAGTTAAGCCTGGGGGGTATATTCTATTATTAAACATTTCTTTATTAAACATTTTGTCACTGCAGTTTTATAAAACCTTTAGTTTACACACCTTGTTTTATACATTTAAACTGGGGCTATAGAGCTGTATTTTATATTTAGATTACTTTATTATTGCTATGTTATAATAATTTAATCACCCTCAATTTGGAGGTAAATTAAAGGCAGTAAAGATAGATAGAGGACATCTAAGTAGAGTTATCATCTTAGCCCATCTGATCTTGTCCCCCACACTGCCATCTGTTGAATCTTATCATGATATAGTGCTTGGTTTTTGCTGTTTCAAAGTCTTGTAATTTTCTTTACTGCATGGACATAAGGTTCCAAAATTTTTAATAAAAAAAAAGTAACTGATAGATACTTAATCTAGTTAAAATTGTGCCTGGAAATAGTGTAAGAGCAATGTAAATATGATGTGTGTTCTATAGGAGAAATCACAAGTGATGTCTTAAGAATAGTAGGCGAAGCGAGGGCGGGATCCCTCGGCCCCTTCAGTCCCTCATTCAACATACAAAATGTTCTCCTCGAGAGCATGGAACGGTACTTACCAGCTGACGCACACAAAATTGTTAGTGGAAAGCTCCACATTTCATTAACGAGAGTCTACGATGGAAAGAATATAATTGTATCTAAATTTGCGACCAGAGAGGACTTATTACAAGTAAGTTTGTTTATTATTGCAATCATATTGTTAGATTACAGCGGTAGCATTTTTGTGACTAATAACCAACAGGCTGAGTCCACCATAACTATATCTATACTTACTAATATATAGAGCTGAAGAGTGTGTTTGTTTATTTGAACGCGCTAAGCTCAGGAACTACAGGTTCGAATTGAAAAATTATTCATGTGTTGGTTAGAGCATTTAGCGGAGAAGGCTATAGGCTAAAACATCGCCCTGTGACTAATAAGAGCAAAGAAACAGCGAAAAATGTGGAATTTAATCATCGTTATGGGTTTTCGAAGCGTACGCTACAAAGATGATTCATGAAACCCAAAAAGAATGTATGAAAGACTGATTCCTCATTAAATAATCTAAAAAAAAATCCGCCACGCTTTGTGTTTATCTTTGAAGATTAACTTACAAGAACGGGAAGGGACGAAACCGACGTCGTAGGCAGCAGCTCAAGTTTATAAAGATGAAGGGTTGAAGACGAATTTGGTTGTCCAAAACAACCATTCTCGCGGCCGAAGTCGCTGACGCAGCTTGCTTGTTACTAATTTTATTTACGAAGTGCTTTGTTTTAAAGAAACTGTCGTTTTCAGGCTTTATTAGCGTCATGTTTCGTGCCAGTATTTTCGGGGATGCTCCCTCCCAAGTTCCATGGAAACCGTTACATGGACGGTGGCTTCAGTGACAACCTTCCAGTGTTGGATGAAAATACAATTACCGTTAGTCCGTTCTGCGGGGAGAGTGATATTTGCCCGAGAGATTTGAGCTCACAATTATTTCACGTAAGAATTTTCATTTTATAGTGTCATATATAACTTATAAGTCATTTTGCTCAAATCATTAAAAAATTAAAATCCTGTTTCCCCCTTCCGAGCAATGGAACTTTCACGTCTCCATGTTCACAGGCAAACAGCTGATTTCACTCTTGTCCGTACCCGATCGAAGCAATATCGTTTCGCTGAGATTCGAGTCCAGTACCTCTAGTGCTTAATGCAATGATAGGCAATCCTTCTAACCGTTGGCTACCAATTGCGATTCATAAAAATGGATAAATAGATGTAAGATTTAATGTTGTATGCTTTCTGTGAATCCTATCTACTGATCTAGGAGATAGTGGCTTTCTAGGTACAGATCTCGCCGGTCGTGGTAAATAACTATGAAATCATAATATACGTTTCAGTTTCCATTGATTTCCGAATTTCCAAAGCTAATATTTGCAAAGATTATCTTACCTTACAGTTTCTTGCCAGTTTGCGCCCTTTATTTAAAAATTAGTGGTATAAGTAGAGTATTCAATTTTTAAATGATGTGTCTCTGTGATTTTCACTTTGGGTCCTTCATTTGATTTTTATCATCCCAAAGATTTTCATAGCAATTTTTCACCTCAGGTAAACTTAGCGAACACAAGCATAGAGCTGTCAAAGCAGAACATGAACCGTTTCGCCCGTATTCTGTTTCCTCCTAAGCCAGAGGTATTGAGCAATATGTGCAAACAAGGCTTCGACGACGCGCTGAGATTCCTTCATAGGAACAACATGATTACTTGTACCAGGTAAAGACTTCACTGTGTCTTTTAGGTGCCGTTACAGTATTCTGTAACACAATGTCATTAAGTCATTAGAATAAACCTCAAACTGAGTTGAATAGTTTTAGTTAAAATTGTCAGGAGTTTACGCGAGTAGTACCTATACATTTATGTAAAACACGTTTACGGTTTAAAACGCGAAATCTATTAGTTAAATGTTGCTTAAGACATTAGGGAAACCCTCCAACTTCAGTCCTCCCGTTATATCGGCTGCTGCAGAGCATCCGAAACGTCCGGGTGTAATTAAAAAAGTTAACTAATACAGCATATCATTGTCTTTCGGGCTGGTCGGCCGATGTGAGCGAGAAGAAGTTCTCGACGTTTCGCCATCACGGGTGGACGGCATCATCAGGAGATGTTGACTCCTCGATTGCTCGAAGAATTATTAATTCTTCGAGCAATCGAGGAGCCGAACAGCCCGAAAGACAATGATATGCTGAACGATGGTCGTGAAAGCCTTACATAATTTATTAACTAATACATTTCTTATTTACCGTAAAAATTACTGTCTGTACTTTAGGCGAGTAATACACATTTTATTATACCTTAAACCGACACATTAAACTGTTCTCTATACTGACCTCGTACCTAGAATCAATATACACAAACAATACATATGCAAATGCTTACGTAAGCATGAGAGGTCTCCTCTAATCTTACGAAGAAGAGGGAGACCGGATGTCTATAATCGTGATTTTGCTTATTTAATACTTAAACGGCCTCCTATGAAATTCTTTAATATACATATATGTTTTTATCAGATGTCTTGCAGTACAGTCGACCTATCAATTGCAAGATGTCTTGGATGATACTACTTTTGAATACGACCCCGACTGTGAGGAGTGCAAGACGCATAGAGAGGTGAGGTTTTTCTTTCTCTTTCTTGTCTATGTCTAAAATGATATCCGAATGACTACACGACACACACGAAATACAGTACAAAACTATGTACATTTGAAACATGAACACATTTTAACACAATATCCTTCTTCCTCTGTACAGAACGCATTAGTTGACGACCTTCCAGACACAGTGATGACGATATTCCAAAATGCTATAGACTCCGCCAACAATGGACTTGTGAACTGGGTGATGCAGCAGCGCGGTATGCGGGCTGTCTCGCTGCTCACGCTGCCCTATAGAATACCCGTCGACGTCATGTACGCTACATTCACCAAGTGAGTTCTTCCATATCCCAGTTGATTTACACACGGTCTTCGGTCTCTTATCAACATATATAAATGTACAGTTGTCTCTTTCACACACTACATGTCCTTCACACGAATTGTGAAAATCTTCGCATATGTTATGTGCAAGCTTTTGCCAAGGATACCCCGGGATACCTCAGTCTGTCTTTCGTTCATATACTGAGCATTTTAATACGACGTAACGCGTTACAGTGTTCGCGGGATTTATATGATTTCATTAGAGCATTGCACCAAAGCAGTAGTATTAAAGTTTTTATCTCCAGGCATTATAATGATAGTTTTTAACGGTGATTTATTTATCAAACCGTTTTCGCTGACCATATTTATGGGGTAGAAATGTTAGTGTGTACAGTGTATCCCTTTAGTAAATATAAATACGCTCATACCTTCAGGGTAAAAAGGGAAATCATCGAAATCTTCAATCGGGCTACTGGCTCTTTGGTAATCTGTGACTTGAGCAAAATAATTTTACAGCGACACGAGTATGTGTGTGTACAGTACTACTTGAAGTACGCGCTCTATTTCCGCTCACGGTCTTTGCTAATCCACTGTCGAGAATAATTAAATGTTGCATAAGAAAGTTTCTATATTAAATGAAAACGTTCTTCTACGAATTTACTAAACTCTGTAACCGTGTTACCTCACTTCTGAAGTGTCTACGATGATTGAATACCTCTGGTGATGTGTCTCTCTTTCTGATTGTGTTTTTGGTGATGGCGTGGCCCAGAACTCTGGATCCGTTTACTAATTAAACATCTTTTACTGCATGTCAACAATAACAAGGTTCTAAAAACACAAAAACAGTAATTGTTTAAAATCCTTAGCGTTGGTTTTATAAACACAGTTTTGCTTTTGATATTAACTTAATAATTTTAAAGTTGTTATACTAACGGATTGGCAACGACAACTTCTTTTTTCTTTTTTTTCTACTCAGCAAACATACATTTGAAGTTTAAGTAGAAAATGACAATATTGTCTATTTATTTAGATCCTGATTAAAAACTAAGTTTTATTTGCTTGCTAAGCACTTTTAACGGGTTAAAACGTGAAATATACTAGTTAACCCTGCAACCGCGATTACGGGGGCGAATGACGGAGAATGTCTCTAATGTCAATGCCACATTTGCTACGTCCTAGCGCCTTCTGTTTCGTAAATGATATGTCTCGTTTTCATCCCGTTAAAACTGTTTAATTTGACTTAGCAGCATTTACTGGACACTGTGAGCACAGGATAAATTTTAGTTTGGTATATGCGGTATTTCTGGACTAGCATGGCTTGTAGTACTCACATTTAATCGCTTTTTAGCTATGTCGGTGGTAATGTAGAGACACACGCTGAACAGTACACAGTGGTGGGGAATGTCCGGGTGATTAGGAAGAGGTGTGTCCGACACAACAATACCATGACTAGGTTAGTGATTCAATGCTTTAGGGTCTCTACTTGGTGGTGGTGGCTTGCAGCTTGTGGTCGGCTAATTGTTGTGATAGGGTCGTTTTGCTTTTCAGCTCTTCTAAAGGAAATGCGTGGTGGTATTTTGGGGTTCTTAAATATTAATAGACAATAGGTAATTCGATCAATTTTAATTACTTGTCGATCTGTCAATTGAACACCGTCTGTAGTTTACGTCAATAGTACAGTTTTGACGGTATAAAACATGGAATATATTAGTTAACGTATTCTTAACTACGACCTGATGTTTTTACTTCATTGAAGCAGCCTTAAATGTTTGTTTGTGGTCGAAAAAATAACAAATTACCTAGGCTTTATATGTTTAAGACAAAAATGCAGTAGTTCTTTTTCTCAGATCGCATTAAAAATTATGTCTAGCTAATAATTGTATAAATTAAAATATTCATTTATATAACTTCGAAACACACAGATTATAGATTTGTATCAATTGTGAAAGATATGTATGATAATAGATAACGATACCGGACTAAGTATAAATAATTATCAATTATAATCGTACTATTTTAATAATTGAAATTAATAATAAAAATTACGGGCTAAGTTCAAATGTTATAACAAATAAGTACCTTAGATTAGCATTACTGTTTAATAATTTTATCGAATTTGGGAGGTCACGATTCCATGACGTCCTAAGATTTTTATCTTAGCATAACATTCATTTCATTTCAGGGTTTTACGCAAATGTGATAAATACTATCTAGTGCGTATTATATGATGATTTAAGCTTTGCCATTATTGTGACAGAGGTGTAAACTGGACATCGCATTTTTTTTTAATATTCTATATTGTAGAACATACTTACGCTCAAAGTTCAATCGAAGGATGTTTTTATACCATAGACTACTTGGCTTAAATTTTTAGTAAGGATCCCTGCTGTTTTCTAATACAGAATATAATCTATGGGTTTGAGGGTAGTTCGTTATTCGGTCGAATTGTTAAACAATTTTTGAAATCGACGTTGTAGTTTTGAATTTATCCGTTATAAACATACGTAAAAAATACAAATCTACAAAAACACAAAACCTTATGACGTACTATGATATTAGTGTAGATTAGATAGAGAGTTTTTATCCATAGTCAATGCGAATAGTACACATTTAAATATCAAATCAAATCAAAAATCATTTATTCATGTAGGTAGCTTAGTACACTTATGAACGTCAAAACAGGTAAAAATTTAAAACTCTAAATTTACAATTACAGTTACTACCAGTTCCCAAGTTAGGGCGTAGAACGAACGAGAAGAACTGGCAAGAAACTCACCGCCACTCCTTTTAATTGCCAAGTTTTTATTACATTTCCTTATATTCCTTACGCACTCATTGTGTACATTTCTTCCTTGATAGAGCGGGTTCCTCCACTTACATACACTTTTAACGGATTAAAACGCGAAATACATTATTGTTACTTATTTTTAATGTATATTGACTTTGTTTAAAAGCGCAGATGTTGATTAATTCTGTGATATTTTAATTCTACGATACGATTTGAATATAAAATCATAAATCGGCATGACCTCCAATATTTTATTGATAAAATACTAGAGCTTGTTGGGTAGTCGAGTACAAACGCACCGCACTTTGATAATGTAATACCAACACATCGTTTCCTGTTTTTCCCTCTTTTTGTTTATATGAACGTATCGAAGTGTTATTTATAATAAATACAGCCACGAAAGTATGATAAATCTGTAGGATTAAAAAAAAGAAATCCCGTTTCCCCTTCGTGGGGAATGGGGCGAATACATTTCTGTGTCCGTTCTACCGATCCGTTCTTAATAGGCTAGTAGTAGATCAGACTTCTGTGCCTTGCCTGACCTAAACAATTGATTGTTTCCCTGGGATTCAAACCCAGGAACTAGAGAAACGAGAGTTTCTGACTGAGACTTCTATTGTTTTGCCTAGGCAAGTATATCTCGTCGTAACGCGAGTGTATCAAACACAGGAGCTAACGCAACGGTTTAAATCAAAGGTTACAAACATTTGAACATTTTTTTGTTGTGTATCATTCGTTTATTAATTATCAAAATATCTGTGATTGACGATAAAGACAACAATCAAAATGGCGATAGGCTTATCACTAAAATGCGCGTGATTACTTATAACTGTTGAAGAATAATAATTAGAAACTAATTTTAATGCCAATGTCAATATATCTAATTAGTTACATTTACATAATGTGTGAATAAAACAATGTGTATTAATTTGAAATGCTGTCTTTCAAATACTGTGTATAGTTTACGCGAGTAGTACACATTTAAATAAAACACTTGACGGTTTAAAAAACGCGATCTATTAGTTAAACTTATTTGAAAATGTCGGGCCGAAGTTATAAATCATTTTCAAATAAGTTTAACTAATATATCGTGTTTTAAACCGTTAAAGTGTTTTATTTAAATCCCGTCTTTCCTTGTGACTAAAACTATTTTCTTGGGATTCGAATGCAGGAGCTATCGTTCTTAATTTGATGTAAAGTAACGAATTTAACTATAGAGGTACAGGGTCCATTGTGTAGTAGGCCGTGTATTTAATCCGTTATAGTCTTGTTTAGATGTTATTTAGTTCCATTGCATGACTATATCTGTTCATTGGCGTGCCTAGATCGACAAACAGATTCTTTGTATCCGAAACTGAAAGAAGTGCCTAAATGTTTACTGACGATTCTTCATTCTAGAAAAAGTATCTTCTTGAAAAGTCATGACAGAACACTCAATTTTATGCTAATTGCTATATGAGTCCCCTCCCCCTTCCACACCCCTAGGTCAAAAGTTAAGTACGCTCACGTCTGCACTTTGAAACACAAGTCTATCTATGCTAGATAGGCCGTTAGGTAGTACTTACTACGCATTTAAAGATGACTAACAAAGAACCTAAAATATGACAAAACGTTTGCATTATGTATATTATTAATACCTTTGTTTCTTGGTGTTTGTCCGTTGTCGTCTGTGATGACAGTTACGTCAATCAGCAAATTCACTGCACTAGAATCTGTACTATTGAGAATATATTCATTTATTTCACACTTTGATACACAAAACATAAAGATATACTGTGAATTTTTTGCAACTACAGAGTGTACTGGGCGGCCTTATCGCTATAAGCGATCCTCTTCCGGGCAACCCGACTAGAATGGAATTTAATAAGTAAACTAGACAAGAATTAAATGCAATTAATTAAGTGAACTATAAATAATAACCCATTAAAGGTTAAGAAAGAGGTAAAAAAAAGTTCAATCTAGGAAGAAGGATAAGGACAGAAATAGCTTATTGAATTAAGAGGCTTTAGAAGGAAGTCAAGGATCTAGACGTACTAACACTTAGAGAGTTCCAAAACTTTTCAGCAGCTATAGAAAATGAGTTGCCAGCAGAACTCGTGAAATTACAATATATATATTTTATGATTTATTACAAAAACTATAGTTTTTTTCAAACAATGGAATTACCATTGTGCCTTTGTGATTTTTAAAATAAATAAAAAAATATACTTAATTTTTTTTTAAATTTAAACTTCGACTTCGTCGTGTTTCTACAGAGTGTTCAAAAGAGCAACATAATTGAAAAAAAAACCCAAGAAACTTGTCCTTTTATAAATATTCTTAAACTAACTCATTACTGTCAGGCGGTCTTGTCATTAAAGAAATCGTTCAGACAATAATACGCCTTTTGAGACAATCTAAGTTTTATAACTTTCTTTACGACCTCGGTGTGTGTTTGTCTGTCTGTTACTTAGTTAATATCAATAAATGTTAAAAGGTCATAACTAAAAAGTTAGAAAATGAAATTTGTATTCATACATTAGTTTATACCAAATCTCTCTCGTGCAGCGAGACTCTTGTTTTAGTTTGGCCTATAGTATTTTTGCCCTATCAAGAACTTGGTAAATGTGTGCATACGAACTTTTAATTATATTATATGAAGTGAATTTTATTTTTCGCTATTCCAGATTCGTAGCGTGCACCCCGAAGATGAGCAAATCCCTATGGAGGCTCAGTTGGCGCATCATCAGGCAACTCCACGGCTTCCTGTACTCTGCCCACGATCGCTCCGAAGTAGCTAGAGTTTATTATAAATTAACAATGGACAAGGACGAACATAGACTGGATAAAAGGTACTATTCCTATTACTTGGTCCAAAACCCCGGGTAAGTCAAAAAATAGTTCCATCCGGGGCAAGACAGAAGTCATATATACAGAATAATTAATTTAATTTTATATGAGAACTAGGGAAAATTCAAAAATACGCGCGGGTGAGATTCGAATTTGCGATAACCGCGTTTCAAGCCCAAGAATTTATTTAATTATTCCACATTTTAGTTACAATTCACTTATTTCAGTCCAGTTATCTGCCCAGACGGGCTCTCAGAAGTTTTGCTCGAACTACCCCACAAAAGTTTAATCGCGTTTCGTTCGGTTTTAGTCTGTAGATTTCCGAATATCCAAAACAAATGGGTCGACAGTATATCTAGTTTAGACGTTATATGGCGGGGGTATTTCATCTACCATCTAGTGAACCCCGTGCTTGTCTGTCCTCCTCTATCGTATAATGGCTTAGATTATTACCATATTTGAAAACTTTATTATTTTTTTTATTGCACATGAAGGCACTATATAATGTAAAAATCGAAAATAAATGGAAAAAAAAATTCGACTCCGGCAGGATAACCGCATCGTCAGAGTTTCGTGCAATTGCAAAAGATTAGCTCAAATGGCAGAGAAACAGCACGCAACTTGACCGAGTCGAATTTTTTTTTTCAATTTATATTCCATTTCTATATTACCATATTTTCAAAGACATGCATATAATTATCATACAGTTTACACGAGTCTATGACGAAAGGAGAAAAGCGTTCTCTCTCTTACAAGGAACACGAACACAAATTTCTTATTGACGTCATTGATTCACGTGTCTCGTTACAATTCCTGCTATAATAAGACTTACAAAGCACATAATCACGAATAAAAGCTATTTATGCTATTAATAAATACCGCGATACCTAAGTATAACTATGCATAGAATAAGATTCGAAATTATGAACTATAGGCATAAAAGTTTCCACAGAGTCCAGTGTGACGTGTCCAGCTAATCAGCCGTTTATTACACAGCCCCTTATCCGGCGACCTTCACATGCCTGATAGCCCTATCTGCTTAATTGCATCGAATGATATAAATCTTGTTGTGATTGGTTTTAATTGAGCAATGGCGTAGAAAGCCTCATCGCTAAGCCGATACCGATAATAATTAGGAACGATAAAGTACTATTCAAAATTTGTTTAACAGGGGTTCGAATCCACGATTTACGCTGCTGTAACTAAGCTAAGGAGCAATTAGTTCATTTCGATTTATACGTGGCTCTCATGCGCGGTAACATGTCAAAAATTGCCACATCATTTCGTATTTTTCTTGTTCAATTTCTAGTATGTCTGTGATAAAACACTTAAACTGTTTTATACGCGAAATAAATAAGTAAATTAGTTTCTACTACCGCTTTATCACCGCGTGACTAAGGTTGCTATAAGCATCCGCAGTTAAAAAATAAGGTAACGAATATATTTTGCGTTTTAAACCATTGTCTTTGTTAAGAAGATATAATATCATACATTTACACAATAATAAAGTATGAATTTTCCCTTTACCTACATCCTTTATCCTTAATCAGTCGAATCCGGAAAAGAATACGTCCACTCGTCTTGACATTGAGATATGAATCTTATTGTAACGATAGAAGATTGTAAGTTTATTGACACACTTTATCATTTAATCCCCAAAGTCGTTAACTCACTCGACCTTATATAAATACGAAAGTCCTGAACAATATTTATTATAGACAAGGACATACTAACCACACATGATGTTTGACGGAATAATTCTTATAAAGGCAAGCTTTGGCGAGCTCGTTGGTGTAATGGAAGCAATGTTTGGACTGTTGGAATTACCTATGTAGAAGTATCGTAATCTCGTACGCGCCACGATCCACCATAGATTGCTTATTCTGGGCTTCCGAAATATGGATACGGGCTGGGCTATTTTACATTCCATCAAGGAATGACACTTATAAAAAACTAACCAATCTGTCTGTTACAATGATAGATATTATTTCCTATTTCCATAGTTCATTTATAGTGCTTATATCTAAAATCGACGCCAACCCCAGCTGTTTCTAACGCCCGATAGCCTGACACAATTACGAGAACAAACAATTATTGTGCGCAAATGATAGCTTATCACTTTCGTTGTTCGAAAGTCGCTAATTGGTACAAACAACTTGAATTGAACTACAATTATTTGAAAGTTGTATGAAATGTAGTTGAATTACCTCGTTGGTACACTCGCGTGCAAATTACCTGGTTCCGGGAAACTTTGGGTCATAACAAATATGGCATATACAAATAAATATAGCAAATACTATATACTAGCTGTGTCAGCGACTTCGCCCGCGTATTATAGTTAATTTAGGCATCCAAATTAGTTATTGCAAATCCCCTCTTCACCTTTATAAATTTAAACTAATACCCACGACGTCGTTCGCGTGTCACCGTTCTTGCAAACTAATCTTAAAACATAGACATATAGTGTCGCTGACATTTTTTATATACATATTTTTTAGTGTCTTACGTACGTAACGGAGTCCCACAAACATTAATAATTCTCCCCATTTTTTCCACATTTGCCGCTGTTTCTTCGTTCCTATTAATCACAGCGATCTTTTTACCTATAGCCTTCCTCAATAAATTGGATAAGCAACACAAAAATATTCAAACTAGTAGCTCCTGCGTCATTAGCGTCTTCAAACAAAGTCTTCAGTTATAAAACATCATATTGTGTCGTTTTATATATAAGCTTATCTTTTTAATTTAGAGTTAAAAGAATTTCCTTGATCTTTGTATTTTGAATGCAAATGAATAAAATTAAAATATGACGCACATTGCACAAACTTCGTGTCATTATTACCTACGTGACGTCAAAAGAAAATGCGTCGTAATTAAATTATTTTTATAATTAAGAAAATGGCAAACACAAAGTAAAGATTTCACATGTGAAAGTGTATCGAAAATTTAATGGTATTTTAACGAAGCGGATAAATTAAACTTCGTTCCAGAAACAATACGATGAAAAGAAATAGTTTCTCTTATTTAGACTTCAAGTAACATCAATTACTTAAACGGACATAAATATGTGTCTCGACATACTCCTTCTAGGGAAAACCGCCTTTTAGTTTTCAGATAAGGCAGGGAGTGTTTTATGCCGTCGGTTTTCAAAGCCGAAATATAATAATAATAAGTTGGGATATAACGGCAATCTCATGCTTACGTCTAGATAAAAGAAATATGGTGGCAAGAGCTGAACAGAGCTTTCTTGTGATATTCCTGAACTTCTTCTAGATTTTTAACGATAACAGTCATTTAAATAAAACGTTTTAACAGTTTAATACGCGATACATATTAGTGAAACTTATTTCTACATTATTTTAACTACGGCCCGAGGTTTCTGATGCTTTGCAGCAGCTGTGGGAGACACGTGACCTAAGACTGCTGCTAAGCCGTTTAACTAATATATATCGCCTTTTAAACCGTTAAAGTGTTATTTAAATGTGTACTACTCGCGTAAACTACGGACAGTATTTGATAACAACCAGTTTTTTTCTTCCAGACGTGCCAGCCAGCTCTGCGTGACGTACGGTGACCGTGACATACCAACCGAACCAGACACCTTTGAACACATCCTGAATGTTACCAACCACAATGACGCACTACTAGCCTACTACTACCTCGACAGTGACAATAAGGTAAAGGCATTTTAAATCAAAGTCAAACTTTATCGATTAACATTTTATTACACTTACGAGCACATCAGTTAAAAACAGACTCTACATTTACATTTATTACCAGTTCTCATAACGAGAAGAACTGGCAACAAACTCGCCGCCCCTCCTATCGCCCCGTTTCATTTTAAAGCCTTCACGTATTTTACGTGCGTTCACCAAACCGGTAGCAATTTTATCGTTTAAATATTTATTACGTCATAATAACCTTTCCAAGCAGATATATTTTCGTAACACATAGAATAAGTGACAGGTAAACACGATGCGCTGTCGACCTTTTTTGGCTTGAATTTTCGTGATTCACAGGCCGAAACCGAAACGCGGATTATTACTTTAAGGCTTTTTCATCTGAGGTCGGTTTTCCAAAGTCTTATTTATATATGAAATTTTTTGGTGGAAATCAAACCTACAATCTCAAGAGATTAATAGCGATACATTCTTACCATAAAACCTACGACCCCGTCCTAATTAACCAATATAGTTCGCCTTTTAAACTCTCCATTGTTTAATTGCTGATAATTTGTCGTTGTTATGACAGGTCGTGGATTCGAACAGCACCGGGTGTAATAAGTTCCTAATTAACCATCAAATCACGTACCGCTGTCCACAGATGAAAAAGCCGTGAAGTTGAATCGCGTTTTGGTTTAAGTTTGTCAATATCCAAATAGGTCAACAGCATATCTTATTAAGATGTGAACCCCACGCTTGTATGTTTTCCTGTATAATAAAAAAAGATTACTATTATCTGTGGTGTGAGCGCTTATCTGTGACGTCACGAACGGTGGCACCACTCTCATGTGACCCTTGTCGTGGTCATTTATCTGTTGTTTTGAAATTGCGATTCGGAACTAATATGTAACTAATATGTAAATGCGCTTGAAATATGAACAGCTAAGTCCATTTAAGAAATAGCATTAATGTTGTCTACATAATTTGTTGTTGGGTTTGTTAGTCGTGGGTGCTATCCCCACCAGGTCCGACATGTTTTGAATCGAACTCCAATTTTTCTAAAACATGTTGGTCGCCGTCTAGTAATCTAGATATGAAATCGATAGTAGGAATATCTTAATTCCGTCCGAGTCATGACCCACCGTCCACAGATGAAAAAACTATTCAGTTTTAATGTGACATTTTCGAATATAGGTCGACAGCACTGGGCTGGGATATTTCGCTTCTCATCAACTGTACCCTATGCTTATCTATTTTCTTTTACCATAAAAAAATAGTGGGTAAATAAATTCTTCGAACATGTAAACTCCAAATCTTTTTTTAAAAATTATAACTAACATATAACCCTCGCTAGAGGAGGAATGGGGAAAAGGGTGGAATGATCAACAATTCTAGCCTGAGCGAAGCCTTCAATTATCCCCTACAACAAATAAATAATAATAATTGTTCAAGCAATTATCAATATATTAGCAAACGCAGTAAAAACACACGACATAAATTGTACCAGTCCTCGATAACCTTTACAACATCCAATTAGTTAACTGCAGTTGTATTAAAAATAAATGTTTACGTTTTGCATCGTCGAACTTCGCACCGTGAGTACTAAGTGTTATCTATGTAAACAAACGATCTTTAAAATAATCGTAGATTTACGATGTATAGTATACTTTTTTTTACTTGGCGAAAACAACAAATATGGCTTATTTTAAACCATAGACACGTAGTGATGACCTCTTATAGAGCAAAGTTGTTACCACAGATGACACAGAGATAAAGAACCATCGATTATGTATAGACCAAACGACCTCAATATTATAAATCTTTTTTATAGGCGCATTTTTTTTCTCACTTTATTATTTAACCCGACGGTTAGAATGCTTACCTACCAGCGTACGTGTATGTTATTAGTTTTTCCTTCTATTATCGTTGACCTTGCTTACATGGCGATTTAAAAAATTATTTCAGATGAAAATGACAGAGATCTATGACGTGACGGACGCGGACACGGACGCAGTGCAGTCGCCCACCGAGCGAGATCTCAACAAACAGCTGGAGTTCGACAACGACTGGTCCGGAGACTTAATGGCTGATGGTATGACAGTATTATTTGTCAAGTCACCTAGTGGATATCTAGATAGACATATTTATAAGACAACTAGTTGTATCCGCTACTACATCTTTATAAATTATAGCTGATATCCACAACTTCGGCCGCGTCATGTGTTTCTAGCTGGTTTAAGAATTTTGGTTACTTGTACCGTTTTCGCAGCCCACGCAACGGAAAGGATTTCCGTTGCATGGGCTGCAGGTTAACGTCAGAACTACTACACTAGCACCATCTTTCGGTCTTGAAACATTGAGCCATAGTTAAATTAATAAAAAATAAGTTAACACCTAAGTTTAATAAGTTATGTTTTGCATTTTGAACCGGTAAAAGTGTTTAATAAAGCGTAAAACTAAACTAAACTTAAAAACTAAAGATAATACTTAACATAGCATACCACATATTTATATGTTATTTATTCACAGATCAAGATGAAATAGACATAGAAGAGGAACTAGATCGAAACATCTTCTCGGATCCTGAAAGCGAATGGAGGTCGAGGGCGAAGTCCTATTCGATAGACTCAGCAGCCTCCAGCGAAAGTGATCAGCCGGAGTCCGATAGACCTATAACCTTTATGCATGCTGAATGACAAAAATGATCAAAACTAACAGTCAACAGTGATTTACCAAATATAGTATATGAAACTAGTGAATTTAATAAAACCTATGTATGACATATTTAGCGCTTTCGTTACGTAACGCGTTACGATATTAGTTTAAGTTATCACCTCAGTCAGGTCGAGACGCACACTTACTCTTTATGGTCTTATATAAATTACACAACGGAAGCCTAATGACACAAGTCAAACAATAAGGAACTACTTTACATTTATATAACACTAGCTGAGTCAGCGACTTCGTCCACGTAGAATAGTTATTTTGCGCAACCAAAACTGTTTTTACAAAGTGTCATCGACAGGAAGCAGGACGCGCAACGGGAAGAGACCTACGTCATTCTTTCGCGTCCCGTTGCTTGTCTTTCGGTTCCCGTCGCTCTTGCGAGTTCATCTTAAAAGATAGACATATACTTTCGCAGATAATTTTTTTTTGATAATTTAAAGAATAATCATCCTCATACAGATTATTGTCTATCTTGAACCGTCTTCGCAGCGTACGCGGCGGAAACTTTGACTTTGACTTGACTTTGACTTCCTATTGGTTACAGCCCAATGTTTTAGCCTTCTTCGATAAATGTTTTAACCAACAAAAAAATAATTTTTCAACACGAACCAGTAGTTCCTGAGAATAGCGCGTCCAAACAAACAAACTCTTCAGCTTTATATATTAGTATACATGTTATGTTGTATAAATGTAAAGTAGTATGTTATTTTTTAGGTTTGCCCAGCATTATTTTTATAAGCTAATGTCCACAGGTTTACTCTATAATAGTTAATAATGTAAATTGTAATTCTTCTAAACCAGTAGACTGATTCGCCACTTTGCTGCCATGACGTTTAATATATAAAAAAAAAGCAAAGGAGCGAATTGCTCATTAAAATTAAACTCTTTAATGTTAAAACACGATAGATTAGTTATATGTTAAAGAAGGCAAGCGTTGAGTCCACTTGATGCGAGGTGAATTACCTCAGGTCGACAACACATCATGTTAAGATGATATATATTTTGGCGACACGCGATTAAACTTGACAACTTTTTTATCTATGGACGTTGTTCGTGATCGGGACGGAATTGTATTTTTACCACCCATTTTATATCCAGGCTTCCAGACAAAGTCCAACATGTTTCAGATAAATAATAAATTCAAAAACATTGCCCGTTGATTATTTATTAGCCATACATTGCTACGAAGACGATGTTTTATTTGCAAATTAGAACTGCTATTGACGCTTAAATGCATGTCGCTAAATAACTTTGCGCAACGTCGGACTGTATGTAAAATAAAACGTGGTTTTACGAACAAGAAGCGTATAACGGCAGATTACAAAATTCCATACGATCTTGCGGAGGTAGGACGAACGTCCGCGATTGGTCACACCTGCGCTTGCGCAGCTGATGCAGAATCATTTCGCTTGTTTTCCCGAGAATCTAATCATCTCGTGTTTTACGCCATGCTAAGAAAAGCAATACGTTTAGGCTATTGAGGACATCTACTAGAAACAATTTCTTTTTTGTTTCTTTTTCTCGGCGGCTTTGTACCTGAAATATATAAAACTTGTTACCAGACTAAAAAAAGCAAAATATAATTTTCTTAAACCTTTGGGTCCATTTTTGTATGTAGATAAATTCTTCTAGTTAGGTGAATATGTGATAATAATATTGGTTACATAAGATATTTATATTTTTATACTTCTAGGTTTAAACCGGTTTAATGCTTATAACTGTTCTATTGAGACTTGTTTTTTATCCTGTATGTATCGGAATGTTACTGTGTTTCTTTTTAATTTTTTACTTAATATTATATGCTGCCATAATGTTTAATTATTGCTTGTAGTTCCCATTTAAATAAAACTCTTAAAACGTGAAATATATTGGTTAACTTTTTAACTGCGACGTTTCGGATACTTACGAATGTTATATTAAGTTAATCAGTATATTTCGCGTTTTAATCTGTTAAAATTGTTTAATTATCGTCATTTAACAGTTTTGTTACTTTACTTATTAGAAAAGTTAATGTCCCTAATCTAACCAGTTACCAAATTACTGTTACCCTTTGTAATTACTATTAAATTAAATTGTTATGTATTAAAACACTTTAAACGTTTTAAAACGCGGAATATATAAGTAGACCTATTTTTAACTGAACCGACATTTGGGATGCATTATAGTAGCCGTGGCCATGGGGGTTTGTCCTTCGCGCCCCATTGATATATGGTGTTCCTAACGTCAAAGTCAAGCCTGCGTTTTAAACCGGTAAAATTATTTAATGTGTTATGTCCTAAATAAATTATTTTTATCTCCGTTATCAGTGGTGTAGGTTTTTTATACATTAACTACATTTAAAAATGATTTAATATTATTGAGATACTTTACAGTTTTAATTTTCGACGCATTATAGAGTTTTAATTATGTTTTGTGTAATAGATTTTGTTATTTTAATGTTAACTAATGTCACAAATAAAGTACTGAATATTATGGGATCGGAATTTTCATTTATATATAATAGATAGTTTTATATATAACTAATTTTCGACTGGCTAGTGGTAGCAATCAACTACGGAGCAACGAGTCATAGACAATTATTGGTGCAGAAACTCCCGTTTTTCCGAAATGAGACTGGCGCTGGCGCAAGGATGGTAACTTGGTATTTACAATTACCCCTGAACCATTTAGCAGCCTGTTCAATATGCGAAATGTATCTGATAAGCTATATTTTAAAACTGTGACCCAACGTTTGATAACTATGTCATATTTCACATGATGGCAATTTATAATTATAAATCTGTGTAATAAAAAAAAAATTACTTCAATGGACTATTTGACAATGCGAAAAATATAGCATAAATTACTCTTTTCGATTTTATTATAAGTTAAGAAATAGTAAAACAGTTATATATGTTAAAATTAATAACTAATTTTACTAAAAACCCGCAAATAAAAATTAACTTTTTTAAACGTTTGACGCGTGACAGTAAACGCGGAGTATTGGTCGGGTGTATGATGACGTCACTTGCTTATAAACAGTGCTATAAACCACCGTGCTTCCTAGTGTTAAAACTTTTCTATTCTCTGCATTAATAAAGAAATAAATGTGTAACTCATTTTATTACTTCATTCGCTATAAAATGTTTGCATCATATGATCGATATACACCAATGGCCAAAATAAGGTCCGGACGTGACGTCACCAGCCGTATTGCAACGTTATTTCGCAAAATTATTAATTAATGTTGGATTTTTAATTTGATATATAATTCAGCAAATATTTATCAGGATTCAAAAATACTATTTTTGCCTGGAGTTTCTTCACATCCACAAAATAGTATAAAGTACATTTAAAAGCACTAAAATAGCCTATTGGTTAGTGAAGCAACCTGGAACGCTATATCATCAACTAACCCCGACATTTTGGATGCTTTGCAGCAGGCTTTTTATTTAAATAGATGCTCTTTATTTATCTACATCATCGCACGTATCGAAAAAATAAACATGACACTGTCAGGAAGAATCGATTTCAAACTGAAGTGTCATTATAGTTTTTGAGGAGTTCTTGTACCCACATTTTCTTATCACCGATTTCAGGTTTCGCGCTAGCAGCCTTCCTCATTCGAAGGGCGCGTTTTTCACCATGGTTGGCAAAGGTGAGGTGAAGAGCAGCAGAATTTTCCATCAGTGCTACGTGAAGTGTTGCAAGTTGCAAAACCTTACCCCGCTCACCACTGTCATACCGGTTGGGAACGGAAAGGTCTTGGACTTTTGTGTGGACAGGATAAAGTATGCTGACTGGCCGCCCATTCTGAACGCACTAAGTTGTGATTTGAGCCTACATTCTGTTGCAATCAAATGCCGTCAGCAGGTGAAAACAGGTATGACACTAACAGTAACTTTGAATATACATTCTCAATGTAGACTAGGTTCCTAGATCATATCTTGATATTAGTTTATATTTTAAGGGGGGCTGCAATATAACAGTTATATATTGAAAGAAACACACATATATTTTTGCTCCGTGCACTTTGACGGGAAACGGGATTTAAACTTTGATATATATATTTTTATATTATTTTCTAAACTTAACAGCTTAAATTAATAGATAATGTAATAAAAAAAAGTATAAAACAATATAGCTAAGTGAAGTTTTCACTTTTAGCATGATAGAGAAGGTACAATCAAAGGAGTTCCTACTGGCTATATAAAATAAAAGTTAAAAATTTTGTCTATTGTTGCTTCTTGCCTATTAATAGTAAGGGAACCCTTCATGGTAGAATAACACTTGCACTTGGTTGGTTTATTTACAATTTATGAAATAAGTCTTGCGTTTGCGATGGTAATTGGATTTGGAAAAATTTCAGTACTTGAACACATAGACTGCGAAAGACTAGCGAAAACCGTTAACAAACGAGCTGTGATTCTCACGAACTTCATGCTTAGTAACTTGGTAGAGGCCACGTCTCAACTACTGTCCAACACAACGCTACTGACATCGTTGCTTCTAGAAGGACTTCCTCTGAAAATACCCTACTTAAATCCTATTTGCGAGGTATCACTTTATCTCAATGTTAAACGCGTACCAATAAGCATTCCTTGGTTCAAATCCTGATAAGAAGTTCCAGCCAAGTTCATACAGATTAATAAAACTAACATAATGGTAGAATAGAAATAAGCTACTTGGCTACAAGTAGAGAACGCCTGCCCCACTTAGAGAAACTTCTTATTTAAGGATTAAGAAAATCATACATTGTAATATCTAAGTAGCCAAGTTTTTCTTTACTGTCTGTATTTTACGCGAGTAGTACACATTTAAATAAAACACTTTAACGGTTTAAAACGCGATATATATTACTTAAACTTATTTAAAAATAATTTTCTAAATAAACTTATTTACAAATTATTTAATAATAATTTTTAAATACGTGTAACTAATATATATCGCGTTTTAAACCGTTAGTGTTTTATTTAAATGTGTACTACTCGGGTAAACTTCAAACGGTAGTACATAATTATATAAAATCCAGGCATTACTAGCAAACAACTCCCTGCAACACTTATATCTACCGCGATGTCTCATTGGAGATGCTGGTTGCTTAGCGATATGCAAAGCGGTTCGATGCCTGCCCAATATTCTTACACTGGACCTAAGCGGTTGTGAATTAACTCCACTTGGCGCTAGTTATATTGCGGATTTGATTAAGGTACATTATTCATTTTAGTTTTATATTTTTTTGTATTGGTTTTGTATCGTATAGTTTATTTTTTTTAACCTGGCAAAAGACCGCAACAAATATGGCCGATTTCAAACCATACAGAACTAGTGATGACCTTTTATAGTATTATTGTATTGCTTAGTGTTGTTGTTAGTATCACAGTTCAAGTAGATATATTATATTATAGTTGTATGTAAAAAAAATGTGTAGTAAAATTTAAACAGTGAATTGTTTTTTTGGTACTTCGTCGCTTTTTTAATTCTAGCTTTAGAACAAAAGATATATAGTAATATGCCCATTTTTTCGCACGTTATTTTAATAGTAGCATATATGGCTAATTATGAAAAGGTGGGTTTGATTCCCACCAGGTCCAACTCTCTTAAAATCTTATCAAATTAAATATTTTTTGAAACATGTTGAACTTAGATATCTGCATATTAAGCCAAAAAACTGTTTTGTACCGTAAATAAAATTTTGTGATTAAAACCGTTAAAAGTTTTATTTAATGTCTGCCTCACGAGCGAAATCTGAATGCGTTTTCGGTTTGTGTCTAGTATCAGAAGATCCACCGATACAGTGAAAACTGGGTTCACACACTACGATACCGGTTGCCCGAACTGGACACGATGGCTGGTCTGCGCCGAATCACGGTCAACGGAAACCCTCTGGGCGATCAGGGTGTTGGAAAGCTGCTGGACGTGCTGGCTGATGATTTGTGGATTAAAGGTCTTCTATTCTATTTTGTCGTTGTTTGAAAACTTTATTATTTTTCACATGTTATTGCAATTTTCAAACGTTAAACTCTGTAGTTTACGCAAGTAAATTAAATAAAGCACTTTAACGGTTTAAAACGCGATATATATTCGTTATTGAACATAATTTTAACTACGGCCCGACGTTGCGGATGCTTTGCAGCAGCCGTTTTTAACCGTTAAAGTTCTATTTAAACGTTAAACTCTGTTATTTCAAGTTTATTGATTTTCTTTACCTGCAAAGCATACAGTGTCGTATGCTTACTAAGCAAGTGTTAAGGTTGCAATTACATTACGCGAAAGGTGCAAGTATGAAAGCTCGACAAACTTCGACTATGGCGTGTAGGACCTTACTTAGTTAGATCATCAGCACGGAATTTCTTTTTAATCCAAAATCGATTTTTAATTTATCCGTTGTATCTTATATTTAAACAGAGCAATATCCGAAGCTACAATAGGCTACCAGCGCATCTTGTTGAGATGTTATATGGTTGGAGTACATCACCTTCCATCAAGTGCACCTCGCGCTCCTCTTTTGGGCCACATTACCATTCAGAACAACGTTCAAATTTTCTTACTCTCTAACTGCTTTTTGGGGGGAAAGCTTAATCAACCTACCCCAAATCGCTTCTAATGTGGAATAATTCCAGCTCTTGATGTTCAAAGTTGTGGATTGTCAGACGACTGCGCAGCGATGGCACTACAAATAATGAGTTCAAACACTACACTAGTGGTTCTTGATATGAGGCACAACTCTATTTCTAGCGAGTTCCTCTCAAAACTTAGGTCTTCTCTTAGAGACAATGAGAGGGGAGCCGGAGGAATGGTAAACTATTTAAATACTGTACGTAGTTTACACGAGTACCATATATTTAAATAAAACAATTTAACGGTTAAAACCCGAATGTATTATGTAATAAGGATAACCATCATGGCTGCTGCAAAGCATCCGAATCGTCGGGCCGTAGGTAAAATCATGTTTAAATAAGCTTAACTAATATATTTGCATTTTAAACCGTTAAGCAGTGTTTTATTTAAAAGGTAATCTATGTGTTTAAGTTATTTACGAAATCTTGTTATTTTAGTGTAGCTACCAACTTCCAAATTTGTTTCCGGTCTTACACATTTGAATAGAACAGTTTTAACGGTTTAAAACGCCAAACACCTTCTAAACGCTAAACTCTTCCCTCGATATGATTACTGCAAAGTATACGAAACGTCAGGCCGTTCGTCAAACTAAGTTAACCGACTTATTTCCCGTTTGAAGCCGTTGAAAGTATTGTATATATATCTTAATCTATGGAAACTTTGCCTTTATGACCACTGATGATTATTGGCAAATCTGTGTCGTAAATATTGGGGTTACACGATAAATAAAGCACATTACCTAATGAAAACATTCGGAATTCTTCGTATTTAAAACCGTTTAAAGAGTTTTTGATTTAATATGATACACTTTTACCCCGATTGATCGCCTTGAATAAACGCATCGTACAAGATAGGGAACGCGGTATATCAATAAAATGAATTTGTGTTTAATGCTTTGTTTCTTTTTGAAGTATACCTGGTTGAGTGTTAGCGGAAGCTCAACCGATGCAAGATCAGTCAAACCTGTAACCAAGTACGTATTTTTAAAATACTTAAACTATCTCATTTTAGCTAAAACTCAAATTACGTTTGTATATTTCTTAAGATCTATATTTGTTAGTTTAGAGTATATAAACTTCTTTTGCTTTTGGGTTGCTTGGAAGAGATCGCTAGTTAGCCATTTTAGTACATTTAACGTCCGTGTATATTTTTCATATATTGTGCAATAAAGTGAAAATAAAAACTTATTTAATTCTTAACATGGGCATACGCAGGCTAATCTAATTACTATTTTTATTCTAGAAATGGGATAATAATAAAAGACAGAGTCGCTTCTAACGTGAGAACTGCACCTAATAAGTATGCAACTAAGACAAGTGTTGTTAAAAAGGAAAAGTAAGTTTTGTTAGTAGCTTATCATCTATAAGCTAGTAGTACACATTACAATATATAAACAGAGATGGAAGTACTTATGTTAACAAATATATTGCTCTTTTGAACCCTCTGTGGAATCACGACGAACAGACAGACAAACAAAAACAAAATTGACGAATCTAAATTATTTCATTGCATTTCCTTTCATTTTATTTTATTTCGTGTTTAGCCTTTCTTGTTCAGAAACCCATTAGACTAGTAAAAGACTCTTGTGCATTTTTTTTTATTTATGAGCGACAGCTACGCTATGCGTCCGTGAACGCATGGGACGTGGGGCAAACGCATTTTAATTACAAACAAGTATTTGATCACTTTTCTGTCCTGCCTAACCGAAACATCCCCGGGATTTGAATACAGGACCTCTTGTGCTTAATAAAATGTAAAGCTACCATTAATTAAGAAGGCGGGTACTCAATATGATATATATCATTATGTTAGTATTAGTTTGTGTAAGTGAAATAATTCAACGATTTACAAAGTGTTCATTACAGGGATTATGCGGAGGCTTTAGAGGAACAGCTACAAGAGGAAATATCGCACAGGCAACAGCTCGAAGAGTTAAACTTGCAACTCGTCGAGCAAATGAAACAGATGAAACGACAACAAATGCAGCTCTGGGCCAACAATTCGGCTTCATCAGGTTTTTAATTAAACGCTTTTACTGTCTGTAGTTTAAGCGAGTTGTGCACATTTAAATAAAATATTTTAACCGTTTAAAACGTGAAATGTATTAATTAAACTTATTTGGAAATTATTTTAACTACGGTCCAAAGTTTCGGATGCTTTGTAGTAGCCGCATATCGCTATACCAGTTGCGACGGAATAGATGGCGCTAGCATAGTAGATTTACTTTGATATTAGAGACACCTTTCATCTTTGGTCTTTTCGTGACTATAGCTGCTGCAGAGCATCCAGATCGTCGGGCCGTAGTTTAAAGTTTCAAATAAGTTTAACTAATATATTTCGCCATTTTAAACTGTTAAAAGTGTTTTATTTAGAAGTGCTAATCTTGTTAGACAGTCAATTGCATTTTAATATACATTTTAGGTTCAGAGCAGTCGTTCCAAGCGAGTTCCCATTCCGGAGACCTCTCGAGCAGTACGGAATCCACGAGCTCAGTACCGATAGATCAGAACACCTTGTCGTACATACAGCAGGCGTTTAAGGATATATACGCCTTTATAAAGAATAATCAGTGCAACGGGTTAGCCCTTATTTTCCTTTAAATTCATTTCACTATTTATACTAAACGGAACGTCTCTTGCAACTAAACTATGCACTTAACTATATTATTCCTGTACAGCCAATGCGAAGAGAATATGAAGAAGAAGGAACCAGATTTGCCATCTCTTGTGGAGTCACCAGTCTCGGAACGAGGAGAGGCCACAGCGACTGAACTTCGCATCAATATTGCACCCAAACGAGCGCAAAGCTCGCACCTCAAAGTGTTTGAAAATATTAGCAGAAATAAAACGACGAAGTCTGCGCACTTGTTGAGTGATCCGCAGTACAGAGATACTATTGAAATGGTATGTATTAATTTAAAAATCGAAAATATTTTGAAAAAAAATTCGACTCGTGCAGGATTTGATCCGGCATAGTTAGCGTTCCGTGTTGTTGCTCTACCAATTAAGCTACCGAGCCCTTCACCTCATCGTCGATTTTTTTCAACTTATTGATACATGCACCTCTGCGCAATGTAATTTCAACCTTAGTACTTACTTATTAAGGTTCATGCCTTATGCTTTGCAGCTTAAGAAATCATTGAAGATGAAATTACAAAGTTATAACGTTTGAAAACTTTATTATTGTTTACATGTTATTGCACATGAAGGCACTATACAATTTAATTTCAAGTCCTGCCCGAGTCGAAAATTTTTTCAATTTATTTTCGATTTTTAAATTGTATAGTGCCTTCATGTGCAATATACAACATGTAAAAAATATTAAAGTTTTCAAACGTTGAAATAGTATGCTTGAAAACCTTTAAAAAAAAAAAAAAAAAAAAAGAAGGGGGAAAAAAAAAAAAAAAAAAAAAAAAACAAACCCCCGGGGGGGGGGGGCGGGGGGGGAAAATTTTTTTTGGGGGGGGGGGGCCCCCCCCCCCCTTTTTCCCCCCCCCGCGCGCGGGGGGGGGGGGGCCCGGGGGGGGGGGGGGGGGGAAAAAAAAAATTTTAAAAAAAGGTTAAAAAAAAATTTGGGGTTTAAAACGGTGAAGGGGGTTTTTTTAAACCTTTAAAAATTTACACATTTTATTGCACATGATGGCACTATATATAATATACAAAAGAGAGTTTTTTGGTCATGTTATCTTATTATCATCAAATTTTAAAAGTAGACTGATGAGTTTTTTTTTAGTTTTAAATTCACGACACGGGCAGAACTTGAACCGGCAAACGCAGCGTTCCGTGCTATTGCTCTAACCAATTTAACTACCGTGTCCCACACGTCATCGTCGATTCTTTTTCTTCCCTATTACACGCACCTCTCACGCTATGTAATTTAATTCTTCATTTGTATTACTTGTTTGGTTTTAGTTAAATTTAATTTTCTCCAGAAACCGGAGATGTTCGAACGGCAAATGGGTGACACAATGAATGCTTACGAGAGCAAAAAGAAAATTCTAGACGAGAATATCATTCAGAATAAGAAGGTAATTAATCAATGTTTTATATCTCATCTTTTCTTGGACCTTAAAGAAAAGGTTTCTAAAGTTTACCCAAAAAAAAACAAGGTAAACATTGCTTTGTTTAGCACAGACTGCATTAAATCATTTAATTTCTATTTACCTAAATCAAAATGCATATTACTTAGTGCAATAAAGAAAAAAGTGGCTTATTTTCTGAGTAACACTTGGACAGGTAATCTAAGGAACCGTAACTAGAAATATTACAATCCTATACATTTTTTAAAATATAGTTTTCTAAATTATAGTTTTGTTAACTTGACTATGGCTTCTTATATGCCATGCTCTGGTATTTTGCATAGTAGCAGGAATTCCATGAATCCTGTAAAAACTAAATTGATAATCTTTCATCAGACCATGTATGACTCAAGTCCATCTAGTTCCGCTATGAGTGACTCGTCAGACACACTTGTGTGCTCCCCGCGACGGCCCAACGGCCTCAACCCCCGTGACGCTCTATATTCGTCTTCGGATGACGATTGTTGAATTTTTACACTTGTTTGTGAAGAATAAAGTTATTGTGTTCATAATATAGGTCTTTAAATTTTCATAAAACCACTAAATGGACTATAACTATTTATTTAAATAAACTAATACAAAATTATTCACTAACACCTTCCACCTTCTTTTGTTGTAGTTTGGCAATCATTAACTTCTCACGAGCTTCTAAACGAGCTTGTTTTTCACGCTTCTTTTGTTCCTTCTCCCTCTTGGCCAACATTTCTTGGAATCTTTCATCTCGTGGGTCCAGAGTGAAGCCAAAGTGCCTCCGCACTTCTTCAATAAGACGTTCTTTCTTTAACTAAAATGGGAAAATCAATTTATATAAAAATGTACTTAGTAAGAGGTTTTATTTAAAAGCTACTACAATATGTTATTTACCTTAGCAGCTTCAACTTCAGCCTCCTTCTTAGCAATTTTTTCTTTTAATTCTTTCTTCCATTGTCCTAACTTTGCAAATTTAGCAGCAATCTCATTGTCTCTTTGCTGTGTTTTTAGTCTTTCCTGTTCTCGCTTTTCAGCCACCATAGTCATCATTTCTTTAATGGTGAAAGGGTAAGCCACTGCTTCATATTCTTGTTTTTCTTCAATATCTAGTTTTGAGGGCCAGCAAATGTCTATACAGAAAACAAATAGATTGCAAAGCTAGTTAAAAGGTATTTAAATTTACTCTACAAATATAAGACATTACAGACTAAACTATAATAAACAAACAACATATAAATTAATAAACAAAACATTTAATGTCTTTTAAGATCTTAGGTTGAGCATTTACAGTAATAACTCATGTCAAGTTAATTATTCTACTTGAAATAAACTTTAACTATATACGCTTACTTGGATTAACACCACTTGCAGCCCCATACTTTCCATACATTTTCCTATTGTATTTTACAGTTAAATGTGGTAAAGCCATAGGCTCTTTATAAGGTCGTCTTCCGTTAATCACATTGTAATGAGCCGCTGATAAACGGGATATATTCCTTTTCTTCTCAATTTCTGCTTCTCTTGCAAGGGAATTTTCCGTATCATCTATGTCAACCTGCTCATTCTGTACTACTTCAGAAACGGTCGTGGCTGAACGAAAAACGCTCGTAAGCCGAGACTGTAATAATTTAGGTCTAAAGTACAGGTTCATGACTTAAATATAAAATTATTTAATCAACTAACAATAGAATAAAAATAGTTAACTCATAACTTGGTTAAGAATTTGTAATATTTACAAATTACAATGTGAATATCGCTGTCAGTTGTCACTGTCTACAGTTGAGAAATCTCATAGTCCATCGTAGATTATGTTAAAAAAGTATGACTTACTATAGAGTATTTATTTTAAAACGCAGTGATTAGACAATACGGTAAATACATAGAACAATGAAATATTATATCTGTACTGAAGGTTTACGCTTCGTAAAAACTTGAAAGTGACTTCATTTCTATCGAAATCGGCAAATAATTGATTTTCTTGAAAATGGACGACTTTGGTGATAATTTTGTTCAACCCGAAGTAGACCCAGCAGCCGAGTTCTTAGCTCGAGAACAAAACCAACTTGCAGGCCTCGAAGATGAGTTGGAAACTAGCGCTCCGCCCCCTATTGCGAGTAGTTTGGCTTCCAATGGATTAGATGATTTTGTCGGTAATTATTGTTTTAAACTGTGTATATTATTGTTATTCCTTTTTCTTATTACATTTATTTGTATAAACCTGGACATACTTATTCGACTTCAAATGGTTTACAAAAATACCTAAAGAAAATTAAATATTTCGCAGAAGTACCAAGTGCAGCAGCATTTGAAGCCAATGGTCTGATGGATGACGATGTGGCACCCACACCTGCAGCACCTGTTGTCTCTGTATTTAGGCAAGAAAGAGAAGAACCTGAAAAGATCAGGCTGTGGAGAGAGGAACAAAAGAAAAGATTGGAAGAGAAAGGTACTAATACTTAATTAATGTTATTACAATAATAATAATTAAACACTAATATACATAAATAATTTCTAAATAAAACACTAACGGTTTAAAACGCGATATATTAGTAAAGCCGTGGTCTCCCTGTGACGGCTGCTGCAAAGCATCGAAACGGGCCGAAGTTGAAAATCATTTTCAAATTAGTATATCATATAATTAATATATCGCGTTTTAAACAAATAAATAAATAAATAAACCGTTAGTGTTTTATTTATGTGTACTGCTCACGTAAACTATAGACAGCGTCTAAATAAAATTTCTTTCAAAGATGCTGAAGAAGAAATGAAGAAGCAAGAAATGTTGAAGGTAGCTAAAAAGGAACTGGAAGATTGGTACAAAACACATGAAGAACAGATATCCAAAACTAAAGCTGCTAACAGGTAAAAATTGGGTTGCCTAATCATAACATATATTCTTATATTGCATTCCTGTGTATAATAAATTAATTTAATATTTTTCTTTGTATACACTTATTTTTGCATGTGATATAATAGAAAGCTTGTAGTATTGACATAGTACTCTTAGATTTATAAAAACTTTGAAAGTCACATTATCGCTGGGACTTATTTAAGTACATATTCTATAATTGCATTTATATACTGGGCCTTTTCTGTTCTATGCACACAGGGAGTCGGCAAAGTAAGTACACCGCAAAGTAGTAGTGGGTATTTTACTAAAACCTGTGTTGGTGATGGTTTATAGAATATGCTATCAAATGGAATCATATTGTGTGTTACACATTTAACAGGGTTGTAAAGGTTTTTAAAGCGTGTATTTAAAAATTTTCAACCACATAATAAAATAAATTAGGATATTTAGCTGTTAAGTGGTTAATCAGATATTGTGATTGAGTAATTAGTACAACTAAATTACTTTTAGGAGCTATGTCAAGTGTAAGTCTCTCTAGAGCCACTTAAATTAATCACAGCATTGGATATCAAAATTGGTGATGTGATTCCCAGCGTTCTGATAAAAATTATAAACATGAGAGAATCTGTTACTGTTTGGCTTGGCCTTTGCTACATATAAATTGATATTTGAACTTTGTAATACAATAAAAATTGCATCATTTAAATTATTTGGTTTAGAAAACAAAGCTTTTAATGATAAATAATTTTGAAACATACATACATATATTCATTTAAAATAAAGCAATCTTCATAAAGCAATGGTAATTATAATAATTTATTTAATTTGTGGGTAAACATGTTAATTACCATTATTAATAATAGAAACGCAGAAAAAGCTTTAGCTCGAGGATCAGAGAGCAATGCTGATGATGGGAACGAGTGGACTCGAGTAGCTGAACTTTGCGACTTCGGTCCCCGCAGAGGACGAGATGTCGCGAGACTTAGATCGATTGTTCTTCAACTCAAGCAGTCTGGTGTGAGCCCTAAATATCCTCCACGTGCTAAAGTGTAAGTTGTGGAACTAAGCCGTTACATATATATTCTAAGTCTTGATTTAAAAGTAGAGAAACTTTTTTTTTTTTAATGATAGAGGAAACTTGGGGTTCACTTAATGGTAGGTGAAATACCCCAGCCTATAGCATCTAAAGGAGGTGCGCTGTCGACCTATTTTGGCTTTAGATATTCGGAAATCCACAGACTGAAACCGAACTGTACGGCTTTATCACCTGTGGACGGTGGTTCGTGACCCGGATAGAATTTCTATATTCCTCCCTTCCATTTAATATCCAGCTTTCCACATGGAAGTCCAACATGTTTCAGAAAAATTATAGGATAAAATCTAAAACCTTAAACTCACTACACCCAAGCAGTTTGGTAGGATTTGATTAAAGCCACTTAATTACTGGTAATAACTGGAACAGCTTAATGTGTTCATGTGATAAACATGTGTACGCTCTTACAGGAATGGCATTTTCATCTTCAGTTTAAAACAAAGTTCTTACTAATTTCTCTGTTATGTTCTCCTCCAGCTACTATTAACTATACATGTTTTTTTTTACAGTGCTTGAAGAGAGCTGTATTATATATATTGTTAAGTTACACATCACCGATCAGTCTTAGGAAAAACAGTTAATAATTTAACTTTCAAATTATATATGTTGTTTGTAGAATAATTCTTATTTGTATTGTAAAACAGACTGTTATGATTATATTTATTATTAATATTTTGTATTGTTTAATATCGCTAAATTGTATATGACATTTCTTGATTCGGTCATAGTATTAAATAAATATCATTCCAAAGTTAATCTTTTATTTTTTTACAGTTTTTACGTATGTAAACACATATAATCTGCAAAAGACAGTTCTATTGGAGTAAACCATATTATTAAAATCTTAAACTGAAGTTTTGGATGCTTAGCTGCAGTCATTATCCCAGTGACAAAATATGTTAAATAACATATTTCGTGTTTTAAACCATTTAAAATGTTTTATTTGAATGCGAGTCTCAATAATTGAAGGGAATACTTATCAGTATCATAATTTCAAATCACGAGCAATATCAATATTTTTTCTTTTATACATGCGCTCGACTAATTGCAATAATAAATACATTAAACTAATAACTAAAAGGAATGGCCATACTCCACAGGAGAGGTAACTCTTTAACTGCAACCCAAGAGGTTTTATTTTGTTTAGCATTATTTTGTCATACACTATCTCAGTCCTCCTTGTCACATCCATCCAATTGTACATTTTTCTTACATTTTTGTTACACTTATATGGACACAAAAAGTTCCCATCTTTAAGATCTTTTATAGCTTGTTCCACACTATCAACAATGCTGGAAACATTTGGCTCGGCTAAGTAAATCATGTCTTCCGGTAACACTTCGGGAATTCCACCCACTTTAGTTGAAACTACTTTTAAGCCACATGACGCAGCTTCAACAATTGCCATACAATAGGCTTCTGTCAGGGAGGTGTTAAGAAATATATCTCCCTTTACTAAAACATCTCTTACTTCCGAGTGTTTAAGGCTGCCTAGTAGAGTAACGCAGTGCTGAAAACCTTTTCTTTCTCTCACCTCTTGTAATAACCACATTTTAGGACCATCGCCGCCAACAATAAATCTTATGTTAGAGTAACGAGGACACATGTCAGCAATTACTGCTGCCATTAAATCTACCCCTTTTCTGTAAACTAGCCGTGATATAATAATTATTGTAATTGTGTCAGGGTCCCTTTGACTGGGGTCAGGTGTAAATGCATATGCATCAACAGCATTTGGTATAACAGACACTTTATGTGCCTTTACTTTGGCCCTTAAAACAGTGTTTTCCTTACCTGTATGAGATACACATATACAGTGATCACACTCACATAAACACATTTGTAAATACTTATTTGTTAGAACTGCAGACATATCAGCGAAGCCAAATAGACTGTGGTCTGTGAAAACAGTTTTCAAGCCCATTAATTTACCTATAATTGATACTTCATGAGCGAGGACACTAAAAGCAGAATGGCCATGTACGATCTCTATACGCTCTCTTATTAGAATGTAACGCACTATCGCAATGTTGCAGATCATTGTTGGCAGTGCACATTGACTGTAAAATACTCGTATAGGCAAATAATACACCTTTAAACCCTGTGTTAAGTAGCGGATGCCTACTCTTTCTTCGTAACAATGTGTGATAACAATAACTTTGTGGCCATGTTTTATCAAACATTGTGATAAATTGTAAATGTGCTCCTCCACTCCACCCGTATTTGGATAAAAGAAGTCTGATGCCATACAAATAATGTGCTTCTTCTTTTTGGTAAAGGGCTCCTGAAATAAGTTAAAGAAGTTGTTTAATGCAATTTTGGGTTTTAAATACTTCATGATGTTAAAGTTTCTTACTGTTTCCACATTCATTTTAGAAAATTTACTTAAGAACCTAACGTAATAAAGTTATCAATTAGCACGCTACACTATGTGCGACATTACAATTCATTCATAGTCCATAAAGTAATCATTATTTTATAAGCAAATCCCCGAGATTTGGGTTTAAATATTTACTGATTTTTTTCATATCATTTAGTAGTGTCAGCTGTCAGAATTCTGTATACATGTCGATTTTATCAAGATGTTAAGGGCAGTCTTTTCAGCCAGTCACGAAAAATTACCTGTTCAAACTTTCCTTGATTAATAGTTTCGAGGTTCAGTTTTAACATTTGAAATGGAGAGAAATAAAAATATAGAACGAAAGTGTAAACGTTTCTCTGCTCGTTTAAAGAGTTCTAAAGGTGTATCATGTGTAGAATACCCCTGTCCTGTGAGTACAAAACATAAATTAATTCTAGCTTTACTTAATAATTGTATTAAGACAAATATAATATTTATATAACCCCTCTATCACTAGACATTGCTAATTTTTAATGTGCTATCATAACTTAGTAAATGTAAAGTTTTCATTATAAACGAATCTTTAAACAGTTCTTGCTGTCTCAATGGCTCAGTTTCAGAGGCAATCATTTGATTCTTTTTATAATTTGTATTTTTTTAGAATATAGTCCTGTGCAACGTCGGTCAAGCGACTGGGTTTACCAAAGAAGATGTATATAAACTGGTAGAGGATTTAAAAACGGTTAATATTCAAAAATTCATAGCAGAGAAGGGTGAATCACATTCTTTTTTAGTATTTGAAGATACTAACAGTGCTGCTGAGTTTTACCATACATCAAATGGTAAAGCAAAAGTACGGAATGGAACAACAATTTTTATGAATTACGTTCAATCAGGTATGTTTCACAATACAACAAATTTACATGTGAAATGCTGAAATAGACAATACATTGCACACATTCTATATTTATTTTACTGATTGATATAATTCACAACTTGCTAGACTGATACAATATTAATAAGTATTGTTTCCCTTAGGGTACAAACTCTAACGACCTCATGTATAACCATTGACCTATAGAGTCATGTTGGTAATGCATGTAAGAATGGCCACAAACATACTTCTTTACTACTAATATAAAATACAAATCAATTTCAGTTCCAAATGATGAGATCACATGTACAGATGGTATTCCGAAAGGATTAAGTATATTACCAGACTTCATTTCGCATGATGAGGAGCAAAAATATATTAATTTATTCGACTGGACAACTGAGGCTAACCTTAAGAACCGGCAAGTGAAGCATTATGGGTATGAGTTTCGATATGGAAGTAATGATGTAGATTTGAATTCTCCATTGCCTGAATCAATTCCAGATGAGTGCAATATGTTGTGGGAACGACTCAAAACTTTTGGATTTGACATTGAGACACCAGATCAATTGACAGTTAATAAATATTGCCCTGGACAAGGTAAATAAAGTTAATTTTTAAAACAAAGAATATGACAAGATTGTGTTAATTTGATGGAACTATAGAATTAATCTCTATTCTATTAAAAAACATTACCATTTTTTATTGGTTCTTTATAATTTTCTCTATAGGTATACCGTCACATGTAGACAGACATAGTCCTTTCAGTGATACAATATTGTCACTATCTCTCGGCTCAGATGTGGTTATGGACTGGAGACATCACAGTAATAAATATGTACCAGTCGTAGTTCCTTCAAGATCAATGCTTGTTATGCAAAATGAGGCCAGGTAATCATTTTTATTTTTATATAAACAAAAATACTGTTACATCAGACACTTTGTAACTGTTTAAATAAAAAAATAATTAACTAAGGTTACTTATAAAGTGTATTATGTAGTTTATTTATTATTATCTATCTTCACACCTATAGAAGGCTGGGTGATCAGTCCACACCATCAACTGACTATTTCACCCAATGTAGTTTATTGAAAGTTTTATTATTTATGCAAGTTACTGCACAAGATGGGTTTACATAATTTAAAGATCTATATTTAAAACAAATCAATTACACCTGCGGGATTCAAATCTAAGATCTGCACTGATTGGTGTGGTGCAGATCTATTGAACTACATTGTGTGAAACGTTCATTGATAAATGAATTTACGGCATTCGGATGTTTTTTTTAATAATAAGGAGATAGACTAACGGGGTAACTAAGGTGTTCACTTGATGGAAATGAAGTACCCCAGCCATATAACATCTAACACAATGCATTGTCAATCTACTTTAGCTATGGTTGTGATTGTATGTGCTTAGCCCTAGACCAATCGATTGTTCAGGAGAGGATATCGTCGTTGACGTATATGTTATTATTATTATTTTTTATATGAAACCATCTAATGGTTTAACAGACACAATCGTTTCAGTTGTTTTACGTAATCCTTTTTTTTAAGCATGGTAATCTGTCAAAGTTTTGAAGATAACACAACTTGCCTATTATGATATTTATTTTATATTAATATAAAACAATTTTTTTCTTTGCTTATATTTCTCTTCAACAAATTCCAGATACGATTGGCAACATGGAATTCAACCGCGTACTTGGGATCCGGTGATAGACATTCGTAAATCTTCAGATGGTCAAACAGAACGAGTAATAACCGGAGACACAAAGCCCAGGGACACCAGGATATCTCTCACATTTAGGAAGACGAGAGAAGGACCTTGTCAGTGTCAATTTAAGACTTTGTGTGACCGGGGAACAGTTGAGGGAGAATTGAGTGACGATTTGGCTTCACATTTAGAAGAGTTACATGTCCATCAGGTATATTAAAGTAGCTTAGTAGATTGCACGATACGTGCATGTTTCAATTGGTTAAAATAATTCGATTATGACGTGTCGGACACGCTAGCTTAAGTGATTAGTGCAACAGCACGGAACGCTGTGGATGCCGGTTTAAGTCCTGCCCGTGTCGTATTTCTTTGTTAATTTATAATCGATTTTTAATTTAGCTTAGTAGATTTATAGCTTAGTAGTTTTACAGCGGAAATTATAATTATACACACAGCAACAAAGGTATAACATAGTTGTTCTATACCCAAACTCGGGATTTCCTTCATGAACAGATTATATTAACAAGCGTATTTAAATACTACACTTTAAGTTTAAAACGCAATATATGTAAACTTATTTGAAAATATTCCGCTTTCTCTTTGCAGCCGTGGTCACGGGGGAGACACCGTTACACATATTCGCGTTTTAAACCGTTAAAGTGTTTTATTTAAATGTGACTCGCGTAAACTATAGACAGTTTTAACACCGTATCATATTTTATTTGATTTAAGTATTTTTGAATATAACTCGTGTGATTAGAAACACTCCTCAAATGGCGGATGGTCTCATGCTATCTCGCTCATATTCTTGCTCTGTCTCTATCGCACAGCTTGTACACTGGATTATATTTTGCTTTATTAATTGTGGAGGTTATTTTCATAGTGTAATGGTACTTGTTAAGTTTGAAGTTTTTGTAGCTTTTTTTTAAATATTTAACAGTGTTCAACACATTTTTTGAGTTTAAGTAAATTTGATTTAGTTAAGAATTATATAATCGTTAAATAAATGTATATTTTTTACTGACGCTACTTATACGTAATTAGGTTTTCTATCTGCATGAGTATAATTTCTTACTCTTTACCTGTCTCTCTAATTTATTTCCAGATGATTGTTATGTTTTTTTTATACAATTTTAATAATCTTATAACAGATTAATGGTATTTTGATTGTCGAAATTAAAAGCCGTTAAAAAATGTCACTCATTGATTTTTTAAACGTTGTTTATATAAGAATGCAATTCTTTGCAGGTGTATGAACAAATTGCGGGCCACTTCAGTACTACACGGCACAAGCGCTGGCCTCGCGTTGATGAGTTTTTGCATAGTGTTAGTCCGGGAGCAGTGCTCCTTGACTTAGGAGCTGGTAATGGAAAGAATATTCTCAACAGAAATGACATTTTACAGGTAAAACATAAATTGAGACTATCTTTTAACATTTGTTTTCTTTAAATAATATAAATTCTCTTGATATGAAGAATGTTGACCGTACCTGGCTCATTTATAGCCAAGGTTTTACCACCAACGAAAGCAACGCTTTAAACAAGAAATATTGAATACTGTCTATAGTTTACGCGCGTAGTACACATTTAAATAAAACACTAACGGTTTAAAACGCGAAACGGAATATATCGCGTTTTAAACCGTTAAAGTGTTTTATTTAAAGGAAATATTGATTCAGTCTTTCAATATAAAGAAAGAGCTTATTTTCTGTCTGTTAAAAGTCAATCAAACGGACATATTATTGTGGCTGCTCCATCGTCTACGTATATTAGTCTTCCTTAGTAAAGGAGAAAATTGATTGCTATTGATTATTCCAGATCGCCGGCGAGCGCAGTTCAGGTCTATTACTAGAATGCGCCGGCCACACACAGTCGATTCCGGGCGCGCAGTGCGTGCGGCTAGATTTGTTGCACACGCCCTTGCGGGACGAGTGCGCAGACGCCATCATTTGTATCGCTGTCATCCATCATTTGAGTAGTGCGGTGAGATATTGACCTTACTGGAAATATTTCCGGAAGATTCGATGATGACGTTAATAACACAACGAGACGACATTAAACGATGTGTACGCAGGTTCGAGTCCTGTCAGTATTTTTCTATGCCTTTTTTGAAGATACAGGAAGACAGGCTAGCACGGAGGCCATTGATGGAAGTTGATCCCCACCCGTATAAGATCACAAGATTACCTATTTTGATTTCGCACATTCTGAAATCCACAGACTGAAACCGAACGCGATTAAACTTCACGGCTTTATCATCTGTCTCCGGCGGTTCACGACCGGGACATAATTTAGATATTCCTACTATCTATTTAATATCCAGATTTCCAGATGCAGTCCAACAGGGATTAAAAATATTATAAATGTATTAGAAACATGTCGGAGCCGTTGTGATCGAACCCACAGCCACGTTGGTCAATAACATTGCTACCGTTAAAACAACTAGCTTGTCTAGAGTTATTTTTATAAAATTTATGAATATTTCAATGTTTTCAGGCTAGAAGAAGACAAGCAGTGTCGACAATCTCTCGTCTTCTTCGACCCGGCGGTCGCGCACTCATCACAGTGTGGGCGAAAGACCAAAGCAAGTCCAACTACTTAGCGCAAAACAAGGAAAACCACGACACAAACCTAGTTACAATGGTTGGAGGTCTGAACCTTCCAGTGCACGAAAACAGAACCCAGTTCCGACACAGCGACCTCCTTGTCCCTTGGAAGTTGAGGAAAGTGGAGGATAAAAAGCCTCTAAAAACTTCAGACACATTTTTGCGTTACTATCATGTATTTGAGGAGGGGGAATTGGTACAGTTGTGCGAAATGCCCCATCTTGAGATCGAAAGCAGTTTCTACGAAGAAGGGAATTGGTGTGTTGTGTGTAAAAAGAGATGAAGATATATTTTTGAAAAATATAAATAAGTATAAACGTAAAACAAAAAAATTATAGGCGGGCAGGACTCGAACCGTCATCTACAGCCTTACGTGCTGTTGTTGTTATTGAGATACCGTGTCAAAAACCGTTGGTTAGAGGAACAGCACGAAACGCCATGGATGCCGGTTTAAGTCCTGCCCGTCTCGTATGTTTTTTCCAATTTATAGTGCCATCATGTGCAATAACATGAGAAGAATATTAAAAGTCTTAATTTTTTTTATTTATTTTTATTGTCATTTAACAATAAATCCCTCTACAAAATAAATCGTCTAAAAGATCTATATAGTAAATACAAAGTTATGTGTAAACAAACTCTCTATTCACAGTCTATATTGTGAGGAAACATTTCCTAAAACAAAATCTGCAAAGCTTACCAATATAATATGCAATTACGGGACGTTTAAGTTCTACGTGAGCACTATAATTTTATAACTTCCCCAAGTTAGGGGGTGTCTAGCTAGTTATTAGGAGTAACCAAAAAAACATTTTTATTATGAACTTTGTTTTAAATAATACTTATTTTGAGATATACGATATTATTAAAAAGGTTTTCTTACTTGGTGACAAGGGGTAAAATAGGGGGTGTTTTGTGGTGTTGATAATTTGTGTGGGATGAAATCTTTGACTACAACCTCTCGCATTAAGGTGGTCAAATGGTGGTGGGGGCGAGGTAGGATCAGTTACCATTATATAATCACTCACGTAATACTTGAATGTCATTGTGAACAATTAAAAAGGTTATTGCGGCTTCATTAGCGCCAATTGTAAGAGCGATATTACTGATATCGTCGACAGATCCGCCAAAACAGCGTCGACATTTTGTAACGTGTTCACTTGGAATAGATTCTCCTTTCTAAAGCTCAGTATTGCCACCGCTAATAAAGGCAGTATTTCTAAACAGTCGTAGCCCAGTATGGTATCCCATAAGAGTAGAAGTTGGTCGGGAGGTAAGTGGCCACTAAAAGCGCGCATTATCCATTTGAAAACCACTCGTATTCTGAAATTACAAAGACAATGTAATGCCAAGAAAAAAATCTATAAATGTCTTATAAATATTTAATACTATTTGTCACGTCTTTATGATAGAGGATAAACTTCATGTTTACTCGATAGAAGGAAATACCTCAGTCATATAACAAACTGACAAGATGAATTCTCAACTATATTGATTTTGAATATCCAAAAATCCACAGATTGAATCCGAAATACAAATTAACTTCAATGCTTTTTCCTCTAGAGAGGGTGGTTCGTGACCCGGATTAGAAACATGTTGGTTTCTTGTCGAACCCGCGACTATTAGACGAACGAGCGCGTCGAAAGCTTTTATTTTATTCCAACAAGATCTAAGACTTCATCTTAAGCTTGCCAGTGAAACAAACATTAATTTTTACGTCATTACCCTACTTTTTGACGTCGGGTAAGTAGTTATGCATTTGAATTGTTACAATTACAAGTAGATTTATATTTAAAAAAAACTCACGGATTGATGTTAATATTCCGAAAGTGGATCCATAATAGAGGTTCATTCGCTTCCAACAGTCTTTCATAGAGAAGGCAAAGAGATACAATACCCTGTTGGCATAGACAATATATAGATTAATGAAGTACCCAACTGTTTGGATAGGACGGTAGATATAAAAAAACAAATACCTGAGGATGCGTCGATATATAGTGGAGCTTGTGCCAATATCGAATGTAAAAAGCTCGAAATATAAAGTAGAGCTGCACTGGATCATCGTATAGATAGCAGAAAGGTGTAGCTGAAAATTATGAATATAAATAAAACACTTTTAACGGTTCAAAATGCATAATTTTCATATTAAGCATTATAATTAAAATAACGTCGAAAGAGACGGAACGTCTGGCCCTAGTGAAATTAAAAAAATATTGGCATGCAAATAATAAATGCAACTGTTAAAAATGCGTTGCGCCTTACTAACGTAAACTAGTCTTTACTTAATTAGTCATTTGTATTTTAAACATTCCTAAGCACAGACGTATAATATCCAACGAGATATATAAATATAGAACAATCCACAACCAATGAAGGCTGAAAAATTCAAATTTAATACTTTTTATTGCCCTTTAAACACATCTTTAACTACTAAATTACAAAACTTATTAACTAAATAAATGTTAAAACAATGGAAGGATACCAGTCGTTACCAGTATGCTGCTGAATGCTTGTCACACTCAGCAGCACCGGTTTCAGCACAACTGATACTGTTACCGATTTTCATCATTGGGCATATATTTCAATGATCTATTTATTTGGCAAACAAATTCTCAATCCGTGCCTTGACCGACCAAAAACAATTAGCTTTACTCGGATAACTATGCGATGTTCCTAGCATAGGAACTCTGGCACATAACCAATGTTTAGGTATAGATAATCAAAAAGCCACAGGCGCAGAACTATATAATCACTAAAAATTAGTAGACACATTGAATAAGTTCGACCATACCATACATAGTGAATCCGTGAAATGGTATAATACCACTGGGAGGGAACACGGTGATGCTGTCCACAGAAGTCTGTCTCCCCTTGATGGTGACATTTAACGGGTTTCCGATACACCCTTTGAGGTGTTGCATAACTTCCCCATCCCTTGAGAAACATAACATTACCTAAAATCGAGCATTTCGTCCTTCAAAAATAAACAAATAAGGAACTAATAAGAAACAATACAGAACAAGGTGTAGGAATTTAGAGACAATAGTATTATTAATTCTGTTTCCTCTTGTGGGACATGGCGTGAACACGTTTTTATGCTTTCGCTGATCGATATCATTTACAAGCAAATAAATGATTCACCTGTGCTTCGGCCAACCAAAAACAATTTATTGTTTCTCCGGGATCGAATCCGGGACCTCTTGTACTTAACGCAATGCTAGTTAAACCATTTAGGCGGTGAAATAAACAATCAAATTATCATAAATTGTGTGGACATATACAGTTACTGCAAAAACTAATAATATGAGGACGTTAGAGCCAGAGTAGCCGTACAGCAATTATTATGACTTTTTTATTTTCATAATCTAAAAATGTTAATCTATAAGAGCACAAGTAATAGTTAAATTAAATTTCGCCTAAGTTAGATTGCGCATTTTTATTTTCCTCCGTATTGAAAATCAGACTTTGTTATTAAGCAGTCCTGTAGCAGACTCTTATTTATAATTGACAAATATGGAATAATAACTAAGTAGACGAAAATAATCACTGTAAAGTTCAAGAAACAAAAAAATATAATAAAACCTTTACAGTAGACATACCTGGTACAATAAATCTTCAAACACAAAGTATTGGTCATCATTGGAGGCAGTAAGTTGAACATCTTTGAAGATCAGTTTATCTATCATAAGGTCCACTTCGAGCACGCTCTTTTTCAATCGATTGAAGTGCGCTATATGCTTGAAATGGGAATTCATATATAGATAAAACAGTATTTAACGGTCTAAAACGTCATATATTTTAGGTAAACTTGTTTGAAAATTATTTTTAACTACGGCCCGACGTTTTTCCGTGACCATCCGTGCAAAGCATCTGAAACGTCGGGCCGTAGTTAAAAACAATATTCATCGCGTTTTAAACCGTTAAAGTTTTATTTAAATGTGTACTCACGTAAACTACAGTCCGTATGGGAATTAATACATTAGGGATCTCGTCATGGGTTCTTCTTCTTTAGTTTCTGAGGTTTGACAGGGGAGGAAAACAGACAAGTGTGGTGGACAAAACACATGGAAAGTACCCCAGAGATATAACATAGAAGAAACAAATGTGTCGTCTCCTCCAAACACGATAATCTATTTTAGCTTTAGACATTCGGCCTAAGTGGGGGGGGGGGGGTTTGGAAAACAAAGTCCTTTTAACCTTCAATTAACTTTTAATAGCCATGTAAGACATTCAAAGTCCTCATTGGGTAAGAAGATTCTGTTTGAAAACTTTAATATTTTTCACATAGTAGTGCACGTGATGGCACTATATAAATGGTTCAAATCGATTATAAATTGAAAAAAATTACGGCACGGACATAACTGGAGCCGGCGTTCTTTGCTGTTGCTCTAACAAATTTTGCTACTGTGTCTTTACGGTTGGTTGAACTTGGTTCAAGCCCTGCCCGTGTCGTATTTTTTTTTATTTATATCGATTTTTAATGTATAAAGATTCTGTTTTTTGGCTTTCCAGGAGAATAGCTGCCATTTCATTTCATATCCAAATATGCTTACCTGAGTACCAACATCAGCGCCCAGAACTTGAGCCCACAGTTTCGCTCGAAGACATTGAGGACTGCCCTTCTTAAGATACTCTTGAATTACAGGAGCATAACCCAAGGCGGTCACGCGCTCTCCCAATCCAATCCTTTCTGCTTCTAGTGTTGCGAAGCCAGAGACTGAACTGGGCATATTAGGATTCACTCCTAAAAGAGGTTCACCATTTGTCCACTCTAAATATATTTTACGCTGAAAGTTACGAAAGAAGAGTGCTTTATATTTCACAATTTTCGACGGGCTAGATGGTGTAATGGTAACAACGTAAGGCTAATAATCAAGGGGTCGTAGATTCGATCCCCGCCGGGTCCAACATGTATTTAACCATTTTATAAATCTTCTAAAATATGTTGGACTTTGTCTGGATATTAAGTGGATGGTAGCTCACGTAGCGCCGTCCACACTTGAACAAGCCGATTTCGATTTAGGATATTCGGGATTTCCGAATATCCCAAGCCAAAATAGCTACACAGCCAGTCTGATTAAGATGTTACATGGTCGGGGTATTTTACCTATCATCAAGTTAACGTCATGCTTGTCCTTCCTTCTCTATCATAAAAAAAGTCGCAAGTGTGCTTAGAAAAGGGTTTTGATAACTCAGAGCCTGGACCTTAGTGAAGTGAAATTCCATTTCCCCCTAGCTGGGCATGGGGCGAACACATTTGTCCGTTTCACTGTTCCGTTGTTTAACAGACAAGTGGTTGATCAAACTTCTGTGCCCTGCCCGACCGAAAAAATGTTTGTTTCCCAGGACCTCTCGCGCTTAACGCAATGCTGGGCAATACGTTTAACCATTTGGCTACAGAGGCGGTCAACCCTGGACCTTAGACTGCTAATTAATTATCAAATAACCGCTACCAACGGCTCCAATATTAAGAGTTATTGAAACCCCCTACTTCCACACTCCAGAGATTAAAATGTCAAATACCGTAGTAACATTTCGACCTAGGATTCAAATCTGGGACCCCGGGATCTTGCAGCTGAGTACACTTACCACTAGACCAACAAGGCAAATTTAGTAATTCCGTTAAATCCAAATGTATCATATCAATAAATAGGGAAACGTCACCAAGTATAGACTATAGGGTCATTAATTTTATCTTACCAATTGATCTAGATTCTTGACTTGAAGAGGTAGATGTGCGAATTCCCATTTCGGTTCGTCCCTTAAATGATAACAAGATTTACAGACGCGTGCGCATAAGCGATAGTATTCTTTCAGTTTATTATTTCATTACAATTAAAATAGACTGTTTGAAAGTGTTGTTAGATAGATGTACTTACTCTTTAGTAAATGGCACGTAACCGGAAAGCGTCAACAATACTTCTAAGAAATCTTTCGGCGCATAGACAGGCCTATATTTTGTTAAATCTAAAAAAAAACAAATATGTTTCAGGCACCTTACCTACTTTAAAATTCATTTCCCCTCTGCTGGGGAAGGAAGCGAACTACTCGCCTAAATGTGTGTACTAGTCGCGAAAACTACAGACAGTGTATGGTGTACTTATTAGATCCGCGAATGACGACGTAAATGTAGAAATTGGGTTACATTTTTTTTAATCCGCTTATTATGAAAAAGCGAAATAAAGAACTGCGAATAAGGAGCTTCTACAGAATGGAAAATATTTGAAGTTTACGCGCTTTAACTGGTCGCAAAAGATGTACTTAGCGAAATTTCTTGATTTGCGATTTCATACTTATTCATGATTTAGTTGGTTTTTCCGTTCAAGAACAATATTTGGGTCCTATGTCCCATATGGGGCAGAGGGTGTCTCCCTCTAGCGAAAGGTATTGAGCTACTAAATTCTATACTATACACAATTCGCGTTTTTAAACCTATTTAAAAGTAATACTTTTGTGGGCTCAAACTTATTACATAAAATCGATTTGAGTGCTGAAAACTTTATGATTAAGATGTCTTGCCAATGAATAATCCTACAATTTTCAGTTTTTGAGTTATACATTTTTGAAATTTTGACGAATACGCGCGATATGTAAAAGAATGTGTCATACACCCCTCACCCTCCACCCCCTCTTCATCTTCAAAATCGAATGTATGTAAGTTGAACGCACTAACCTAACTTATAGGTATGCGCACATTTTTACCACTAAATCGATTGTAAATAAAGCCCTTTTGTGTATAAAACTATTTGGCATTTACCTAAATTATATGTACTGAGCTCATTCCATTTATCTGTCAGTTCTTCCTGTTCGCTTTGTGAACGCACTTTAGCTAATGAAGTCTCCAAATCAGAGCACATTGAGTTTAAAGATTTATGTATCCTCTTCTCCCATTGGGCACTCGCTTTTGTCAAGCAAGAGAGGGGGTCTAATTTCTGGACAAATATTGTTAGAATTAACGTCGAAGAGATATTTGATACTGTAATCAATGTTCAGCACTACTTACATTTTGTTTGTTTTGCGTCCGAACCCAATGAAAAACTGTATTTCGTAATTTCGTGTCTAACCCTTTTTCTTTCATTGCCTGCTGTAGGGTTTGTTTGAAATCTTCTTTTTTAACGTTTGGTGAACAGACCAGTTTCTATCAAGTTAAGTATCCAACTATTATTATATGAGTTGTTGTGGGCCCAAAATTATCAACTTTAAAATAACTTACTTGAACATCACTATAAAATGATTTGTAAATGGAGAGATTTTTTAATTCTTCAGCTAATTTCATAGCTGTATGATGTATCGCGTCTTCTTTTAAATTATCCATTTCAGAATAAATTTGCTTAATTGTTTAGTTTTGAATATTAAATTTTGGTATTATTTAAGTACAAAATAATAATTGTCATTTTGTTCAAGTAATGTAACTACTGACGTTACATAGTTGCTATGGTAACGACTTAAGACTATTTTTGTAAACTCTTCTTTCAACATACTAGTCCTTGAATTGACAACTGAAAGCTATCTATGCTTCGTATAACAATTAAGTTACATATTTTTCACTGTACGATGCTTTCTTTGCTTATAATACGGCCGACGTAACTTGGCAAGTCTGATCTTAGCGCGAAACGCTGCGCAGAAATGTTCCTTGGGAAGTTGACGGTGCGGTGAAGAGCGAGGTTCGTGAGACGGAGATCTGGCCTAGAGATTGACTCGATGTCAACACAATCGACCGTTTATTGTATCCAATTTCGTAATCAATTTTTATCAATTTAGATTATTGATTTTTAATCGTATGGGATATTATAGTAAATGGTTTGTGCACAGTGAATGGTGTTATTAATAAATGATACCATGATTACTTTTAAAGGAAAATAAAATCATTAAACGCTTCTTTTGCTTTATTGAACGTGATTATTTATATAATTACTATTTTTACATATTTTTACCTTTTTTTAAAGCTTTTTATACAAATTTATTTCTACGATCCAATTTTGTCTATTTCAATAGGATCGATTCAACGACACTCTCAAGGAACGAGTATGAACATCTCTATTTGGTTATATCGCAAAGCTTCGTACATATTCGGTAAATAGTAGTGTGTCTCGGTCACTCCTAAGGTTTTATTTTGTTATCTCTGTCTTGAGTGCAGTCCGTTAGAAAAGTGATTGTTTATTGTTAAATTTAATACTTTTATTTCTCTTTTGTTATATTTTTGTTTAGTCTTACTATTTTAGTTAGAGATAAGTATTCGTAGCCCTTATTCTCTTTGTATCAATTATTGGTATGTTACTTTAGCTTGCTGTAGGTAAAATATTTAATTTATCCCAGTAACGAGAATAAATGGCAGTTTTGTTTTCTCTATGAGTGTATATGCGCCAAAGTTCGAGTAACCTACTTATGTTCAGACTTGCCAAGTGACGTCGGCCGTATTATAAATGATGGTTGATTCGAAACCTCTCGCTGTATTACACATTCCTTAATGGAAACTTACGAGGTCACTCCCTGAGTTTTCAATGAGTAGGTATCATTCGACAGGATAAGTTTTCCAATGTTAGCCAAAGCCATAGAGTAGAATAATATCAAGACTCAAAATTCGTTATATCTATTATATAGTTAACGAATGTGGACGTTTTTTAGAACATCACAGGCAGTTTACCGTACTCGGCAAAAGACCATAACGAATATGGCAGATTTCAAACCAGAGAGGACTAGTGAAGCCTTTTATAGAGCGTAATTGATGCCACAATACAAAAAAGAAACTTATGAACTAGCTTATAAATAAAAGGCGGCCATATCGCAACCTGAAGTGAAAGGGAAAACAAAAAGGGGACTATGGGTAGTTGGTGCCAAAGGAAATAATGAAGAAGAGCAATTAAGAATTTGAAAGATAATATTTGATTACTAAGGTTTTGAAAGAACGGAGAGATTGAGCTTTTCTTATATCAGTGGGGAGAGAGGTCCATAGATTAATAGCTTGAGTGGTGAAGTAGTTGTTAAAAAAGGAAAAAAAAAAAGGAAGGAAAGGAAGGAAAGGAAGGAATTTGTATGCGTAGGAATAAATAATAAAAGATTATGGATAGGACGAAGATTCAGATTATGAGAGCTTATAGGAAGAAAGATTTCTTTTAAATGGGGCGGAGATGTGGAATCGAAGAAAATACGATAAAGAAAAACAAGTATATAAAGATTTCTACGGGAGCGGATCGGAAGTCTCTAAGAAATTCAGAAACGTGATCGTACTCCATGGTACTAAACCAAAAATAAATCGAATACACGTATTCTGAAGCCACTCTAGCTCTGACTGCTCCTCCGTTAAATTCATATAGGGGACATCGGCATCGATTATTATATTCATCTTGCTTTTAATTATGAAAAGAATCAGAGTTTTGGAATTAGAAATTTTGTAATAATATACACACAAATTATTTCAATGAAATTTACTTGTTGTCGTCATGCCTATTCAAAAACCCGGCATGTCAAGAAGAGAAGTAAATTGTTTATATCATAAAACAATATCCTGTGAATTTCATAGAGTGAATAGAACATTTTTCCAATTCAAGTGTTGCCAGCCGATATTACCATAATATATAAATTGCAACAAAAAGACAAGATTCCAGGTCATGTAAATATATTAAAAAACTGACAAGACAGTGACAATGTACTTTCAATTAAAATACATGTTCCCGCCAACGGTTATTGCTTTTTTAAGAAACTACAAAGAGATTATCTCTCATCATATTGATCAATGTGATTAAAAATTTAAACAATCAAAAATAAATTAATCTTTGGCGTGATTTGCAAAGTAACCAAAGACTTGGCAATATTTCGGGTTATTTTTAAAAGTTTTCTTTAAAATTTTCAGTAATAACTTATCATTCCAAGATGCATGTCAGAGTCCGATATTTTGGTGAGCCAGACAAAATAGTTGTCGTTGAGTCTAGGGTTACCAAGATAAATCAATTTCGTCGAATAATTTTTGAAAAGTTCGGAGTTGAACCGAAGTTGCAACGACTTTTCTACGGAGGGAAAGTGGTAAGAACATTGCATGCTTGATATCTGTACCAAAGCTTTGCATCACAGATTTTCAGAACTTATAATGAATTTCCTTTCCAATCACTAAAAACGTATAACAGAGTTTATTGTAAACCACGTATACTATTTCTCTATTTGGTTTGTTAAAAGCATTTAAAAAACCATGAATTGTTTAATTCTTATCTTTCAGTGTGTTAGTTAGTAGTTTTTGTCAGTCATCATTGCATGCAGAGATGTAACAGGGTAACCTGGTCATTACCATAAATAAGAGTTTCAAATTTGCAGCTTGAAGATGGTTATACATTCCACGATTATAACATTAGACTCAATGATGTGGTACAACTTATGGTTAAACAGTCAAGCGATGTAATCCCCAATGATTGTGATATTACAAATGAAGACAGTTCGTCAAAGAAAACAGAAAATGAGGTGAAATATGAAGGTGCCTGTAATTTATACAACAATATATTTTTAGATTCAAAAATTGACACTGGCGGGGACCAATTGAGCTATTACCAAATTTGAGGGTATAAAAATAAAACCTATCTAAACAATTGATATCTTATAATATGTAAAGTATTATAGTTATTTTCTATCAGGGATACTAATTGTAGGTTTAGTGCGGACCATTCTACCCATTTCTGTTTTCCTATTTAGCAAAGAAAATTTAATTGCCCTAATCTCTAGCTATATATGCAGCAACACTTATCAAAGTAAGAAGCCGTGCCAGCGACTTTGTCAGTGTAGAATAGTTAGTTTGGTCATAAAAATTTGATATTGCAAACCTCCATCTATTTTGGTGGCGTCCCATTGTTCTAACAAGTTAATCTTAATAAATAGACAGTTGCAGACATTTTTAGGTTATCTAAAGAAGAATGCAGAGTAATTTTATTTAGTCTGAAGCCTTCCTCGATTAATGATCTAGGTATACCACAGAAAAATAATTTTCAATTCAAACCAGTAGATCCTGAAATTGGCACATTCAAACTCTTCCGCTTTATATATTAGTATAGATAAAAATGTGGGAAAAATGTTTTTGCAAAACTGCATTTAAATTATTGTTTTGGCTTAGAAATATTTTTTCATATTACCAAAAATTCTTTGTTAATGTCAATGTGTGTGCAGATGTGCACACATTTACACATTCGGCTAGTGTAGTTGGTGTTGGCACTGTTGAAGAATTGATTATTATGTATTTTACAGATGCTACTAGTAGGTTGTATGTAATTGATGATCTGGTAGACATCAGAGATAGGGAAGAAGGTGCCTGGTTTGAAGGGAGAATAGTGAGGATAGTATATGACCCAAAATTTTCCATTGTACCTGAAAATCAAGAGATAGTTGAAAGTGATAACAACATTGGAAGTGTTGATCAGCCTCCACTTGAGGCAGTAGAAGCACAGAGTAGAAGCAGCATGGTACAGAATGACAGCACTAGAAAGGAAGAGGAAAATCATTTACTGTTTGAAGTGCAGTTGGAGTGAGTATTTGATCTTAATAATCATAAATGTGGAGTTGCTTTGAATATAATGTACATATTACAAAAATTATTGCTCTCATAGTATTTTATATTTTCCTTTGAAGGAGGCTTATTATAACTAATGAAGATATATCTTCATTAGTTTATATAGATGTTGTTAATTATAGCTTTTACTCCCCATGCCGTCTGTGTTCTTGCAAGTCAATCCTAAAAGATAGACCTACTGCTGTGGACATTTTTTAGACCATTCTTAGATACATATTTTTTGGGTATGAAACGCAAACCCACAAGGATGGATAATTTTCCCCTTTAAATTCTCTAAGCAACACAAAAATAAATGTTTGAACCAGTAGTTCCCTATAAATTCTCTAAGCAACACAAAAATAAATGTTCAAACCAGTAGTTCCTGAGTTAAAACTACCAAACTCTTCAATTTTACATATCTATAGTAGATTAGGTATGGTAACTATTTAAAACTCACTTGGAATGGTCTGAAACATAATTTGGTTTTATTTAAAATTATCAGTGTTATTTTTTAACTTATTATAATTGATTATTAACAATGAAGAAATTTTTTGCAGCAATGATTCCAGTTTACATTTTTGTAAGAAGAAAGAAATAAGACCCAGAGCAAGAACAGTTATTGATGTGAAGCATTTGAAGGCGGGGCAGACAGTCATGCTTAATTATAATATCAATGAACCTTCAGAGAAAGGCCTTTGGTAATCCTTTTTTCGTTAATAACATTACACAACATGTAAGATGATAAAGATGTAAGAGTAGATTCAAAAGTTTTATTATATTCTTTGACAGGTATGATTTTAAAGTTGCTGAAGTGAAAAAACTAAGGCGAAGATATCAAATAATAGGGACGTTGTATTTAGGGAAAGAAGCTATACCACAGAACGATACCAAAGTTATAGTTCACGATAAAATATATACTATAGAAGAAGTTGTGCCTTTAAGCCAAAGATCTGAAGAGTACAAGGATTCGATATCCGTAGCGCCTGAACCAAGTTAGTATCCAATACACAAACAAACACATGCGTTTCTATTCAGTATTTTAAATTTCAGCTTTAAAATTGTTCCTGGCGATAAGAATTAGAGATTCATCTTTTAATCGACTTCTAAATTTGTGTCATATATGCTTTTTCTAAGCAATCAAGGTGTGATGATCAGAGTCCAAAATTTTGATCGTAGAGACAAATGATGTGTTTGTAAATATTTTCATTTAGTAATTTAAAACACTACAATTTAATTAAGGTTTAGTGTCGATCATGCGAGTGATGGAGAGACAGACGAAGGAATTTCATAAAGGTCCACAGGAGCTACCTCGTGGTTGGGCTGAAATTATTTTTTTATTGTGTACCATAGGTGTAAGGTGTAAACCTTACACCTACTGTTGTACAATTTGTTGGTCTACACACTTGACTACCATTAGGGATCATCTAGTGATGAAGTCAAGGAACGCTTAGGGAGCCCCTAACAATTTACAAAATGATCGATTCCAAATTGTATTAAAAAAATCAATTCCCTTATAAAAATCTGACAACTGACATTACATATTGCTAAAGAAACCCCTGTTTTTCAAATATTTCTTTGTCTCATCTAGCTTTGTCTCAGAATTGTAAGTGGGATAATTTAAACTTGCCTACAGGATCCAAGCCGCTGAAATGTACTGCGTGTCGTGACAATGAAAAAGTGAATTGTAAGGAGTGCGGCTGCCATCATTGCCATAAAAAAGATTCTCCGGGTGATGTATGTCATAATTTATCGATATGAGAGGATACAATGAGAGCAGATACCATAATTTTTAATTTGAAATTAAAGCTGGTTACTGGTTAGCCACGACTTTGTCCGCATTCCGTCATTCTTTAAGATAGAAGATCATAGAAGAATCATTCTTTCATACATATTTTTTTATTTTTTGAACTGTTGTAGCGGACGCAAAGGAAGCCCTGAAAGACGAAAAATGTTCCCCGTTATCACTACATATCCCTCTGTTTCTTTGCTTCTATTGGTCGCAGCGTGATGCTTCATAGCCTAAATCCTTCCTAGATGAATGTGTCAACCAACACCGATTTTTTTCAATTCGAACCAATAGTTCCTGAGATTAGCGCGTTCAAACTTAAAAACAAACTCTTATGATTTATATTATTAGTATAGAAAACAAATTAAATCAGATATATGATCTTTTTGCTTTGGGCTTTTTAATAAACGGTTGTCAACTTTCTCAAATTTTCATCATCAATTTCCCACCGCAATGTCCTGTTATAACTTTTTGTACAAAATTGTGCCCTATGGCTTTCAGATACTTCTGTGCGATGAATGCGATTATGGATACCACATGAAGTGTCTGGACCCACCGTTAACAAGTGTTCCAGAAGACGACTGGTACTGTCCATCTTGCAAACGAGATGCCAACGAAGTGGTCGCTCCCGGTGCGGCGAAACAAACGAAAAAGACCATAATAACTAACAGGGATTGGGGAAGAGGCATGGCATGTGTTGGTAAGAAAGTTTTTATCAATAAGAGGGTCCAAATACTGTCTATAGTTTACGCGAGTAGTACACATTTAAATAAAACACTTTTACGGTTTAAAACGCGATATATTAGTTTAACTTATTTGATGAGTGTTGGCATACCGCAGATTTGGAGGGACGTTTATATTATATATCTACGTGACCACGGTTGCTGCAGAGCATCCCAAAAGTCGGCGATAAAAATTGTACTTGTCTTCCTTAGCCTGTCACTGTAAAAATTTTAATCATATTTAGTAAATCACTTTTTATTATCGTATCACTATGTTTTCCTCCAGGTAAAACAAAAACGTGCACAATGCCTCTGAACCACTTCGGTGCTATACCCGGAATCGAAGTTGGTATGTGTTGGAGGTTTAGAATACAAGTAAGTTATAGCATATTGTATTCTACAAATCACTAGTTGTTATCCACGACGTCGTCCGTGTCCCGTCATTCTTACAAGTTTACCTTTTAAAATACACATATATAGTCGCGGACATACTTTTTAGGTAATTTAAAGAAAAATTGTTTTGGTTTCTCGAACCGTTTTTGCAGCGTAAACAACGGAAGCCCTCCCGGATTTCCTTCTGCTTCTTCACTCCTATAGCCTAATGTTTTAGCCTAAAAGCCTACCTTGATAAATTGTCCAACCAACACAAAATGAATTGTTCAATTCGAACCAGTAGTTTCTAAGATTAGTGCGTTCAAGCAACTTCAGCTTTATATATTAGTATACATTATAGATTCTTTTATTTTACGATTTTTTGACGTCAATCCTTCCTCGGTATCATATTCATTAATTTACTCATCCATATATTTTTTTACCTTATTCCAGTTATCAGAGTCAGGAGTGCACCGGCCTCCGGTCTCGGGTATCCACGGGCGTGACGTAGAAGGCGCATACAGTATTGTCCTTGGAGGTTTGTACACAGTTTATGCTGTAGTTTTGAAGAGAATGAAAGATAACCATAGGGTCCACTCGATGGAAGATGAAAAATCTCCATAAAAATCTTAACTTCACGACCAAATCTTAATACCACCCATTAAATATCCAGATTTCGAGACGAAGTCCGATGCGTTTTGTTAAACTTTAAATTGAAACGAACCCACGGGCCGACGGATGATTAGACCAACGAGTCTTTATTGTAATGATCCTAGTCTTTAAAGCAACATGTTAAGTTTGATGATGAGATACATTTTGTACAACGGTTGAATCTAAAGAGGGAGAGCAGCGCCACATGTGGCAGAATAACGAACTATTAATCATTGCGTTCCATTACACAAATTCTAACAATAAGCGGCGTCACAGGTGGATATGAAGACGATTACGACAACGGCTATGAGTTCACATACACGGGCAGCGGAGGCCGAGATCTCTCCGGCAACAAGCGAACGGCAGAACAGTCCTGCGACCAGACGCTTACAAGGGAGAATAAGTGGGTATCGTTTGTAGAATAACAAATCGCAAGCATTTGCATATGTAAGCTCAATGCCTTATGCTTTGCAGCTTAAGAAAATCATTGCAGATGAAAATACAAAGTTTAACGATGGTAGACTTTAATATTTTTCACATGTAATGCACATGTAACTCTAGTTGAGACCTGGATTAACATGTTCTTTATAATATAATGATTTAGCTGGTGCGATATTAGTTTACATCAATGGGAATTCTTTACAGGGCTTTAGCGAGAAATTGCGCAGTGAAGACCATAAGCGAAGACGGCGCCGACGCTGGTGACGCTTGGAAAGAGGGAAAGCCAGTTCGTGTCGCCAGATCATATAAGATGCTGAAGCACTTTCCCACATACGCCCCTAAAGAAGGATTCCGGTTAGAAAAATTGTCGTTATGCCATGACACACACCAGGTCCTCGGCGTATTTCCAGAGGTATCTGGGCCGGCCAATTGGTCAGCGGCCATTTGAGATTCCGACGCCTTCGGAATACGCCTTGACGCGTCCGTGCTCTTGCTTTTATTCTTTCGAGGTGGCTGGTTCAGCGGAGGCTTTGAGCTTGAGCTTGTTAAGATGTTGGGGGCGTGAAACAGCTCATTCCACAACCTATATTATTCTATGCCATAAAGCATAGGCAATTTTGGGTAAAGCGAAGTCTATATTTAAAATTGGAATTCGTGTTTCAGATATGACGGCATATACAAGGTCGTTAAGTACTACCCCGAAAAGGGACTTTCGGGGTACATAGTTTGGAAATATTTATTACAAAGAGACGATCCTAATCCAGCGCCATGGGAACCCGACGCGAAACAGTTTCCCATTATTGTTAGTATTATAAATAAGGTTATAAAAATTAAATACTATTAAAACATCAGAATTTAAGAGGGGCCTGTGGGGGGGGGGGGGGGCTAATCATGCTCTAAGAAACGTTGCATGAAAAAATGTGTTTCCTTGACACCTTTACTATTAAAATAAATCTCTTAATTTGGCAATAATTTAGGCAATTGCATATTAAATCTAATAGTGTAATGCCGGGTAGTATAATAGTATATTATTTCATTTTTACTTGACTGTGAAATATTTACAATTCTATCTTCACAGTATCCAGATGGTTATTTGGAAGCAGCCGCCGAGAAAAAGGCTCTTAAAGAGAAGGGTAAAAAGGCCCAGGTCCCGAAAAAGAGGAGGTTAAAAGAAAATACTTCATCAGATACGGAATCCACGCCTAGCAAAAAGAGCAAAACAAGCACAGGAGCCATTGAAAGCGGAAAAGGAAAGACCGCTTTAAAAGAAAATAATCAGGTATCGGACACCAGGGCAATCGTCTCTGATGAAGATGACACCATGAATACACCGAAAAGGAGTCGAGGTAGGCTTAATTATTTTTTAATACATTTATTTCTATTCTGTTACCTAGCAAAACGGCTTTGGTCTACCTCCTCCGTGCTGTCCATTAGAAAGTGACAACAGTAAACGTCTGGGGGGAATAACTTACTAAATTATAATTGATCAGTTATCTAGCGGGATGAAAATTGATTAAATTACTATTAAAAAATAGGGGCTATTGATAGGAGAGTAAAAATTTTAGAGTCGTATGTATTTTTTAATGCCACATTATAAAAAATAAACAATATGTCAAAAATATACATAAATTAGGCCAGGACACGAGAATTTTATATATAAGATACTATACTGCAACACTGTGTAGTTCTTCGAGTCCAATCCCTGTTTAGGTAAATAAATAAATACTGTCTATAGTTTACGCCAGTAGTACACATTTATATAAAACACTTTAACGGTTTAAAACGCGATATAACTGGTTTAACTAATATATCGCGTTTTAAACCGTTAAAGTGTTGTATTTAAATAAATAAATATATATAAAAATGTATGTTTTTACTCTTATTTCCTCTAGTTTACCTCTCTTTCATTCCCTCCTCTTGCCCATATCAACTATCTCTTCCTCCTCACCAAATGGATCAACATCCATCTACATTAGTCAGCACTAATATAGAACTAACCATTTATTTTTTTAGTGTCAGCGAAAGGTACAATTCCTGCGATGTTTAATAAGGGGAAACGGAAGGAAGAAAAATCGATTTTAACCTCAGAAGAAACCGATATTATAAATGCAGACGTTTTGAACTCTAAAATTTGGGCTGATTGTATTGACAGATACAAGAATTCTGCGAGAAAGGTAGATAGATATATATATTAATCATATTCAACTTTGTACTGTACCCTGCTAGCAGCATAGTTTTTTATCATCACCAGCATTTATTTGCCTACTTTGGGTATAGTCTCTCAGAAAGCTCTTGTCCCAGCTGTGAGAACTATTAAAATGTTGTTAATATATAATGCAATCATTTTTCCAGGACTTTATAGAACAAATAACGCAAGAGTTTCTCTGTATAATATGCCAAGGTGTCGTTGCATCCCCGGTCACTACGCCCTGTTTGCATAACTTTTGTATGGTGAGTTTAAATTACATTTAAAAACAGTGTACTTTCACTATAAAAGGTTTAAAACTCAAATATATATATATATATTTCTTTATATTGAAAACTTTAAATGAAAGCATTTTTAATATACCGGTTAGCTTATTTTAACTGACTGGCAAATATTACGACAGAACAGATGGCGCTAGCGCAGCAGATTTGACTTTGATATTAGGGTCACTCTCCATTTTCAGACCCGTTGACCACGGCTACTGCAAAGCATCCGAAACGTCTTAGTTAAAATAAATTAAGTTAACTGATATATTACGCGTTTTAAACCGATAACCAATTAAATTTCGTCTTACTTCAGGTTTGCTTGAAACTCGCGTTCAAGTCGTCGGAGTCGCGACAGTGTCCTTGCTGCAGGAAAAACCTCGCCGACGTAGAACTGACCCCGAATGAGCACCTCAAGAATGCATTAAGGGTATTTCTCCCGGGATACGACGTTGGTAAAAAGTAGAAACCCTGTACAGGTACTGAGGTCAGTTCCTGGTCCAGTGCCATTTTATTGTGTATTAACTATAATATTTAAAAATCTTGAGACTGAAATATCATGAATTGCGCACTTAGTAGTGTTATTGTTTTAGTAGTGTTAAACCATGGTTTAACATTTTTGTTATATCAACAAAAAATATATATAATATGAAATATATTACTGGAAATATACTAGTTTATAATAATATTACTCCTAAGAATGCGCACTATGAGAATTACAAAGGAAAAAAATTAAAACATTTAAATAAAACTTTAACAGCAGCCGTCTCCCCGTGACCACGGCTGCTGCAAAGCATCCGAAACGTCGGGCCGAAGTTAAAAATCAGTTTCAAATAAGTTTAACTAATATATCGCGTTTTAAACCGTTAAAGTGTTTTATTTAAATGTGTACTACTCGCCTAAACTATAGACAGTATTTAAATTAAAACGTGTTTGTAAAATAATCTCTATGTCCTTACTCTATTTATGAAATTCGCTCTTCCCAAGTTATCCGATACTTGAATGCTACATTTAAAAACAATTTTTAAGGCCATTGATATCACTTTACACCAAAAACATCTTCAGAATGTATTTAAAAGTTTTAGTTATAATGTCTCTTTATTATATAAATTCATTTTTTTTTTATGAATTTAGGTGGTATTCATGTAATATTAAATGGTAGTTTGAACATTCCTTGCCTTGATATGAGCATCATAGCATTATTTGAAGGTTTCACAGTTTGATTTTTCAAACCAGAAATCGGCAATTTTCTTTATCCGACGATTGGTGTCGTTGCGTTAATTGTACCTCATATTTGTGATTTTAGATTTTATTTTGTTTTTTTTTACTATTATTGTTTATTCTAACTCGTTGTGCATTGTTATAACTGCTTAAGTTAGTATGGAATTGTGTTACTCGTGACGTATTTTTCTTTAAATTTATCTACCTCCTAGAATAAAATGATGCGTCACTTGCTTGCCGAGTACAAGCAAAGTTATTTCAGTATTCGTGAGGCAATTTGAAGAAGTTGTACATGTTAAGTTTGTAGTATTTCTTTGTGCGTGCAAATTTTGTGTTTTCAATAAGATGTTAACATGCAGACAATAAAACTTCTCATAAGCTTTGTCGTTTTAATACTATTTCAAATAATTTCGAAGAATAAACTTCCGTTTGCTTTTGCTAATCTCTGAAATTGCTAAAGTTCATGTAGACACATAACAAAAGGGATGGTTAATTCGTATGTATATAATTCAGATCGACTATAAACTTGCGATTTAATCCGCGATCGCAATCTTGGTTTCGAAAACTCGATTCTATTATCGTTAACTTTGCTTACGTCCTTATGTAATGTCAAACTTGAGAAATTTTAATCTGTGCATTTTCGTAAACTATTTTTTAGGATTATTATTAATTTTAACATGAAATTGTCGTGTTTACTAAGTGAATTTGAGTTAGTTTAATACATAACCCAGTGTCTCCAAGTGTCTTTAACGTGAATTAATGTAAACCTTTTGAGAAAATCACGATTTCACGAACATCGTATTTGTTTACCAAAAATGCCAAGTAAGAAAAAATTGACTTTACTTTAAGCGCAATTGTGAGTCTGTGCATCTCAATATATTTTCTATCTGTGGATAAAGATGTAAATTGTCAAAAAAAGATAGTTTTAAAGTCAAAACAAAGATGTCTATAAAGTATCTTATTAATTGCGAGCAAAACATTAAACAAACTAACATACCTAATCAATTAGGTTTACGTAAGAAATTTAAAAAAAGCTGAATTTTTATTGACTGACTTGATTTTTCGGCTTTAATACAATAAACTGTAGTGTCTGTGTATAAACCGAGGATGGGTAAAATATTTTTAGATCACATTGGAGGTACTCGCTTGTTTCTTTGTGCTGCTTGTGATGTCGTATTGACAAATCGCTCCGAACTTATTAGTACCAGATTTACTGGAGCTACAGGTAGGAATAACTGAAAAGTTAGTGCAATGGTGGCCTATTTTTGTAGGCAATCTGTGTACACATAAAAAAGAAACAAAGAAAGAGTAAACGTCAACAAAGATAGGAGAAACGTTCTCAAATTCTGACTATAATGTAATATGTTTTAATTATCCCTATAAATTAGTGTGTTCTCTTCATAATATCAGGTAGAACATTTTTGTTTTTTTCATCATTAAATAATACATTTGTATATTTCTAGGGCGTGCCTTCCTGTTTCACAAAGTTGTAAACCTAGTCTACTCAGAGGTGCAAGACCGTGTGATGTTGACCGGTAGACACATGGTGCGTGATGTTTCTTGCAAGAACTGTTGCACTAAACTTGGTTGGGTGTATGAATTTGCAACTGAAGAAAATCAACGGTACATATATAGTTATATCTTGCTATTAGTATTGTTATCATTATTTTTACTCTTTAAGAAAGACCACTTCAGTATTTCAATGATAAAATACATTGCTTAGGGTTTGACATTTGACAGGGTACAGGAATACTACTCTAAAAAAATATATCATTAAAATGTTTATGTATGTATATAACTACTACATACATTGCCAATAAAAATTTTTACTTTTTAAATTGTAAATAACATCTTTTTCTTTTCAGTTACAAGGAGGGAAGGGTTATTCTGGAAAGGGCTCTTGTGAATGAAGCAGAAGGATTTGAAGAGATTCCTGTTAATAATGATGATTAAAATTGAGCCAACGTATTATATGTAACAACACTATGATATACTATAATTTAAGTTATACATAATGATGAATGATTAATTAAAAGATTTATTATTTTATTTTAGAATTTTTAATGTGTATGGAAAACTAAATTCAAATAATAAAAGTGAAAATGGTTTTATAATTACTTAATAATGTTAATGGAATAAATAATTGTTTATATATGCATTTTCTAATTATTTTTACGATAAAGCACATTCATAACACTAATTTTGGTCTCAGGGGTGATCAAATTTCACTTTGAGAATAGTTTAGGCATAAATGAAACTATAAATTATTACAATATCACATTTTATTACATAACACAACATATATCATTTGTTGATAACAAAATTTGTTTTCTATGAATTTTTATGTAAAATTCTTAAGCTCAGCTTCGATAATGGAATATCATATAAATAAAAATGCCAACAATATAAAACAGCCTATAATTTTATATATATAGTGAATGCTAAATTTCATTTTACAAGTTGTGATTTTGTTCATTGTTCTACTTTATTTAATGTTATAAGACAGATAGTTTCCTTCATTTATTTTATCTTCATAATTATCGCTAGTACAATTTAACATTCACTATACCAAAGAAATTAGTGAATGTTATTTAACCTTTAATAGAAATAAAAAAAAACCTTACAAAACTGCACCTCTACCAACGACAGGCGTTTCTCCACGTAAAAGCACCTCATTTTTACATAGCATAAAAGACTTAGTTTACAACAGACGTGTGAAATTCATTGTCAAATAAGTAGTGAAATTGGATATAATGTGCACAAATTAACATGTTTTTACATAATATCCTGGTATTTGAGGAAAAGACGGACAAAAATAGTAGCTTAATTGATAAAATAGGTACTACATAAAGTCATTATATTGTTAAAAAAATATTATTTGCACCTATAAAAAAAGATTTTTCTTAATCTAATCTCTTAACATGTTTTACACAATTTACTTGTCCAATGTGATGAGGCTATATCGTATATATTCGAAACACGCTCTTGAATTCATTTTCCTAATACTTAGGAAATTGCAAACAAAAATATATGCTTAATTTTAAGAACCAATTCGAGATCACTTTGAAGTCACCATCTAGACTTCATGTATTACAATTAAAGCAATGTATCTGAAACAAAGTCTCAGTTTTTATTGAGTTTTTTCTGTAAGTGTAACACACCAAAACAGCAAATATTACCTGTACCATATAAATTTTCTTTCTAGTCTTATTTGGAACAGAAAATTCACACAAAAATGAAGAGTTAATACTCTCTCTATTAGAAAAAGTATGAAGCTTTAGAAAACTGTTCTATAGTAATAAATAAATATTAAGATTGTAAGAAATTTTCACTATAAAGAACTGTAACATTATAATCTAACGTAATGAGTTACCATTGATAATATACATGTTCAATATTAGCATCTTTAACTTAATATAATTAATTCATATTTTAACATTGATAAATAATTGATACATCCACCTTTTATTGCATAATATTTCTTAAACAATGTATCCCTAAAACGTATTGTTTAAATGAAGTCTAATAATCTTTTAAACTATCGCCTGGAACCTCTATGTATCATATATTTTCGATTTGTCAAGCTTATTTTAGCAGCTTTCTTTAAAATAATTTTAGGCGTCTGTCGGCATCAAATACGCGGCGACTCAGGTGCTGGTTCAGGCACTACTAAACCGACTCGTTGCTTCTCTGTTTCTATAAATTCTAACAAGGCCATATAAATAAATTTGTACTGAGCTTCGTTCTGTACCATACCGGAACGTTGGTCTCTGACCATTTGAACAGTGCGATGCACATCGATTTCACAGTCAAACCCTTCCTTTCTTATTTGGTCCAAAATCATGTCAATGACTATAAAAGTACCAGTGCGGCCTATTCCAGCGGAGCAGTGGACGCAGACGACAGCCTGTTCAGGTGGTTCCGGCCCTGTCATTATTTGCTGGAGTCTAAAGTTCACGTCCAGTAAGATATTGAGAACTCGCCCTGGTTCTGAAGGCACACCATGGTCAGGCCATGCAGTAAAATGAAAATGATAAATAGTTCTTTTTCCTTCAGGTTCATCTTTTTTAGTGACAAGAAAACGTCTCAAAGTATAATCTTGTGTTGAGGACTCAGATTCATTATAAATTGTATATTTTTTTATTACTTCTGTTTTATTTAATTCAGGCCAGTATCGCTCGCACTTCACTTTACCACGCTCAATCTCTTTTGTAGTCATTATGATAATGCGTACATCCTCCTGCCAAATCATGGACCAAAATTGGTAAATAGTTGTTGATAAACATCCTTGCGTAGCAATGTACAATTTACTGTATACATTTTCTGGATCACCATTAACAACATTTTTCTGAATTTTTTTATGTCCCACTGCCATTGCATCCACATAACTTGGTGGGCGAAAGATAGCATCCAAATTCTGTGGTTTGAATGAACCATTTGTCTTGCCAGTCTCTGAAGGTGTTTCTTCAGTTATTATAACTGGTGTGTGAATCGGAGATGTCTTATCTTTATGTTTAGCTGTGGTATGAGAAGTGTTCTCATATGTACCATTAGTATCTTGTTCAGCATTTGTATCAATAAAGTCGGATCGTATGTAGTTGGCATTGATATAGTCAGAACCAGGTGGTGCGTCAGGAGGGATGTCTTTCAAAATCACTCTTGTGTGATCAAATGGAATAATATTTTTGTACCTATTCTTCCTTATATTCTCAGGTTTTGAACCTTCCATTCTGTCAAATAACTGCAAATTTTCCATCATTTGTAGTGTTTCAAATTCTTCCCAGAATCCTTGCTTATATGCCATGCTCTCTATTGGACCCTCATTTTCTTTTTGTAATTGCTTAACACGCGTGTGGAAGTGTTGTACTTGTATACGAGTAGCATTAAAGGGTTGAATGAGTCTGAGGACATCCCCTGTGGTCTCAACCATGGGATAGTTGCGGTAATGTTCTATCAGGCTGACAAGATCATCAAACTGTTTACCACCTCCAACATCATATTTATTGTCCTTCCGTCTAATAATGACATGGGTCACCCGATCTCTTGTGCGAACTGAAAGGACAAAGTCTCCAGGTTGCCTTTGTGATTCCCTAACAAGAAAAGAACCACTTCTGCCATTCTCTAACATCATTCTTTCAGCTTCCTTAGCAGTCAACTGTCCATGATACCACCTTTCTGTGGTGGGATCTGCACAATTTAATGGGGTTTTTAACCTTATAATGCTGCCACTTTTCTCACGTAACTGACCTTGATTGTCCATGTAATATTGAACCAGCTCCGATAAAGTTGCAAACTTTTCACCCCCATAGAGATCAAGGAATTCCCCATTATTTTGGATTTTTATATGGGTTACTTCACTGCCTCTTCTTACAGATAAAGTAAAATCTCCCTTATTGCTCATACTTGGTCTAGCTAAAAAGTAACCGTCCCGACCTCTTTCTAAAAGTAACTTCTCTGCATCTACACCATTTAGGGAAGGATGGAACCATCTCCGTGTTATCATCTTATACTATCAATGATTAAAAGCCGATGTTTAGAGTATGTATATCATACAAATAGTCTTCTTGCTTTACTTTTACACCTCTTTGCACTCTTCGCACACATCTAAAAATATATAAACAAAAAATAACACATTTTTTGAATATACATATATGTAAGTTTTTAAATGTGAAAAACTTTTTAATAGTATTGTGAATGTTATACTTCAAGTTAGATAAAGATATCACAACATTAAATAATAATTATATTATTTCCAAATTATAAATAATTTAATTTAATGCTTCATAAATAATTTTACAAAAACATAATATGACAACACTACAGAGAAGTAAATAATAAAGTGATAATCTAACAAAAACGAATGGAAAACAAAGCACAGATTGAATGAGATATAAAGATGTAGGATTTGTGTGTAATGTATATCAACAATATCATATACGTATATACGTACTTAGACAAAAGTAACAATGTAATAATTTTTACGTAGTCTAATTGAACATGTAATTTTGATCAAATTATATTCTTACCTCATCAAAGGCACCCATGCACACACTGTATTCCTTAAAATAGTAGTAAAACGTATCGAAGTGTTGTTGCTATGCTGACTTTAGACTTTTTGTATCACTGATTTCAAGGGCGTATTCACGCGGTGTGTAACAATATACATTAGGAGAAGGTAACGAATGAAATAAACTTTTTGCATAACCGATACATGTTGATTTCGAAATGAAAGGACGGAAACTAAATAGTTTTACATGGAAAGTCAAAAAATAATTTCATCGCTAGTTCGAGATAAGAGGCTGCAGAAGCGAGAATTGGAATTTGCGAATATGTTTGACATTGACAACGCCCTTCTTTTAGAGAATACGTCAATATGTCAATTTGATACACAGATACCGAACATAAGGCAGATAATACTACTTGCTACGTAATTTATTTTTTAATCGATACAAATAATATCAACTACTAGATCAAGAAAATATAGACATGTCTGTAACAAATAATTTAATGCATAGAAATAGTTATGACTTTAAATTTTATTTTCGTCAGAAATAGTTCGAGGTATCTTTTGCGATTTCCCAAAGTAACTAGATATAACTTTTCTCACAGCAAATCGTTTACTCTGAGATGAACTCTCACCATGTCCTGGTGATTTTGGCCAATGCTCAGCGAAGCTTTGGCGTCGAAATACTTTTCCCAAAGATTGCCATTTTTGATCTGGCGCCACATCCTTATCTTCGAAGTTTTCCTTACTGCCGCTCGGACGGTCACCCTTTAAAAATAAATTAATAGTGCTTTAAGGACAATAATTAAATAAGAGTTTTCTGACATTTTTAACAGTTTACAATGGATAAATTGTTAAAATTAAATTCTTGTTTTATAGTACACGTACATCATTCGATTTAGTGGAACGAAGTTGGTTTCGAAAAAAATTAGTTATTGATTTTTTCCATGTTTTAGGGTTCTTGTATGACTGCAACTCCAAGCTACTGGTTCCTTCACCGGGAATATTAGTATTTTTTTGTGCTGTGTCTTCTTCCTCCTTAAGACCAATTTCATTTTGTAATGAATATCCTTCCGGGCATAACATTTCAATGTTTTATTTAAATTTCTATCACGTAAAATATTCAAAATTACTAAACTAGTTAGTGAGTTGTCATTTGTTATTTTTATTGTGACAAAGTCTTTTATTTTCTTTTTTAATCCTGTCCACTAAAATAGATCCAAAATAAAAAGAGTACAGTGTCTACATTAGAGTATATATTATCTTTGTTTATTATTAATTATTCTTTTTTAAATTAAAGGCAACGTAACATAATAAATTTCAGCCTACGATATATTATTATCTTCTCAAAAAGCCATAGATAACACTGTTGGTGTAATAAATATTGTGTTGTCTTTGGTCAAGGGCGAGATTTTTGGGAATAACCACTAGCAATATATTCTGTGGATTATTATCCTATTCCGTTTTTACTTTAGTATTATATGTATATCTGTGTTGTGTTCGACTGCGCGCGAAAGTAGTTCTTGCATTCATTTTTTATTGTTACATATTATAAATGTTTATCGGATTGCGTTATTGAAATAAATACCACAATATGACTACTAGTTCAAGCACAGTAATGTTTATTCCACTAAAATAACAATTTTGGTGTTAAACACAATTTAAAACTAATTTAGTTTTACATTTTATTAATTTTCAGGCTGCACTGCAATGCACCAAGATTTTTACAGAAAATATATTGAAAAATTTTACAAGTTCCCAGAGATTTATGAAACAATTAACAGTTATAGCTGTAAGTACTATAACGTACCTAAAAAACATATTCGCCGAAGCTAATTACGTTATGGATTCTTTTGCTGGAAGTAAGATACGAGTCTTGAAGAGAAAATGTGAGAACGAACATGCTCAGTTTCTTATTTCATCACTAACTAAAGCTTTTGATGCCATACATAAGAAATTCGTAAGCAAAGTTTTAATTTCTTAGAACATTATTCTGAACATTCATATTTTGTATGCAGAACCTATATCTATACTTAATGTATAAAGCTGAAGAGTTTGTTCGTTTCAACGCGCAAATTTCAGGAACTACTGGTTCGAGTTGAAAAGTTATTTTTGTGTTAGATAGAGCTATTACCGATAAAAGATCTCGTTGTGAATAATAAGGAGCGAAGAAACAGCGGGAAATGTAGGAAAAACGGGAAAAATGTTCATTGTTTCCATTGCGTACGCTGATTATTCCTCTAATCTTAAAAGATAGGCATTACATGTCTATCTTTTAAGATTAACTTGCAAGAACGACGTAACGCAGCCGACGACGTGGGTAATAGCTTAAATTTATACAGATGAACAGAGATTTGCTAAAACAAATGTTGATGCCCAAAATAAATGTTCTACGCGGACGAAATCGCTGACATAGCTAGTTACGTAATCATATTATGAATAAAATTTATTCTCAAACCTCGAAAATTTTCATAATCAAAATGTATTAAAGTATGTGTTATTTAAGTGATTACAATTTACAGCTACACCAATTAGCTATATGCTTCTACGAAGGCAATCACAACGAGGAAAATCTGGTGGAATATTATATATTTAAATACGAGTATAAGTCTAACAGCGTCGAGTTGAGTTTTCGTAATAAAAACACGGACCAAGAAACAACATACACATTGGATGATGTGAAAAAGATGACTGTAAAATTGATCGACACGTGTAATGTTATGGCAGGCAGTAGAGATGGCGGCGGAGCTCTTAACAATTTTAGCGTTCGTCTTTATTACAATGCGGGTAGAATTATATTTACTTACTTACTCCGGATTCTATTTACAGCTTCTTTATTATGCTTCATTAGGCCGCGAAACCATTTTGTAAAGCTACTTGCGTGTCCAGCTGTCGTAATTAAAAAAATATTCTCGAAACTTTGCCATTAGGTAGTGATCGGATCATAAGATCGTTGTTATATAAAGGGATTTTACGCGAGTAGTACATATTTAAATATAACACTTTTAACGGTTTAAAACGCGAAATATTTCAGTTAAGTAACTACGACCCAATGTTTCGGATACTTTGCAGCAAAGTTTAACTAATATATGGCGTTCCACGGCGGTCAATCGTCAAGTCGAAGGGACTTAAGATGGAGGCTGTCCCCGATGTTAAAGTATTGCGGCGGAATTGCTATTTGGCTAACTGGCTGGGTTCTTTACTTAACTAATGAATTTCGAGTTTTAAACCGTTAAAATTGTTTTAATTAAATTTCACGAATATCTTCTATATTAGAGGCTTAGTGTACGTTTTATATAGATGCTCCCGATGGATACCAAGCTCCCGGTTTCAATGCCACCAGCGAGGACGTTGATCAATTGGAGTCGTCTATAAGTAAGACTACCGACTTGGGTTACGTCGCGACACCCTTCCACTCGTTGCAGGCCAGGGCCTACATCAAAGACCTGATTACTGATAGCAATGATATTAATGTAAGTAATACAAAATAAATAGACCGCCTCTGTAGCCTGTAGGTTAATGGTGTCGCCTATCATCTTTAAGTTAAGTTGCTTGAGTTCGAATCCCGGTGAAAGAATAGAATTCGATCGTGCAGGACATATAAGTCTAACTACTTGCCTTTTAAAGAAACAAGCGTATAATGGGCGTTCGACTACGTATGTAACGTGGGTAGCGCAATTAATTCTACTATACGATCCGCGTACGAGTTGGTACTTGGTTGTACCAAGCTTACGTGAATCGGTTGAACAGAATCAGTTATCACACCACCAACCCCTTTTCGGGATTTTTGAGGGGGCCCTGGAAACTCCAAACTCCTTTTTGTAATTTTTTAATTATATTAGTACGACTCCAAGGATTGCAACGGCCAATAATATTTAAAATAATTATAATAGAAGTTTCTGTTACAGCCCTTTGAGAGCGAGAGTGCGCCCATGGTCTCCGAGGACATGGAACTGACTCGTACGTTGATACTATTTTTTAATTTATTTTTCCCCTTCCTACACATGGCATTAATAAAAAAAATTTAGTTGTTGTATATTTCATCTTTAACCCGTTAAAAGTGTTTTATTTAAATGTCAAAAAATCGCGTAAACTACCACCACTACTTAATAATTACATATTTCAGATATGGTGTCCACAATCGAGGAAAAAGTGAATTGTCCTTGCCATAAATTCGACATCTTCGAGTCCTCGCACGTCACCAACTTCCTGACGTGCCAGTAAGTTTTACTACAATATTGCAGGTTTCACATGTTATTGCACGTGATGGCACTAAATAAATTAAAAATAATAAATAACTAATAATAAAACTAAATAATAAATAAGTTCAATATATCGCGTTTTAAACAGTTAACGTGTTTTATTTAAATATATCAATTTTAAAGGTACTGTAAGATGCAACAGCATGCGGTCTGTTTCGGTCTTTTGGGTGAAATGGCATCCAAGAGCGACCATTGTTGCGTTGACTGCTACCGTGAAGATCCATCTAGGGAACCTACGGACCACAGTCTTGTCACATTACGTGCTAACGAACTAAAGGTACATTCTCTTCAGACTTATACTAGTATTTAGATATATTAAACGCTCTTTATTAGATTCTTAGAGCTTTAAGAGGATACATGGAAATGTGGGTTTCTGAGTGATCAACGTTTAAATAAGTAAGTAGTAATAATTATTATAAGAAATAGTTCTTGTAAGTTTAATTATGTATTTAGTTGGTAAGCCTTGTATAAATAAGTAAATAGGTCGACAGGACGTCGTCTTAAGATGCTATATGCACTGCTCATTCCACCATCCATCAAATAACGTCTTGCTTGTCTGTACTTTCATCATTATCATATTCGAATCCTGGAAGCTGATGACTCATGGAAGCTTTAATAGAACCTTGATCAGTATATTGATATACACTTCACCAATATACTGATCAAGCTACCAACAATGGCGTCCGGTGAACCAAATATATAATAGTACAAAGAGCAGACAAACAAACAAAAAATACTTTGTCACCGCTAGAATATTACAAATATAAGATTCAATTTGAAAAAAATACTGTTAATTGATAATAAGGGTAACACTTTATAAAGTCTATAAGAGAAGGGAGAGAAAAGAGCTTCGCTTATTGCCGACCCTACTAGGCTGTAACAAACATACAAACGAACTATCCCGCTCAACGTTTTATAAATGAGTAAAAATTCCTTTGGGTGGTACAAATTACATTTCTCCTCACGTTTTTAGAGCATGTGCATATTTCGACGGCTCTTGGCCTTGTGTTCTGAAGTGTCGGCTATCGGGGCGGGAGACATCGTCAAGAAATTAAGTACTTCCGAGAAGTCGGCCCACAAACTCATGGCATTGCTTTTCCAGAATAGGGTTATTGAAAGAGAACCTGGATTGAGGTAAGTTAATTGTTACCACTCCTTCACTAAACCTAAAATTTGAACCAAAGACCTCCTGTGCTATATGCAATGCTAGATGGAGGTAGAATGTAAATAACTATTGTTGGTTAAGAAGATAGGGCCTTTTGAATAATAAGTATTGTGAGTTTTTTGTAGTATACTATAAGATTGAGAGCAAAATTTTATTCAAATAAAATGCTTTAACGGTTTAAAACGCGATATATTAGTTAAACTTATTTGGAAATGATTTTTAACTTCGGCCCGACGTTTCGGATGCTTTGCAGCAAAGTTTAACTAATATATGGCGTTTTAAACCGTTAAAGTGTTTTATTTAAATGTGTACTACTCGCGTAAACTATAGACAGTATTTAGCAAAATTTTAATTATATTTGCAGTTTTAAACCTCAAATTGTACTGCCCGACAAGCTGAAGCAGGTGATATCGCATTACTTTTATCACGGCAAGCCGAAAACCACCAAAGACATCACCAATGTTATTTTTATATCGCAAGAGAGCCAGCCTGATCCCACTTCTGATATTCTTTCTGAAAAAAATCCTACTCAAAATTTACGTTCTGTGGGCAATGATAATATTGGTGAATACCAGAAGGTGATGCCACGCGAAAAGGAAAATATACCTGTTAAGAAATCGGTTGCTAAAAGAACCATGGAAGACCACCGCAACGAAGTAGCCAAAAAGAAAAGGCTCAGTCGTAATTAACTTAATTTTTAAACTTAAAATAATAAATAAAACGATATCTATATCGATTTAAACACATTTTATTTCGATAGAACACTATTGAGATTCTATGTTTGTTGTCCTTAACTGTTGTAAAATTATTGTACTTCAATGTTTTAAACTTAACTTTTAAAGAACACAAAAATTTAAAATGTTCGTAACGTTACCCTTTCGTAAAATAAAGTAGTTTCAGGATATATGTATATTTATTATTTTTCTTATGTTCAATGGTAAATATTACAGGACAGGTATTTGCATGACATACTTCGTTGGAGGCTTTCGCTGGTATTTTGAAAAACTACTTGCGATTCGAGCTGTTTAATATCTGATGTCGTCATCCACTCGTGACGACAACACGTCGAGAACAATTTCTCAATTACGACGGTCTAACAGCTCAAAAACCAACTATAGCTTCAAATATTATTTCTTAATTTACCCCAACTGTCTATTTACTTAACAAACGAATTCCGGCCGTTGGTAATCTCCAAAATTGGTATAGGTCCGACCCCAAAATTTAGGGTCACCACGAGGGTCTAGCGGCTGGTTATTCGGTGGCACTGATGTCCGGTTTATTTTGTCCAGTTCTTGCAGAAGCCTCTGCAGAACTTCCGGTTCTCTGTAAACAAAACGATTGCTTTGTATATACGATATAGGCAATTTCAAGAACTACATTTTGCTTTGAAACATGATTTGGACTAGGCTGGTCTTAACATGCTGAGCTAAAATAAATCAATGGCTAGAAGCGTGGCCCAATACCCAGGAAGACAATAAATTGTTGCAGTTGGGAAGGGTACAAAATTATTATCAACTGGGCAAGTTGTAACTAGTCTCTAGTACCTAAAATTCCAGAAAACGGACACAAAAATGAGGAGAAACGAGATTAACAATTTTTATATAAATAAAACTTACAAGCCAGCGAGATTTCTCCTCTCGCAGGCATCTTCTTCAATGTTGAAGAGGCATGGCGCTTCCAGCGGTCTGCAAGATATTGGTTCTACTTCCTGACAGTTTATGATTGACGCTTCCCTAGTAAAAGAGAACTGTTTTTTAAATCATATGCACAGACAGGCTTCTAGTGAAATAGTGATGTCGTGGGTTCGAGGTGCACTGGCATTTTTCTAAACGTGTTTAGCTCAACGTCTGAAAAATCTGGAATTGATCCGGAGGTAGGAATGTCGAAATTCTGTCCGAATAACGTAATTGTTACCGTTTAAAATTGTTAACATTATTCTTACACAAATAATAGTTAGCTCATAGCTCACCTCTAGCAGCGTCATATATATGCGATACTAAATACACTACAGAAGAACTGTAAACGTTTTATATAAAAACTTTCCTCTTGAATTATCTATCTATTAAAAAAACCGCATCAAATTGCGTAGTTTTAAATATTTAAGCGCACATAGGGACAGAAAAAGCGGCTTTGTTTTATACTATGTGGAGAATACCTTAGTTTCAAAATTTCCTCCTCAGTGGGCATCATGCCTAGCTCGGCGATAGCTCTGCCAGCGGCACTGGACAGTACTGCGTTAACATCGTAGCTCCCTTCACGACCACTGGGTCCGTACCAGAAGTCCCAGGCTCCATGGTAGTTTGTTCCTTTATGTATTGTAAGATTATTATCAATGCTGAGGTGTTATTAATTGTTTTTTTTTTATATAGAGAAAAGGAATCAAGCATAGGGTGCGTTTGATGGGAGGTATGGAAGAAGTATGGTATGGTAGGAGGTGACGCGAGGTCCTCGGTTTGAATTCTGGGGACGCAATAGTTTTGTTACAGTAGGGCAAAATAGTGTGATAAACTACTTGTATCTTAATAAATCTTCTACTGAGTGAAAAGGGGCTTTAACTTTATTATAGTATACTTATAAATTTATGATTTTAATGTCACTTCTTGTCTATTTACTAAAAATAGATTTAGTTTTAAAGGTCATCGCAGATTAGTCAGCAACTTACGACGACGTATTTTTTGACGCGAATCAAGAAACGCGCTGCGATCGCTGCGCGTGCGTTGCTGACAAATGTGCAATCACCTTTACAATGAAAGTGAAACCTTCACAGGATGAGAGTTAATTTTTTGCGACAAACGTATTCAAGTTGTGAGAAATATATAACAATGGGCAGATAAATGCACCACACTTTTACCGTTGTGTAACTTCCACTGGTCCACGGTGATGGAAGCACTCCCAAATATATTGTCTATGTTGTGTACCACTGATGTCCGTTGAGATTTCAGATCTTGGGATAAGGCTCCCCATTGGTCTATGCCGTCAAGGTTGCTTATACTGTGAAGAACGCAAAATATTAATATTAATAAAACGACAGGAATTTTGGTCGAATGTTAGCTATATATAGCAAAATTTAAAAAAGGCGAGACTTGAACTGGCATCCACAGCGATCCGAGCTGCTACTCTAACCAGATGATGTGCTGTGTCTCGTGCCTGTCTGTAGATTTTTCAATTTATATATTTTTTATCTATTTAAATTATGTGCAATAACACTAACCAATAATAACAGTTCAGTCCCTGCGAGCCCAACATATGTCTAATAAAAAAAAAACCCTAAAAACATGTTAGACTTCGTATTGAAAACCTGAATATTCAATAGTTGTAGGGATTTCAAAATTATGTCCAGGTGACGACCACCTTGTTTTGATATTGTATGCCTGTAATATGTTGAAAGGTATCGATCTCACGGCTCTTTGATTTTTAGTCTCATACTCGTACGTATGCAATTGGGCGAGGGCGCTCGTCAAGGAGTAGATAACCTATTACTTTAATTTCCAGATATAATAAAGAAGTAACAAGACACATTAATTCACTATTACCTTATATTGGCCTCAGCTGCGCTTAGAAAGGTTGGCAGCCAATCCGCGATGTGTAACCGTTGTGACGCTACACGAGGCACCTTACTCAGAAGTGGACTCCAAAGAGCTGCAGCACCACGCACTCCACCTTCCCACAGCGTGTTTTTCACCTGCAATACATTTTGAAGGTTGAGTGGAAAACTGGAAACATTTTAAGTATTGGATCTGTTTCACGCGGGCAGTATACATTTAAATAAAACGAAACACGAAATATATTAGTTAACTTACATTATACTACTTGTAATAATGACCGCCTCTGCAGCCAAATGGTTAAACGTATTGCCTAGCATTGTGTTAAGCGCGAGAGGTTCTGGGTTCGAATCCCAGGGAAACATACAATTGTTTCGGTCAGGCAGGACACAGAAGTCTGATCAGCTACTTGCCTATTAAAGTACAAATCAGTGAAATGGACACAGAATAGTGTTCGCCCCATGCCCCACTTCTTATAAACCTATCTACTTAGGTGTTCAATCTGTGCGATTGATAAACTGGTTTTCGACGTTTCGCCATTGAGTCGTGTTGGTTAAACATCGAGTACCATACTTCAAATATTATATAAGGCTTTTACTGCGTATTTGCGATCTTCGAACTCTTTATCATCTCTCATTGTCCACTCATGATGGCAATACGATGAGAACCAATTCTCAATGCGACGGCCGAATAGCTCCCAAAAGCGAGCTGGGTTTTCTAGGTCGCTAAATAAATACAATTTAACAGAGAACCTAAAAAATACATGTTACTGACAAGTTTTTGTTACAAAAGTGAGAATAAAAAAGACATTACTCACTCCTTTCAGAGGATAGTTGGAAGCAGCATTCAAGTTAAATCCGCCAGCTGCGCCTCCGTTATCAGTGCTGAATAGAATTATACTGTTTTTCAGTAAACTATGACGCTGTAAGGATTCAACCACTTTGCCCACAGACTCGTCTAATTTTGTCAGCATCGCTGAAACAATGTTATTAAAATATTTATGTTACAAAAACAACAATGCTTAGACGCAATTTCTTATGCGAAATCCTGTCTGCGGAATGGACGGACACATATCTGTATCTCTGGAAATTTACAGGAAAAATAGTGAGTGAGACATTTGTCCTACAAAAAAAAAATCGAACCCAAAACATTCGTACTAGTTGGTCGCAGGCGCAAAAATAACAATCATAAATTAAAAATCGATTTTCGATTGAAAAAACTTCACGATACTGGCGGGGCTTGAATCGACATCCCAGCGTTCACATCATTGGTCACAATATGGTCAATTGTGACCATATTGTGATCAATGATAAAATATTAATTTAGGCGATTGGAAAATAGGAAACCGACCGGCAAACTTCCTTCTCTGTGGATCTTCTATTTGGCTAAAGTTCGCAACGAGGTCTTCTGGGGCGCGAATGGGTTCGTAAGGGTTCCCTGTGTGTACAGCTGAATGGCCCACCATGAGAAACAATGGCTCACTTTTATCGTGCTCTGATATTATCTGAAAAAAAAAAAAAAAACATTAATCTACTATACGTGAAATCCCCTTTCCCCCTCGTGGGGCATGAGGCGAAAATATTTTTGTGTCCGTTTTACTGATCCGTTGAATTGTGTGCCTGCCTTTGTATCCCTGGGATTCGAACCCGGGGCCTCTCACGCTTAACGCAATGCCAGGCAATACGCTTAACCATTTGATTACACAGGCGATCATCTACTATAAAATACGAATATTTTTAAATAAAGGTGCCCGAATTTCGTTATCTTATACGTATTTTTTAATTCTTTATTTTATAAGGCAAGGTTTAGATACACCTAGAAATTTTAAACTAATAACACGTCAATTCGGTTCCTTATGGCGTATTTTCTAAATTATTATTAACTTCACCAAACTAATTTAAATGACAATATGTCAAATTCTAAGACAAATATTCAACCTTGAGAGCTTCGTCCGTGTACACATCAGTGACGTACTTGCCAAACAAATCGTGGGCCACTGAGAAACCTGTAAGAGTTAATCAGACAATAAGACAAATAGCAGACCAGGAATTTTGTAATCAATGAGCGAATGTAATTTCATAAACGACATTTTACTAAAAGTGAATTAATACATTTTTTGACAACTGGATATTAAATTGGTGGGTAGGAATATCGAAATTCCGTCCGGGTCACGAACCACCGTCCAGGGAAGAATCAGCAGTGTTATCCATGATTCGCTTTCAGTCTGTGGATTTCCAAATTTAAATAGTTCGACAGCGCATCTTCTAAGATGTGTCATGGTTAGGGTTCCTCCATAAAGTAAACTCTATGTCCTACTATATTTTATATTTAGTGAAATTGCGATAAAAAGATAGATGTGAAATTTCGTGTTAGCCTAACATCAATTTACCTTTAAATAACTAAATTGTGTACCTAACTAATTCTATATCGCCATTTATATGAATAATTAAAAAGTATGTTTGTCATGTATCCTAAATTACCTCGCCGAAAATCGAATCCCCACAATCCGTTCTCCTGTGTTGTATGATCGTACATATCTATCTTGCCCGTCCAAAAACCGATATGGCTGTCAAACCTATAAAATTATGAATAGCATTAATTTTTCAAGCATATGTAAGCAAAAGTGATATTATATTTTTATCCGTTGATTATTCTCGACCTACCCTCGATTTAGTGGTAAATATTCTCTTTTATAGCTGCCGAGATGCCATTTTCCAACCAGATGGGTTTTATAGCCTAACTCCTTTAGGTACTGTGGTAGTATTTTTTCAGAGAGTGGCAGACCACGAGGTTCTATGCCATAAAGGACGCCATGTTGCATTCCTGTAACAAAAAAAAAAGTCATTAAGGACGAAATGAACTTCGATATAACTGTATAATTACAGATTATATTCAAATTAGAAATTAACATGAAAACCCATAGTAACAATTTTAACATATTAAACCTGTGTAGCTCAATTGGTTAGAGCAACAGCACGGAGCCCTGACGATGCCGGTTCAAGTTCTGACCGAGTCGACAATTTTTATTCGATGTTTAACATATATTAAACCCTTTGAACGGTTTCTTTCTATTATTTACAAATAAGATAAATTGAACACTTTGTTATAACTACCTACCGCCTCGCTAACAAATGTGTTTGTTTATTTTTCACCTGACAATGTCTGTATGATGAATGATTATCTGTATGATGGTCGTAGTTAAAATTTCCATACATAATAAAGTTCGTATTTAGAACCGTTAAAAGTTTTATTTAATGTGTACCACACGCGTTAACTTACACCAAAATTTATGCTGTCAAACAAACTGTTTCTTAAATTAAATAATAATTTAAATTCGTCATTCATTTCAATTTAGTTATTGAACGCAATGAATTTCACGAGCAATACTCTATTATTAATATAGTAATAAATAATAATGATTCTATTGTTTACAGATTTCGCCAAGTGTACCTACACTTGAAGAGATTATTGCTGATTAGTTGAAAGAATGGTCGATGACCTTACACACTACTTATAAAACTATTATAAGTTGTCATGTTGATAAATTATAAGAATAAAATATTCTTTTTTAATGAATTTTTCAATACTGCTGTCCTAAGTGTTATATTTTCCAAGAATTAAAGAAATAGATTTCTTTTCAAAATTAAGTAAAGGAATGTAGGAGTAATATTATTTTGTTAGTATGATAATTACACAGTCAAAAAAGTCTTTCTACATTGATAAAAGTCACCTGAATAAATAAAACTACAGTTTATTCTTTATTGATCTACTATATCCATCTATACTAATATACAAAACTAAAGAGTTTGTTTGCTTGTTTGTGTGTTTGAACGCGATAAGCTCAGGAACTACGGGTTCGAATTGAAAAACTCAAAAAATCATGAAATTCGTGTGACGTACTTTATGGATGACCCCTTATTTAACTCATTTTTAACTACGATCCGAAGTTACAGCTATTGCAATTAACAAAATAATGTTTTAAAACATTAAAAATGTTTTTAAATCTCCCTGCCCGTCAGATATAATGCATCATTTTGTTACGCTTATAAATATGTACCTACCACTAAAAGTACACTAGTTACAGCTTATAGAATTCCAGGTCCAGGCTTTGCAGCACAACTGGACTTATAACTACTTGGGCTTTAGTAATTACTATCTAACAAAAGTACCTGTATGTATAGGATATTTCCCAGTCATCAGGGCTGCTCGTGATGGAGTGCATATCGGAGCGACGTAGTGGTTCTGGAGCGAGAGACCAGAACTGAAGAGTGCGTCAATGTTAGGTGTCGGTATCTGGTTAGATCCGTGGAAGCCTACATCGTTCCAGCCCTATATAAATAAAAAATAGACAAATACAAACTAAATCAAAATGTCATTCGTGTTAATAAAAAATATGGAACAGGGCTATTTTACTACTATTTTTAATATGATATGTATTTCATATTTTAGCAGCCGTGGTCACGGGGCGACTAAAGATGGAGGGTGTCACTGGCTAATATATATCGCGTTTTCAGTCGTTAAAGTGTTTTATTTAAAAGTGTACTACTCACAGACTGAAAATAATCGATGACAGGTGAGAGATTACAATCCACCGCACCACATCAATTAGTTAATCGAATTTGAATAATGACATATATATTTGCTTAAGTTATGTTAAGTTGATAACCCCTCAATTAAGTATCAAAATATACAATTTGTAATTTGTCAAACTATAACAAATGACCCTGTAGGTCAGGACAGGTAAATTCAAAGTTGACCCGGCATAAGCCGTTAGCTTGGCCTAAATATTTAAATTATGTGTCTCAGACGCCCACAAAATAGAAACACAATACAAGAAAAACAATTTCGTATATATATATATATATATTTTAAATCCGCGAATAGACATAACAAATTTTAAAATATTTATTAATTATTTATGGTACATTGACAGATGTATGTAATTTGTTTTATTAAACTTAATTAAATTTAAATTCCTACGTAGGACGTTAATATTAGTCTTTCAAAAGATGTAAGTAAATATTACACTATACGCTAAACGTATGTTTAACTTCAAAAATAAAAAGCAAAAGAAGGTAGTTTATCTCACCAAATCGTCAGCGATGATAAGAACGACGTTTGGCGCGCCGCGACATTCGTATAAGCACAACGCGAAACAGAGAAGCACACACAACATTCTGGCCTGCAGAGCAATACGCTAATGGAGAACTGTGTACAATGTAAATACATGTGACCTGAGTTATCAAAAACCGGTGCTTGACATCGGGAGCCGGGACGTGATCAAAGAATCGATTCAAACAGATACGTGCCCCATTGTTCGGTGCCTTTTGAAGGCTTGTACTTGAAAATACGAAATTATCAGTCTTTAGTTTAGCGAGGGTACACTAAAATAACTCTAAACTGTTTAGAACGAGCAATATATTATGTTATTTAAACTACAAGAGTTTCCAATATATTCAAAGAAAAGCTTGAAATTGTTACTTAATTTAAACATTGTAGATTAAAGAAATATTTTAAAATGGAATATAATTTAATAACATTCAAATTCAAAAAAATTAAACTGTATTTAAGAAGTTTACTTGCGTGTTAAACATAGTTTTTTTCCGTTCTATTTGTTTTTCAACTATACAAATGCCATAGTGATAGTATTCCTAACTACATACAATGCTTCGTTCTAAAATACTGTTAGCAAACCCCGAATCTCCTTCAAGGGCAGAGAAATTTCTATGTCCGTTTTCCTAATGGTTTTTATAGGCGAGTAGTAGACCAGACCGTAACTCATGTTTGCCCGAGAATCGAACAAGTGATACGCACGAGAGCATGCTTATGGCATGCACATTAACTGTTTAACCATGAAGGTTGTGGACAGGTATCGTTAGTATAAGAAAAATGTCAACACTGAATATTTCAATTAGCTGTCTCGGAAAATAATACCTACAGGAATAAATATTAAAATTAAAAAATACTGCAGGTAGTTGGCACGACTTATTTTGGGTAAAGACTATCATTTATATATATTATCGACCGCCTCTGTAGCCAAATGGTTAAACCTATTGCCTAGCATTACATTAAGTGCGAGAGGTCCTGGGTTTGAATCCCAGGGAAACATAAAATTGTTTTTGTCGGGTAGGGCACAGAAGTCTGATCAACTACTTGCCCCTTAAAAGAACAGATCAGTGAAATGGACACAGAAATGTGTTCGCCCCATGCCCCACGAGGGGGAAACGGGATTTCACTTCTTTATATATATTATCATTTTAAATGCCTCAGTTATAAAATACAATATTAAATGACTTAGGTGCATTAGAAAAAACTAGAGATGGGCCGAGTCGACTCGGTCGAATACTTTGTTATTTGAGAACGAGTACACTTTGTTTAAGAAAAGCAATAGATTTAGGTAGATATCATTAAAACAACGGTACTTTTGGATGAAAGGTATTTTTTATGTAAAATTATGCTAATGTATGAGACAAAATTACAAGATGAGAGCGAGCCGACGTTACTCAGTTAAAACAGTTACGCCGAGTAAAACTCGGTACTCGTTACTAAGTGCATCTCTAGAGAAAACCCACTGCACCTGTTTTTGTTCTTACTAAAACAACTATAAGAATATAATTATTTTTAGATTACCTAAAATATTCCCCGTTTTAAAGTGCCAAGTTTCATTTAAATAGAAGAATTATGTTTTTATATTTATAACAGTATACGAATACTTACTTTGTCCCCCATTTTGTTGTTTACTTTGGGTCTACATTCGCCTCCACATCAGGCGTTTGCATCTAGAATATTAATCTTTGGCGCCTAGAATCGGGTCAAATTTGATTGTTTGTGCTCAGTTCATATAGGAAGGGATTATCGCACCTGTTGAATTACCGGTTATTATGATAAAAGATGAAATAAACAAATTGTCAATAACATACAAAGGGCATTAACACATCATCGTCACAAGATGTGCTGCAGACCTATATAGGCTTTAGAAATTCAAAATTGTAAAGACTAAAATCGAAACCGGATATTTCAAAGTTGACCATATTTCAGAAAAAATATTATTGATTTTAGATACATATGGACCCGATGGAAATCAAACCCACGTCCCTGAAGGTGTAGTCATATATTTCTAGAACTTAGCCCTATACATGATGGCAAATAAAAACTGTTTTCTTCCATCACAAGGCAAATAATTGAACACATATTATAAATAATTTATTAATGTAAATTACAGTCCATTAAATTGTACCTATCACACACAAGTACCGACATAAAGTACAAAATATTTAATAAATCCATCCGTATAATTTTCGTACATCAATTGTAATGGTATGTTTTGGTAAATGCACATGAAATGAAATGATTTCAAGGATTTTTGCTACAAACAAAATAAAACAGCTGCATATCTAGATTTACAATAAATAATATACTCTATAAAAATGTACTCGAATGCGATTACGAAATTTCATTTGGCGTGGTGGATTATTTATCACACTAGACGATCAGAACTAATTAGAAAAAAAAAACTATGATATTATATACTTCTAGTAAAAACAACGTAAATGCAAGTCGATGACGTAAGAAATACTATTTTACTACAAGGTAAGGAATAACGTATAATTTTTAATCAAATAAGTTATAAATTTGTCTACATCTCTATCGTAAATAATTCTTTGAATTCGTCACCAAATTACCGAAAATTTGGTAGTAAAACATCTGCTCTAAAGTCTAACTTGTTCGGGAATCCTCAAGTCTTTGGTAGACTTAGGTACATAAATAAACGAATGATAATATTATGGAATATCAGAATAGAAGAATTATTTCTACTACTAAACATACAGTCTACCAAACTCAAAGTATCATAGACGGCAGCTAGAAGAATCCGCGCCCAACTAAAAAGCATTCTACAAGGACTTACTCACTGCAGTCAACTTATTTCAATTTGAATCTTAAAAAACATATTCACACATAGTAACTACGGAACAACTCATTCTCTAAAGATTTTCAAGCTACATATTGAGTTGATAGCTTAAAAGGGCTTAAGGAATCTTTTTGTGACGTCACGAAATCTAGACTAGTATATAAAGCTAAAGTCTGTTTGTCTGAAGGCGCTAATGTGACATATACATAATATATAATCATATATATAATCTTAAGATTTTTGATTTACTGAGAAGTGTAACGAAGAAAGTCAAACAGCTTAGTGGTTGTTGTAACGATAGAGAAATCAAAAGAGAACGAGTGTTAAGAGTCTAGTCACGCGTTATTCTTTGCGCGGCTTCCGTTTTCTTTGGCCGTCACCAGCGCCATCTGTGTCTACCAATGGCGTATTCTGAAAAGAGATTATTACAATTTATAACTTATTTTACGTTTTGAATAATGGCGTTATAATGACATGAGGTTTAGATAAATGTGGCGATTATATTTATATCCGGTTTACTTTGACGAAGAAAGACCGTTTTTTTTTCCAGGACAAGACTTCGTAAGCTCTAGACGAAGCAAATAGTCAACGCCGTTGTACGTCTGCATCTTTATTACTTTTTAAATAAGCCTGGAACTATGGAAAATTTATGAAGAAAAGGATATTTGTCTACAGTTTCCGCAAGTAACACTTTTTAATGGTTTACAACGCGAAATTTATAATTCACTAATGTTCATTTAAAATCCGATCCGTCGGACCGTTCGACTTTGCGTATTAAACCATTAAAAATATTTTTTTCAAGGATATTTACCTCCTCAGTATTCTCATTTGGTCCCTCGAGGTCAGCCTTGGATAATTTCTCCTTATCCCCAGTCTCCTCTCCCTCTCCGTCAGATTGGTGGGGGTCGTCCTCTACCACGGCATCGGTTTTCTTTGTATCTACGTCTGGATCTTGCTGTAATATAAAGTATTGAGTTATAATAATAATTTAAATAAAATGAATGTATAAAATGGTGAAAATTCTAAAAGTGAAATAAATTAAATAGAAAAAAAAAAGATTACAAAGGAATACTTTAATATGCTTTACAAGAAGCCAGAAACAATTTAAAACGTAACGTTTTAAGAAATTAGTAAACACAACTTACACCCACACAAATACACAAATGTATGTGTGTGTGTCTGTGTGAAAGAGAGAGGGTTTTAATTATTGATAGTGTCATAAGAAACAAAATACTAACTGTTTTGGGCCCACAGCACATGTACGCAACGAAACCCACAATGATGAAAGACCCGATGATGACCACAGCGTATACCCACGGGTTCTCACCAGCGAACTTCAGGCCTCGTTCCACCAGCGATTCCTAGAAATAGCTCTACTCTAGCATTCTACGAAAATAGTAAAATACATCACGCTTTCTAGCGCTGCAAACGGTCCTACGCATTGCCTAGTCTACGCGAGTAAATAAAGCACGTATTAACGGTTCAAAATGTGAAATATATCGCTTTTAATTTATTTTAAAAACTACTCGACTTTTAGGTTACTTTGCAGCAGTTGTCCACCATGACTAATAATTTATATCGCGTTTTTACCGTTACAAAGTGTTTTATTTAAATATGTGTATATATATATTTTTATTTACTGGAATAACAAGCTTTTTGTACTAGAGCCTTTACTTAAATAAGACTGTACATTTATAATGTATTATTACTGTACATTTATATAATTAAGTCTTTGGGAATATTTTACAGTGGTTTCTATTCTTATTTAATGATATCGAGCGAATATATGTCTATAAAATGGCAATATATGTTAGAAAATTTAATTTAACCGCGAGCTCAAAGATTTGACATATGCCTGACGTAACGTCAAAATCGAAAAAGATGGCGGTTTGACGCGTAAAACATAAAATTGTGTGAATGAAAGAACATTATCCGATTGATTTAACATATTAATTTGTTTCAGGTTTTTTTTTATTTATAATTACAGTAAAATGTGTAAGTCAAATGTTTATAATGTCAAAAATCAAAAGATCAAAATCGTTCTAAGCAAGTGCGACAAGATTTGGTTTTATTTCGCACATATATTTACTTTTTTGAAAAACTTACAAAAAAGTAAATACTTAGACAATCCGATGGATGGCGCTGTAGGGAATACACATAGCGTTACCCCTACTCTACCCTACGACAAAAGGAAAACACACTGGAGAAAGACTTGAACACTAGCAAATGGTTACTTAGCGAACTTTTTAATATGTGCTACACATAAAAGAGTCTAGAACATGATAACCTCTTTGGATCTGCCAAGTAAATAAACTATATAGATGGTGATAGGCACAGCACAGTAGAGCGCGTACATGGCCCAGTAGCCAGGCTTGTACTGAGTGGCGGCCAAAATGCGACCCCATATAGTTTTCTGGGCGAATTATACAAATAAATTAACGTAAGAAGTGTTGTGCGATAGGCATGGGGCATAGGTCTCGGTTTTATCGTTATTTTAAAGCAAGTATAAATTAAAAAAAAATATTTTACGACACGGGCGGGACTTGAACTGACAACCACGGCGGCGGCGGAGTGGCATTAATACTAAAATGTTTCACAGGCAAGTAGTTTATCTGACTGTATCCTACTCAATCAAAAACACCTTATTGTTCCCCGGAATTCGAACTAAGGTCCTCTCAGGCTATGGAGAAGTATTAACTTTTTATTAAATTATTATATTAACTTTTTAAATAACATGTAATTAGATGTTTATTATTATTTTTTATTTAAACCGTATTAGATTTGAGATATACTCACCGCTTGACTAGTGATTCGGTCTCGCTTCAGATGCCACGTCTGTCTTGCCCATTCTAAAGCAACGGCTGGGTCATCCGTGATGATCAAGTTGTCAAACAATAGCTGCGGTGACATCGACCATAGTTCAAAACCCACAGCCGTCTGAAAAACAGAGGGAAAACATTAATCTATCGATCTATACTAATATATAAATCTGAATAGTTGGTTTGTTTGTTTGAACGTGCTAATCTCAGGAACTACGGGTTCTAATTGAGAAATTATTTTTGTGTTGGTTAGAGCATTTATCGAGGAAAGCTAAAGGCTATAAAACATCGCGCTTTGACAAATACAAGCCAAGATATAGCGAGAAATTAAACAAAAAAATTGGGAAAATTATTCATCATTATGGATTTCCGAGGAGTACGTTGCAAAAACGGTGTGTACCCGAAAAATATGTACGAAAGAATTATTTCTCATTAAATGATCTAAAAAATAGTCCGCGACGCTATATGTCTATCTTTTAAGATTAACTTAGCAAGAACGACGGGAAGGGACGGTCCGACGTCGTGGGTTACAGTTAAGATTATAGAGGTGAAGGGGTTTGCAAAAATGAATTTGGATGCCGAAAATAACATTTGGACGAAGTCGTGACACAGTTAGTGCTAGAAATGGAAAATAGGTCCACATCGCATCGTTATTAGAGGCCATTATTACGCCTTTGACGGGTTCGTTGATGGATATAAGTTTTTTGAAACCCTTGCTCTGTTGTCTCATGTGTGACTTTGGAAAACCTAGATGTTTAGCGGGTGCTAGGAATATTGCAAATTACTGTCCATAATTAGAAAAACTATATTTATTCTACTATATTTCATTTCCTAATATTTTAAATGTTACACTTTTTTCAAATAACCCCTATTCTCTCCAATCAGAAAACGTAATCAATGTTACAACAACCAATAAATAAGCACTTACAATAGTTGTCATCCGGAAGGGGTGTTCGTCTTTGAAGAAGTGGGGATTGGCGATGCGACGCGGAGACCACTTGCCCTTGTAGTTTGGATTAGGTATAAGCGGTGCTCTCCAGACACCCTGTATACAATATACATCATTTGTACTTTTTTTATTTTTTTGAGGTTGTTTTGCTGTAGCAATAGCTCACACAGCTCATATTTTTGTAGAACTGTACATAAATATTTCTCTCAAACTACCAATCGATCCTTAGACACCTCATAATACAAAATAAGTAATAAAGACACGCTTAAACGGTTTTAATGTGAAATATATTAAAATTTAATAATTTTTTAACTTCAGCCTGTTTGCAGCTGTCATAACGGGGTGACCATCCAACTGTAAAATATCGCGTTTTAAACCGTTTAAGTGTTTTATTTAAATGTGTGCTACTCGCGTAAACTAGACGGTATATAATCGATCCAAGTTTTACTAATTGTAAAATAGATTACCGATTCCTATTTGTAACATTATAAGATAATGATTTGAAGAATTGAGTCTCTTTCAGTACCTTGTAGTTGGGGTTGGCTATGAGTGGCGCCGACCAAGTACCACAACCTGGTGCGGAACTGCACTTGGGGTTCTCAATGAGAGGTGCCTCCCACTCGCCGTCCATCTCGTCTTCCCAGTCTGATGGTTTCACTGCGTCTGGATCTAGGCGAGGATATTTTAAAGTTAAATTTTGAGGTAGACGAACTAAATGTTCATAATGTCAAACAGCTCGACCAATTGTGATACAATTTTGCACTAACATAAATAAATTATCTGTGAACAGGTTTTTAGCTTGTTTCATTAAAAATTGTATTCTTTTAGTGTTTCTTATGTTTTTCTTGAATAAATAAATACATGACTCGCTTAAACATATTTTTCATGTTCTGGGTCTATAAACAAGTCAAAGAGCCACCCTTTATTGTCTAACCCACTCCAGTCACATTCATTTAAAAAGAGGACTAACCAGGTATCATTTCAGGTTCATCATCAAGCCAGCCGGACGGCTTAACCGCATCAGGGTCGACGATCTGCGCAGGCGCATCTTCATCCCAATCTTCTGGCTTGCTCGCTGTCGGGTCTACGATCTGTCAATGAGAATGACACTTGATCAAGACAAGTAATAATGAGACTAAAAAGTATTTTATATTAGCAATATTAAATTACAATTTTTTAAATGCTTTACTAAGATTTAAACCATAGACCTCCCTAGGTAGCCCTCAAATAAAAAAAAAATCTTTTTCTTTAAATATTCGGAATCGAAAACTGCCATATCTTAAAGAGTCACACCTTAGCAATTCCATTCATAACTATCCAAGACTCATACCTTTTCTCTCTCATCCCAGTCTTCTGGTTTCTTATCATTGGGGTCATCAATCTCTTCCGGTGGGTTGACAGGTGGGGTGAAGTCTTCCAGTAGTGAGCCAGAGTTGACCTCTTTGTTGTCAACAAGAATGTTAAAGGTATTATCGGGGAACACAATCAAAGTGTAAAGATGTGGTTCCTTGTCCTTATAAATATCGTCTAAGCGCTGACTGAAAATAAAGAAAGGGAAAGAGATATAAATTCCTATTTAATCATTCAATTGGTTAGAGCAGGACGGAACGCAGTAGATACTGGAATAAGTAAATAGATCATTTCTTTACATAAAGCCATATGAAAATCTAGTATTTATCTATACCTAGTAACTGTTATTTTTAGTAAGTGAAGACAACCATACGTGTATACATATTGTAATTTTTACCGGCCTATTCTCTCCTGTTCAGTCTATATTTTCGATCTGGTGTCTAGACGCAAGTGTCTTTTTTTACCAAAAACGTACACACGACACCATCGTCGTCGTGGATGACAAATATGATGTAAAAAGCTGATAAGGTCGTTTGGAAAACTAAATAATAAACAGAATTTCCACTTCAAAAAAGAAATAAATACTCACTTAGGTTTCTTCGCGTGTTTCTCCTCGATGGTGCCATTCTTAGGGTTCTGGTGCTTGAAGATAAAATGCAATTTATTATCATTGCCGCACTTGTCGGGCCCGAACATGATGGTGTAAGGAGTCTGGTCGTGGAACTGTTTCAGGTCCTTTTGTGTATTGATTCCTTTTGATAGAAGTTTTATGTAGGCGCCACCGCAGTTTTGGCCCTCCTGAAACGAAGATATGGTTATAATTTAAAAAATATTTAAATAAAACACTTTTAACGTATTAAAATATGAAAAATATTAATCGTTTTTAACTTTGACCCAACGTTTGGGATGCTTTGTAGCAGTCGTGGTTACTCGAGCAATAAAGAAAGAGTAGAACAGTTGAATTAAACACTTTTAACAGTTTATAACGCGAAGTGTATTATGTGTTAACTTATTTTTAATTTAAAATATGGCACGACGTTTCTGATGCTTTGCCCCCGTGATTACGGTTGTTGCTAAGCATGCCAAACGTTGAACCGTAATTAATTAATATATCCAATATTTCGTATTTTAAAGCAGTTAAAAGTGGTTTATGTAAACGATTTCTGTTGTAGTAAGTTGTGAAAAATATAGAGTTCAATACTTAAATAGTCAAATAATATTTTGACTATTTAAGTTATTTGACAGTTAAAATCTACCCCTTACAAGTTTTTATTAACCGAAGCGTACTTCAAATTGCTGTATCCGTCGGAAACGCGACAAATGTACGCGTGTCATAGAAAGTTTATCGAATTACGCACCAGCTTCGCTAGATGTAATATAGCCATCAAGCATGGGACCGTGACAATTTCTATGTTGCGTAATGCGTATATCTATCCTAACATTATAAAGCTGAACTGTCTATTGAACACGCTAATCTCTAAATAAAACAAAAATATTTTTGTGTTCGTTAGAGCATTTATCAAGGAAGATTTTAATCTATAGTTAAATCCGACCAAACAGGCGTTGCGTGCGCTGCGAAAATAGTTAAGAAACAAAAAAAATATATAAATATTAAAAATATTCTAACATTACAGAGCAATGTCCATTGCGATAGAATTATTTAGTACATATTTCATGGAGTGATTGTTCTTGTTAATTCACCCAAGCTACACGTAAAAATGTCGATCCCCTTGCAGCTTGTTGATAACACGCAAAGCACGAGCAAGAGGGGATTTCATCAGTAAGTTGGTGCGTGAGTACGGTAGCGCAAGTAACGGTGGTCGTAGTCGCCTCCACACATATCGGTCCGGAACAGACTAGTGTGAGGACTGTAGAACTCCTGGGTTCAACTCTCGACCCCGCAATACTTTTATAAATTAAAATATGTGTGAAAGAATGATTTTTCTTTAGACGATCTAAAAAAAGTCCACGCAGTATGTCTATCTTTTAAGATAAATTTTAAGAAAGACGGTACGCGGATAATGTCCTGTACACAAGGGGTTTTGTTAAATGTGACCTACAGACATTACTCAATGTACCATATTTTCTTTTCTTATGACAATTTTTGGTATATTCGCAATTCATTACATATTTTCCCAAAAGCATTACGAAGGTACTAACTGACGTAACTCCAGTTTCGACTCGTTATAAATAGTTTTCAGTAACGTCACTGGATATTTATGAGTAATGCCTGTAAAAATAGTAAGATTTATAGACTATTGGGTATGAAGTGAAACCCCTTATCCCTTAGTGGAGTATGGGGCACATGATCATGTTTAACAGGCCAGTAGTTGATTAGTGTCCCCAAGGGCAAGACCTGATAAAGGCCTAGAAATTGGCAGTGCATCAATGAAGACAGGTCAAAAAAGGACTCAAAGGAGAGTAAAAGTTGACTTGTCAATTTTCAACAAATTTAAGAAATGAAACTTTTCATTGATATTATAAGAGAATAAACGTATTCATAAGCTAAAATTAGAATGTGGACGTTTAAATACAACACTTTAACGGTTCAAAACGCGATACATAATAGTAAAACTTATTTGAAAATATTATTTAACTGGCCCGACGTTTCGGATGCTTTCCAGCAGCCGTGTACACGAGGAGTCTCCCCCACCAAACAAGTTTAACTAATATGTATCGCGTTTTAATCAGTTAAAGTGTTTTATGTAAATGTGTACTATTCGCGTAAGTACAGACCGTATTTAATGTACGTTTAAAAATATTACAACCAATATTTTATTGATTTTCAAAGTGCAGTGAAGACGCAATACGTTGTGCTACATGTTCCTTGTAGTAGAGCTGATAAGCCAATTAGTGCTGCACAATGCAGTTTTATGAGTAAAGTTATGACTTCAAGTACTGTGTATATTACCGTGACTTGGATATTTTTAACTTTCCACGTTTTTAGAAACAGCTTTTAATTGCATTTGGCACGGAGTCAATTCCATCGTTATATGCAATATTGTATTTAAAAATAACTTAAACACATTAAAATTCATATTTAATTAATTATTTGCTAAAATTGAAAATAATAAGTAGATAAAAAGTTACTTCGAAGGTTATTAATATTGCTATATTTATAATTAACCTTCACCTGCAATATTATAGTAATCAAGGTCTTAGAACATTAATTAACTATAATTTATAAATCTTTTTGTTGTTTCAGGGGGTGGGGGGTTTTTTTTTGGAAAATTTTTGCCCCCCTTTGGAAACCAAAAGAACAAACAAGGAAAAGAATCTCGACAAAGCAGGATGTCTCTTCTAGCTTAACACCGAATAGTTGCAAATGGCCATAAAACCCTTTTACAATATAAAAGATATAGTTAAACCTGAAAGAATATTTAAAGTATTTCTTACCTGCATAGTCACTTCATACTGTACTACAAATGGTTTGTCAATGAACTCAAATGGCCTGTCAAGAAGCGCAGAAATAGCTGCATGTTTCGCTTCTGTTGTCAACACCAGGCCTAAATCATTTTTGAGTAAACGTCTTGCGGGAGCTTGTATCTAAAACAATTATATCTACTTTTTACTAAGAAATAATTAATTTGTTTTTTGCCAATTGAATTGTAAAATAAAAAATATAGGTAGGGTATCAATTGAAATGATTATGAGTTTACTAATTACTAAAAAATCTCACCTCCCACTTCCCATCGTATTTGGCGATATTTTCATCAACACCCTGCTTTTTGGTTTCAGACTTCACCCACTTCTTTTTGAAAGCAGCTTCATCATCAAAATGCTCAGCCAAGTAAAATTTCTTAGGATCAGTTTCGGGACTTTGGTAACCATCTTCTTCCACAGTCTATCAAAAAACATGAATGATAGTTAACAGTAATGTAGAGTAAAATATAAATACTGTATTCTCTATGGAATTAAAAAAAATTACCAAGAAAAAATTAAATAATATGTCCGTCTGTCGTTGTCGTGATTCTACAGTGTTCAATAAAGCAACATAACCAAGAAGAACACCCAAGAAACTCAATCTGGCTTTATTCAACATGATACAGACTAATACATTTTTGTGAATTTAATGACCTAAGTAGCAATTCATATTATTGCAAGCTGCTTGTCATTAAAGAAGTCTTTTAACAATATTATGCCTTTTGAGACAATCTAAATTATATGACTTTTTGAACTTTAAAAACTTTAATATTTTTTACATGTTATTGCACATAAGGCTCTACTCCTTCCTGTTGCTCCCAATAAAGTCCTTGATTGGTAGAGCAACAGGAAGGAACGCTGACGATGCCGGTTCTAGTCCTGCCCGTGTTGAATTTTTTTTTCAATTTATTTTCGATTTTTAAATTTTTTGAACTTATTATAACTTTGAAACCACAACTGGCAATGTATACATACGAATAATGTTTAGAGCCTACATGAACATTACTTGTAATAAACTTTTATAATTTTTGAGGCCTTGTCCCAAAAATTATAAAGCAACTTACCAAATCATGCCAGATACAATTCAATGCAATAAATATAAATCAACAATTCTTATCTGTTAATCAGACAAGACAATAAAATGATAAGTTTTTTTATTTTAAGTGCCCATACCACATAATTGTTAGTTCAGTGATAAAAATGCTAATAACTAACAGGTTGTAGGTTCAACTTCTGCTGAATTCAGCATAGAAATGTCATTGAGTACTGAACAACATACGTGTTTTAATCTATGGAATTTCAATTGTCCAACAAACAAATAAGGAACTGTATACCTCAATAAGTTATAGGAGTGAAGCGTTGCACTTTATTTCAACTGTATCTGTCTGTCCACCTCTGTCATAAAAAAAAAATTGTAACTAGGTCATAGAAAACTAACCTCTACAGTAACTCCATCATCGGCTTTTTCGGCATCTGCGTGAACATAACATGTCGACAAAAGTACCAGTAATGCACTTGCAACAATCACGCGAGGTAGAGCCATCTGTAAAAATCTCAACATGAAACTCGTGGCACGAGTAACAACTAATCTAATTAAATAAACAATTCGAATCGCCGAAGAGCGAAGTCCAATGGATCTCACACCTTAATCAAATAACATTTCAAAACTAATACAATAATAGAAGCGGGCCTAAGTGTATATGCACGAAGAAGCTAGGTTTATTTGTTTTTGGCTTATAAAGTCAGGGCAAATCCAAAAAATCATAATGTTTAACCAACCTTGCTCTGAATCTAAACCTCTTGGTCAATACATAAATTCTTAATAACAAATAATAAAATGGTTGGTATAATATTATAGAATCCCAAGTTTAACTAAGATTCAAATAACACTTCGCCACAAGATAGTTAAAAATTATCTTTGTTACTTTTAGTTTTAGCTAGACTTGCGGGTTATCAAAATTCTAACTCAATTTTATTTGAGCAATGAGCTTGTAGTATTCGCTGTCATTTTGTAATTTAAAAGTATTCCTTTTTACGCTGTGGTCAGTTTCTATTGGCTGTTGCAAGATTAAAGTAATAATGGCCAATCACAATTGAACAGTTGGCACTGGTCGCTACAGGTTTTTCGTGATTGGGCTCACAAATGACACTACGACGCAAAACAGACTATTAATTGCTGCAATTTGTGTATGACATTTACTATGGAATAATTATCTGTGGCCTCAATGAATTTTCTCAAGTTTATCTGTGGCTAAAAACTATTTGTAAACGTTTGTTTATTTTTAGCCTCATAAAATTTAAAATAAGCTTAAACTTATAAACATAAAACTAGTTTTATTTACAAAGAGGTAACTGTAAAGTGTAGGTTACAGGTTTAGATGCAGAGTTCTTCTACTGTTATAATTTATGTTAAGTAGTGAGTAAGTCAATCATTTTACAAATATTGAAAGAATTAAATATTATTTAATAAGTTTATTGGATCTGCAAAATCTTTAATAATTAACAAAAAAACACGTAACATGTATTTCAAATAATAATTTGAGGCTTTCGTAAAGGCCCTTATAATTTTAATTGTATATTGGTTATTTTAATTTTATATGTTATCTCTTTGTATCTTATCTTTTGTGTATAACATTGGTCCATTAAAAGTACAACATTACAGTTCCTGTCTATTATACATTTTTGTTACTATTAATATTATTTTAATTTTTAGAAACACAGAACCATGATAAGGAGATATGTATTAAGACTACTTCGGCTACGTAGTCTCTTAATAATAACCATAATAATAGCAATGGTGTATCTTATGAGACATTATAGTGATATAAATTCATTGCAACAAATCAAGCAGTCTTTACTTAGTGGTCTTCATCAGGACTATTTTGTTCCTATGAGTTTGAAAGTAAGTTCTTTGATGGGATTTCTGTATGCTGTAATTAAAAAATAGTTTTGTTTGTTATATATATATAATTATGGAGGCTTAAGAATAAGTTACTTTAAGAATTTCTTCATCTTTGTAGCTTGGGGATTAAAAACACTACCTAATTTTGTGTGTAACTGGTTCTAGTTTTCAATCCCAAGAATACATATAAAGGGTGCAGATGTCTGATGAAATACCTGTAAAGTGACACAAAAATGTGTCTACCCTACATACAGAAATCAGTCTAGTTGTATATTATTATTAATTTAAATATTCTTTTTGGGGTTACAGAAAATCAACTGGCATAACTACAAACAGATAAACTATGAAAGGAAACGAGTGGGTGAGTAAAAAAATTATCTTTATATCAGTATTTGATATTAAGTTGGCAGTAATGTTTGTAGTACAACATATATACCTAAGCCCTATATCATTTTTCTATGTATTTATGTAAGATATATTTAAATATTCCCCAGCATCTATATATACAATTTTTTAGGTATTGGGGAGCAAGGAATTCCAGCACATTTATCCAAAAGGGAAGCAGGCATTGAGAAAGAGCTTTACTCAGTCAATGGGTTCAACGGAGCTCTGAGTGATAAAATACCCTTGAACCGATCACTTCCTGATATAAGACATATAAAATGTCAAAAACGGACATACATAGAATCACTACCAACTGTTAGTGTAGTTGTGCCATTCCATAATGAACATTGGAGTACCTTACTCCGGACTGCTGTGAGCGTACTCAACAGATCCCCCGACTTTCTGATTAAAGAAGTAATCCTCGTAGATGATGCTAGTACCAAAGGTGAGATTATTTGCTACAATAAAAATTCAAGAAAATACATCATATTTTTGTATAGTTGGGACTTGTAAAATGTACTCCCACTGTCTTAAAAATTGCTACACATTACAGTGCTAACCCATATGACTATTCATATATTTTATTGTTAATTAAGTGATATGTAAGGCTGTTTGATTGTACGTTCAAATAAATAAAAATAAAAAAATAAATTGTATTTCTTAAATATAATATTATTTATAATAATTTACTACTATAGTATAATACTTATTACTTTAATTAATCATTGATTTCTTTAATGACAAGACTGCCTGTCAGTAATAAGAATTGCTCCTTAGATTAATAAATTCACAATGTATTAGTTTATAAGACATGTTAAAAAAAGCCGGACTGAGTTTCTTGGGTGTTCTTCTCAGTTACTTATGTGCCCTTTTGACCACTCTGTAGAATCACGACAAACAAAACAATTTTGACAAATTTAAATAATTTTTAAAATTTTAGAGAGAATAAATTATATTTTTTTTATTTATTATAAATGTTATAGTTTTGACGTTTATATGTATGATGTGTTGCAGACTTTTTAAAAACGAAGCTAGATGACTACCTTGCAGAGAATTTGCCTAAAGTAAAGGTGATAAGACTGCCAACTCGCAGTGGCCTGATAACGGCTCGCCTGGCAGGAGCCAAGCAGGCTACAGCCGATGTCCTTCTATTTCTGGACTCACATACCGAAGCTAATGTCAATTGGTTGCCTCCACTGTTAGGTCTGTGTATGTATTAGTTTTTTTATTTCTACACTAGGGACCCGCCCCTGCTTCGCTCGGGTGCAATGCTGAAACTAAATACATTACAGAGAAACTGTAAACGTTGTATATTAAAGCCTCCCCTTTGAATCACTCTATCCATTAAGAAAAAACCGTATCAGAATCCTTTGCGTAGTTTTAAAGATTAAAGCGGACATGACATAGCTACTTTGTTTTATACTATGTAGTGATTATCTATGTCTTCTTTAAATTAATAAATTCTATATTTTTAGTATGTTATATGTGATAAATTTAATGTTGTGTAGTTGTTTTATCTACAAAAGCTAAAAATAATATTTTTTATATCAACTCTGATATATGATGTATGTTATTGGATTGACCATTGGCCATGGTAGCGAAGACACCTTTTCCTTATTATCTATATACCGAATTAAATGGCCCGAACGGGCTCATTCAAATCTCGGTTTTGCAGTCGATATGCAACAAGACAGTATTCAAATAGATTCATATTCAAAGTCAAAAATAGGTCGAAGGTATCTTGTTTAAATATGGCTGGGTATTTCACTCAAGAACCCCATACGTCGTCATCAATGAAAAAAATAATCTTGTCTGTGGTTTACGGAAAAAGTACGGTAAAATACTTTTTGCGTAAACTTTGTTTTAATATAATCCGGGGTGATGGGCTAACAATTAACTGAAGGCTATTTTTGACTGCCCGTCACAATAGCAAATTAAAGGTTACTCTTTTAACGCTCGAAATGTATTAGCTAAATATTACTGTTTTACGTGACCATGAAAAAGCAACGAAAATGTAGTTAAAATAAATTGTAAATAAGTTAGCTTCGCGTTTTAAACCGTTAAAAGTGTTATATTAAAATGTATTAATTCACGTTGCAGAACCGATAGCTCTGGATTACCGTACAGTGGTGTGTCCGTACATCGACGTTATAGCGTACGATACGTTTGAGTATCGCGCACAAGACGAAGGCGCCCGCGGTGCCTTCGACTGGGAGCTGTACTACAAACGCTTGCCGTTACTCCCAAAAGATATACGCAATATGCCTGAACCGTTCGAGTAAGTAAGACGGGGTCCTGGTCTTTAGTAGTAATGGCAAATAACCAATGGGTCATATTTCCACCAGGTCCAACAGTTTCTAATTATAGATATTTTTTTCTTAATTGGACTTGACAAAAACCATCGACTACAGATGAAAGAACCGTTAAGATTAATCGAGTTCCGGTTTGAGTCTGTGGAGTTTCGAATCGAAACGATATAAATAGATAGGGGCTGTGGGATTCCATCAAGTGAAAGACATGTTTGTACTCCTCTATCGTAAAAAAAAATTTCAACGGTTGAGATTATGATATTTATTGGTAACATAATTTGGATAAAATATATCTACTAGTCCTCCATTTAAATTTGTGCTACGCGTAAATACAGACAATTAACGAGAAAATTGTTAAACTGACAAAAACTACTTTCTTATGAAATTATAGAGAATAGACAAATAAGGGGTTCGATCAACGGAAGGTAAATTAGTAAAGAAGATGTGCTGTCGGCCTATGTATGTATGTATGTATGTTGTTTCTCGGCGATGAAAATCACTGCCGAAGGTCTACATTCATTGCTTTAGTAGACGGAAGAAATTTTTAGTTTTCTAAAATCCACGATGAAAAGCCATCAATCAATATGAAATCAAAAACAGTTTTATACATAAAGCAAAGGTTGATTTTATATTCTTATAAAGAAAAATGAACTTCAACTGTTTGAAACCCGATTTATTGCTTATAGGAGTCCGGTTATGGCGGGTGGATTATTTGCGATATCGCGAACGTTCTTCTGGGAGCTGGGCGGTTACGACCCTGGATTAGATATTTGGGGAGGTGAACAATATGAACTTAGTTTTAAGGTAAGTTTAATATTAATTTCTATATATTCTATATATTTGTAGTAAAATACTGTCTGTAGTTTACGCGAGTAGTTTACATTTAAATAAAACACTAACGGTTGTTAAAATGCGATAACTATTGTCCGACTTTTCGGATGCTTTGCAGCAGTCTCCCCGTGACTACGGCTCCTGCGCAGCATCTGTAACGCCTGGGCGAAGTTAAAATAAGTTTAACTAATATAATATATCGCGTTTTAAACCGTTAAAGTGTTTTATTTATATATTATGTAGTTCTAGATCAAGATACTATAGGACTTATCATAGATTTCAAAAGCACCCTATCTACGCTGATAATCATAACATGCTGATTATTAAATTGATAAAAATATATATATGATAAATGTAAAGATAAAGTAAATATAAATATACTAATTATTCATTGTTTAAAGTATCTTTTAAAATCTCACATTGTGAGAGAAGCCCTGGATTTAAATCCTGGGCTTAAAACAATTTTAACGTAATCTTCATATAAATTGTTATCAGCATATAAATTGGATGTCGATGCGTGTAATTAAATAATTTAATCCAAATTATACAATGATATAAGAAAATACATAAATGGGTAATAAAATTGTCTAATCACACGCCGAAAGCATCCGGAACGTCAGGCCGTAGTTAAAATAATTTCTAAATAAGTTTAACATTATTTCGCGTTTTAAACCGTTAAAGTGTTTTATTTAAATGTGTACTACTCGCATGAACTACAGGCATTATTTACATACACATTTTTGAATTGGCGCTTAAACAAATTTAATATAAGATAATTATAAATTCGTGAAATAATTTTCTTTCGAAACCTAAAGTATGTATTTAAAATTCCAGATTTGGCAATGTGGTGGTCGCATGGTGGACGCGCCCTGTTCCCGTGTGGGGCATATTTATCGCAAGTTCGCCCCGTTTCCCAATCCTGGACACGGGGACTTCGTGGGGCGGGTAACTTCATCATTGTTATTAATTATCAAAATATGCTTTGGCAAAATATATATATTGAATAAGTTTCACGTCACAAGGCTTCATCGAATTTCTTCAACCCTCGCATAAACTAGTTTAAAATGGTTACAGCTCTATTTTCGTCTAAAGGGCATGTTATATTTTTAAAATTTCTAAAATAATTTGTATGTTTAGCCTTCTAAATATTAAAGTCATATTGGAATTACTACTCGCCTTTCAAACTTCTGTTCGGCTATCGTAACATAAGAGGCATATTTGATTGTTGGTCTTTTCGAATAAAAATAGGTCGACAACTCACCTGTTGTTTGAATAAATACTTTTTTTTATCTTATTACTTTAACCTTACAGTCCTTAAGCTAAAATTTACAAAAACAGTTTAATATCAGATTGCTTTTTTATTTGTTTTCAGAACTACCGCCGCGTAGCCGAAGTGTGGATGGACGAATACGCGCAGTACTTGTACAAACGCCGACCGAACTATTTGAAGATCGACACGGGAGATATTTCAGAGCAGAAGGCGCTACGAACGAAACTGCACTGTAAGCCGTTTAGGTGGTTCATGACTCAGGTACGAACAGACGAAATATAGGCTTTGTTTTGCACGTATAGCCTGTTATGAGTAGTACGCATTTAACGGCCTGAAACGCGATATAATCATCCTGCGACGAATAAATTAATCATGAAACTCATTCTTTTTTTATATTTTCCGTTTTTTAGTAGAGCAATAAATAATTGATATTATATAATTAAATGTGTACTCCAACAGTTGTCTCGTAGTTTTGATCGTGCGCAATCAACAAACAGATATAATTCAACTGTAGTATGTTTGGTTTTATTTTATTGCACAATATAATTTAAAAATCGAAAATAAATTGAAAAAATTTTCGACTCGGGCAGGACTTGAACCGGCATCGTCAGCTTTCCGTGCTTGCGTACTAGGTATGATTTCTTAAGCTGCAAAGCATAAGACATTGAACCTTAGTACGCAAGTGTTAAGGTTGAAATTACACTGCGCGACAGGTGCATGTATCAATAAGTTGAAAAAATTCGACGATGAGGTGTAGGACTCGGTAGCTCAATTGGTAGAGCAACAGCACGGAAAGCTGACGAGGCCGGTTCAAGTCCTGCCCGAGTCGAAAGTTTTTTCAATTTATTTTCGATTTTTAAATTAAATAGTGCCTTCATGTGCAATAACATGTGAAAAATATTAATGTTATTGCACAATTCCAAGTTATATTGTCTGTTCTCCCTCCGTCCTCTCTCTATGATACAGAAGGACGGACAAGTATGGGGTTCGCTTGGTGGGAGGTGAAATACCCCAGCCACACAATATAAACAACATGCGCTGTCGGCCTATTTTGGCTTTGGATATTGCGAAATCCACAGACTGAATCGAAACGCGATACAATTCACCGCTTTTTCATCTGTGGACGGTGGTTCCTCACATGGATGGAGTTTCGATATTCCTACCACCTATTTAATATCCTTTGTGGTAGGGACCGTCCCCACGACCCGATGATATTAGCCATACATTGCTACCGTTAGACCAACGAACCCGTCAAAGTCTGTCTGGAGTCAGTGAGTCAGTATGGATTTCTGACGCTGGTTTAACATTTTTACCCGTTACAAAAAAGACCATGCAATCTATAACTCGCATCTACAAATTTCCAATATTTATCTACACCATACACTCTTTTCAGATCGCATTTGACTTGCCAGTGAAGTACCCGCCGGTCGAACCTAATCCTTTCGCTGAAGGAAGGGTAAGTATATAAAAAAAATGTATTTGTAAATATTAATATTTTTCACATGTTATTGCACATGAAGGCACTATATAATTTAAAAATCGAAAATAAATTGAAAAAATTTTCGACTCGGGCAGGAAGAAATACTTCGAGTATTTTAAAAACATTTTTTTCAATAGAACACAAACGAAAAATTATGCCTCTAATTTTTGATATTACAAAAACTTCAATAATTATATAAGGTACGATGAAAGAACAAAACAAAAGAGTACTTAAAATCTGTCTGGTGTTTACGCGAGTAGCGTTTAAATAAAACACTTTGACCGGTTTGAAAGGCGACATAAATATCGGGCCGTACTTAAAATAACTTTCAAATCAGTTTAACTAATATATCGCGTTTTAAACAGTTAAAGTGTTTTATTTAAAAAGTACATATTATTTATTTGGTTACAATACAATACAAACTGGATACAATCAGTGGAATATTTTTTATCGTAATCAAATCAATGCCATAGCGATGGGATAGGTTGAAAACCTGTGCTTAACACTATGGATTCCCGATGTTATAGGAAAGTAATAGGTACGTTTTATATGTAGGTAAAACCACCTATTAATAAGAAACAAGTCACTGTGTAGTGCTTAATGTAACACTACCTAACACACTACACAAACACAACACTATATTTCGTTGGCAAAAAAAAAAAAAAAAAAAGAGAAAAAAAAAAAAAAAAGGGCGAAAAGAAGGGGAAAAAAAAAAAAAAAAAAGTCTTTTGGTTTTAAAAAGGGGAAAGGAAATGTAAAAATTGTTTCATTCTTGAACCTTTTTCATCTCAAATAAAGAGTAACTTTTTATTATACATTATATATATTTTGCATTCGAGTTTTTTCTGTCTTGTTTATTATTGTGTGTGTATTTAAGTAAACAATAAATCGACATTCGATGACGACACAGATACGGCCGTCAACGCACCCGCAACTGTGCGTAGACGCACATCATGGGGCTCAAATGGAAAAGTTGCAACTGAAGACCTGTTCTGATGGATCGGCGGCGGAACAGAGATTCATACTATCCTGGCATAAGGATATTAGGTAAATAATGTCCGTTGTTTACGCTTATGCGAGTACTACACACTAAAATACACTTTTAACGGTTTAAAAAGCGAAATGTATTTTTTTAACTACAGCCCGACGTTTCCGATGCTTTGGTCACGGGAAATAAGTTTAACTAATACATTTCGCGTTTTAAACCGTTCAGTTATTTATAAATTTATTTTAATTGATTTAATTTCTTTATTGCAACACACACAAACACAAAGTATATATACATGTTTCGTTAAAAAATATTCTAAATAAGTTATTAAGATAAATTATCCGTATATATAGTAGATATTAAGTAACGTTTTATGCGCTATCGGCGAAAAATTACTTGTATTTTGATACGCGTGCTCTCAAAATAGTTTTAAGTTAATTATTTTTTCATCACCCCGGACCAACCCTAAATGATTTTCTTTAATGATAGAGACAAACAAGTACTTGTTTACTTGATGGTAGGTGAAGTACCCCACCCATTTAACACATTAATAAGATGCGCTATCGACCTATTTTTTGGCGTTGTATATCCGGAAATCCACAGACTGAAACCGAAACGCGATTAAACTTCACACAAGACAAGATGGATCGTCGTTTTTAATAATCGTAATAAATTTGCTTAGTTAATACTTGAACGGTTAATACCCTAGTTAAGCTTTCTCCATGCATCTGTAAAAGTTTTGGATAGATTTTGCATAGTAGTTGTCTCCCCGTGACCACGGCTGCTGCAAAGCATCGGAAACGTCGGGCCGAAGTTAAAAATTATTTTCAAATAAGTTTAACTAATATATCGCGTTTTAAACCGTTAAAGTGTTTTATTTAAATGTGTAGGCGTAAACTATAGACAGTATTTCGATTTTTGCATAATTAATTCCAGATCTAAAAGTCGAAACATGTGCTGGGATCTACCGGAGTCGGCGCCCAAGAGCCCGATCGTACTGTATTCCTGTCATCTGGGAGGCGGGAACCAGCTATGGAGGTATTACCCCGTAAGTATTCTTGGATTTCGTCTAATCAAACAATCATAAGGGTTTAAAATGCGGAATTTAGAGTTTTTTTTTTATGGTAGAAGAGGGCAGACAAACATGGAATCCACTTGATGGGAGGCGAAATACCTAGTACAGTCGTTAATCCTCAAATTAAAAGTTTCGTATCATTCTTTCAATTTAGAAATATTTAAAAATATTCAGGACACTAAACGGCTGAAACACGGCACAAACGACATCTGCCTTGACTGGGATCCACCTTCACGGGCCCTATACATCAAACCGTGTGACGCGGAGAGCACTACGCAGGAGTGGATCGTTGATCACGTGGACTACGAAATGATGGGGAAGTGGGAGACAGTCGCCAAGCGAGTCACTGGCCCCAGTGAGGACTATTAAATGTAATCTTAAACGTATAGCTATGGTTTGTTAGTTAACGCGAGTAGTACATTCAATTAAAACAGTTTAACGGTTTAAAACGCGATATACTATATTTATTTTAACTACGGCCCGACATTTCGCACGCTTTCCAGCAGCCGCGGGTCTCATCGTTTTAAACCGTAACAGTCTTTTATTTAATTTAAACATCTCGGGCTAACTCTTTCGTAAAAAAAAAAAAAAAAAAAAAAAAAAAAAAAAAAAAAAAAAAAAAAAAAAAAAAAAAAAAAAAAAAAAAAAAAAAAAAAAAAAAAAAAAAAAAAAAAAAAAAAAAAAAAAAAAAAAAAAAAAAAAAAAAAAAGGGGGGGGGGGGAAAAAAAAAAAAAAAAAAAAAAAAAAAAAAAAAAAAAAAAAAAACAAAAAAAAAAAAAAAAAAAAACAAAAAAAAAAAAAAAAAAAAAAAAAAAAAAAAAAAAAAAAAAAAAAAAGCGGGGGGGGAAAAAAAAAAAAAAAAAAAAAAAAAAAAAAAAAAAAAAAAAAAAAAAAAAAAAAAAAAAAAAAAAAAAAAAAAAAAACCCCCCCCCCCCCCCCCCCCCCCCCCCCGGGGGAAAAAAAAAAAAAAAAAAAAAAAAAAAAAAAAAAAAAAAAAAAAAAAAAAAAAAAAAAAAAAAAAACCTTCCCACGGGAGGCGCCTCTAAACCCCCCCGGGGGGAGGGTTCCGCCCGGGGGGTATTAAAAAAAAAATAAAAATATTTTTTTGTACATTATGATATTTTTAAAAAAAAACCTAGCCAAGTTTTTTGCTTGCGATTTTTTAGCTTTAAGTTACTAGAAATGTGTTAACTCAATTTTTTTGTTCCTCACCAAACGTCTGCGCATATTATTAGCCTATTCTTTCTCACGTCAAGTGCATACAAGTTGCATACGAGACTGCACAGTGCTGCCCTCTATTACGTTATTAAACCAGATACTTCGTTTAACGCCATCTATTGAGAATTTGCGGAAACATTAAGTGACACTTGGCTATGACAGATGATAGATAGTCATTGACAACTTATTTTGAGGTAGTTTAATTCGAAACCCTGATATTGCGCATGGTTATTTGGAGATAAATTCTAGTACTAGCTTGAAAGTGAAAAGTGATAACAACAGAGCAAGTTAAGCAGTCGGTCCGTTTATGATCACAAGTTTAGTAGCGATAAATATTGGGCTTTAAATAAGAGATAACGATTATTAGAATAATTAAGATAATCCCATCTTTGGGAAGGGCTGAAACGCATGTCTATTAATATAGAAAATTAGGACAGCACATTATTTTTTTTAATTTTGATACATTGTTGCTTCTGCTTGCCCTCCTATAAATAATGATAATTATATAAATATCGCTCTTAGTTATCAAAAAAAAACTATTTTTATATATTACGTAATTCTATTAATGCATTTACGAGGTCTTATTTGATTTGTATATAAAGAAATTAATGTTCCTAGAATCGGTTTTGTACGCGAACACCCTCGTTTTAAATTGTGGACATATCATTTCTGTTTGTATAAAAAGATGCATTATTTTGTAATAAATATGTTTTAGACGTTTGTCAATTGTTTTTTAAACTTAAAATATCATCAGTCCTCCTTAGCTATATACAAATTACCAGAATGGTATGGAGCAGGAATTGCCAAACTTTATTAAGACTAGAGGCCACTCATCATGAAATGATGTCAATTCACCAGAAGTATAGATAATCAAAGTCAATAAAAAATTGATAATGATGTATTAATATTGAAAAATAATTTGAGTATTATTTTTGCTGTCGACGGGCCACCAGTATTTCACCGGCGGGCCGCTGTCTGTGCCTCTCCTATAGAGTGAATTGTGTAAAAATTTGTTAAGGGTGAAAAGAAAACACATTTACAGTTTACTTTTATTACATATTCCAATAGAATTTTTACTGACTGCAGACTATACACATAATCCGGCTCTACGCAATATCTACAACATATTAAATGCGTCAGGTCTCAAATAAAACAAACTTGGCTGCCGCTCCAGGTGTTAGCGGAATATTGCAGCGGTCAAGTCAATAATTATCGTTACACCTCGAATGCGACACCTGTAAGCTCACTAATATTCTAGAAGCTTAGTCTACGGTAAAACTGTCGATGACACTACCTGATCGATTTGTTAGCCAGGTCTTAAATGATTATAAATGCAGGGAAATTATAACAGATTACAAATGCACCGTTTGGTTACCCAACCGATCAGAGAAAATAGATCTAAAGCCTCAACTCTGCCCCTAGCCTCGCTCGAGTATATCCTAACTTAATGTCACTATAGTTATAAATAATCCAAGCGTAAAGATATGTACAATTATTTTTACACATTACAACTGTTAAGTACCTATTTACAAATTAGAATTATTTATACATTATAAAAAAGATTACTATACGCTATATATATCACCGCGAAATCAATAACTACCTTCAAAATAGATATACATATTCAATATTACATTATAAATAAAAATTACACCTTACGACCACTAACTAAAGGATTAAGACGTATTACATTACAAAGTATTGCTTCGTTTAGTCACATTTTGCAAAAATATCACCGCTCTGCCCCCCACCCCCCCAGCGAGCTTGAGGGCGTACGTAGATTAAAAATTTATTTCATTACCTTTTTATTATATTTTTTTTATAAACTTTTCGTAAAAAATATTCCATGCCTATAATTCAGTCAACTAGCATTTAAATGATACTTCTAACACAGAGTAGACACCACAATTTAAATGAGACATTCATGGACAAACACTATGATACTACACGTCTTTATACACAACTCTTCTTGCCGACTTCTCTTTCTAGATCTAGTAGATTCTATAAGCAGCGGGTAATGTATAGTGTCCTTCTATAAAAAAACTGGAATAACGCCTCGTGATTCAAGAAATTCATAATAATAACACATCTACATAAAAAAATACAAAATGAGAATTCACGTAAATGGGTAAAAGATTTATAGTTCGTTCAGTCTGTTGCGTTCGCAAGTCAGCAAGAAGCACTACACTGACTTAATCTAAAGTCGTATTGCACAACACATACACATTGTACGTATCCACGTTTCCCTTAAGATAATTTGTATCGAGGCCCTTGAAAAGTAACTAAACGCATAAAAAGTGCATTTGAAACAATAAATATTACGTTCTACTATAGGCCCTGCTTCGTAAAACTCTAAGTCAATGCAGGTGATAAAGTTTTTGGATTAGTAGAATCTATTTTAATAGAAACAGTATGAATATGGAACTTTAGCTACAAGCTATATAAGAAAACCCTTGGCAAACATACGAAAAATATTGCAGCTTTAACGAAATACTAAGAGATTTTGATATGAAATCGGACAACGATTTTCTTACATAGATCTGACATAGGAAAAACTAACACTACATACTTATTATGATAAAATTATTGCTTAGAGAGTAATAGTATTGCGAAGTAAAAAGACCTTAGGTCTATTGTTAAAGGAACCGTCTACAAGAATAAAATATTATTTACATTTAAAAGGTAAGCGATCGAACGAAACGTTTGGCTAAATACGTTAGGAATATGCGTTAAGTGATAAAACAATAAATTAATCTAAGCGATTTGTATATAGGTCGAGTATAACGCGATGTAAAACAATATAAAAAGGTAGAAAACTGTGATCGTAATTGAGTATTATCGATTAATATTATGCCAGTTAAAGTTAAGATCGATTTCAACTCGTTACCCTGTCGTGAATTGTCGAGAGATTCAAAGGGCGGAAGAAGACTAAAAACGAGATTCGATCTAAGTGAAGCGTAAATAATATACCTAAAGCCTAGAAGTGTAAAGATTCTTTCGCATTTCATTGCAATTCCGTTTCAATAGAAAACTACACGCATTAAAAAATATTCCAATCACAAGATGCAGACTTCAGTCCAGAGTCCGAAGCGGAACGTAAAACCGACCGCCATTTTGCTTTGGCGGGAAAACGAAGCGTACTGGCACGTTAGGCAAGTCACGACCGGTGACGCGCGCGCCCACTCTTTCTCCGTTTTCTCCTACCGTCGCGGACGAAGACGATGTTTGCGGGGTCGTCGGCCAATTGTGGATATTTGGATACAGAGTGAACGTCTCTCGCCGCCCAACCGTCCACTATTCCGTGAGAGATCAATTCTTCTTTCTCTTCCTCGGTCCACGATCCTCTTCCTTCCCAACCTGCAGCGACCAGGGCCTTTTCTCTTTCCCAGGCTCTTGCGGCGGCGCGTTTGTGAGCGTGTTTCAATAGCTTGATCCTTTCTTGAGCTGGATCGACGCCGTAACGTAGAACGATTACCGCCTGAGCTGAACCCTTGCCGACCGCATGTACCCGAACCTATAAAGATAAAATTGGTTTAAATGAACGACGTGGTTTGACGTTTTTAGTCTTAAATTGCAAAAAAGTTAGTTGACGTAGTTTTAACTACAACACGACGTTTCGAATGTATTGCAGCAGTTGTGGCCTGGACCGGCCCAAATGTCAAAGTTAGATCTACGCTGGGTCTGAGTCTTTAATAGCTTATATTTTGTGATTTAAGTAAACCAAGTTTACTATTTTCTTAGACTACACGTAAATACCAATTTATAATAATATTTACTGTAGTAATTACATTAAAAACTTTGTAACATACCTCTAGACCCTGGTCATTGGTCTCATCTTGGGAGACATTAAACTTTCCAGACAGCCGCCTCAGTTCATCCATATCGTCTCGAATTTTCAAAGAGTTGTCCTTCACGAAATAGAACACGTCTTGGTCGTGTATGCTGAAGTGCACGTCCAGGAAGAAGGAATTATTGAAAACCGTGGTGATCACGTCTTCTACAACACTGTTAGCGCCGTCTGCCACACTGATATAAGCCCGTCCGTCTACTCGGGATATGAGAACTCCTTCTCCGAATACACCGCGTTTATATGAAACTCTCGGCAGGAGATTTCTCGTTATCGGCTCCATCTTCAGCAACGGAGTGGGTACAAACTCTAAGTCAGATAGCTTGTCGTTGACCTATAATAAGAAACAAGTTTTTTTTCGAAATTATATAGTGCCTTCATGTGCATTCATAACATGTAAAAATTAATAAAGTTTTCAAACGTTATAACTTTGTAATTTCATCTTCAATGATTTCTTAAGCTACAACGCATAGGACATTGAACCTTAATACGCACGTGTTAAGATTGAAATTACATTGCGCGATAGGTACATGTATCAATAAGTTGAAAAAATTCGACGATGAGGTGTAGAACTCGGTAGCTCTATTGGTAGAGCAACAGCACGGAACGCTGACGATGCCGGTGCCGAAAATTTTTTCAATTTATTTTCGATTTTTAAATTATATAGTGCCTTCATGTGCAATAACATGTAAAAAATAATAAAGTTTTCAAAAGTTTTTATCGGTTAAGCTCTTATACATATATTATTTATTTGGTAGAACAACTCCATTGAATCTACTGTAGTTAAAGTCTTTAAATACCAATATTTTAATCACCCTTATATTATGTTGTGTCAAGTTATTTTAGTTTAACAATGGTTAGTTGCACATTATCGTACTAATTCAATTAATTAAAGTAACATAGACGTTAAAAGTGGCGTACTTTTGAATGAATTATCAATTAAAATTATAATTTATTCTAACAACTAAGTTTATATCTTAACAAAATTGTTAAATTACCCACCTTATCAATAATGCATTGCAACCCAGACATGACCCCGAAGTCTGGGACAAGTTGAGGAGCAGTGACGGACGTCTTTGGCGTGAATATCATGTCGGTGATGTATTTCGCACCCATCATCTTGCTCAAGTCGTAGCCGTAAAGTTGGAGCCAGCTCGACAAACTGGTCATATAAGGAACGTTCTGATCCCTGTTTATAGGATCGTTGTTTCTGAATCTGTAGATGAAGATGTCGGTTGGTAGACTCAACTTAGTGGCCAAATGTTCCCAGTTCGGCGTCATCCACTGTCCAACGAAAGGATCGTACAATCGGTTCTCGAGATATATCAAATTGGTGTTATAGTCCAATATTCCCCCTTGGAAGTCGACTGGCACGTAAAAACCAGGATTCGTGTCTTTCACAATCTTTCCGAATGGCGTCCGTTTGATTTCTTTAATAATCTCGCCGTTCACATCGAAAATGGCCAAAGGTGAACCGTTGTGATCCGTAGCGACGTAGAAACGCTGGTCTTCCGTTTCGATGCAAGTGAGGAAGTCTCGTTGGTCGTATAAGAAGCGCACTGTTTTCTCTGTCTTAGGATAATGCATGTGTGTGATGAGGTTTGGTGATTGAGGATTTGTGTAGAAGAACTGAGTAATATTCTCTTTATCGTCCTTCCATGCCACAAGTCTGTTCCTGTCGTCATAGTAGTACCACACTTGGAACTTGTCTCTTTCGAACGCGTGCACAAACTGTCCACGAGAGTTATATCTATACTTCTGTTCAGCGCGGCGTATGACAAAACCTCTGCCGTCGTAGCTGCTAAATTCGATATCTCCATATTGAACGACTCTGTCTCCAATGTCGTAGCCAAGGTAACGCTTCTCTCCGTGCTCGATGACGCCTATCACGTTGCCGTTTTCATCGTATACGTACTTCCAATCGTCCTCGGACGCGACAACTTCCATTAGATGCCCATCATAATTGTAGCTTATTCGCTCGTTCGACGACGTGTCGCCGATCATCATCTTCTTGGATTTTATTCTATTCTTAACGTCGTATTCCAATTCTAGTCGGAACACGTCGTACGATTTAATATTCATGAGAACGGTCTTTATTCTGCCGTGGTCGTCGTAGTCGGTGATCGTGAAGTACTGTTTGCTCGTGTCCTGCATGACGGATCGGTTGAAGGTATTCCTGTAAATTCTTAAATCGCTAACTGCTTCCAGAATGCCTAAGTTTTGGTTGTATTTCAATCTCAGTTGTGGCATTTCTTTGCTGTTGATGTTCATGTCGATGGTGGACAAACGAGCGTTACCGTCGTACTGGTACTTGAAGTGTGCGTTGTTGAGACCACTTTTCGAGTTGAATTTCATCTTCTTGTCCTTGAGGATGCCAGCGTGATACTTGTAATCCTGCCTTAATTCATAATCTGGATCAGTTATTTCCACATTTTTGACCAAGTGCGTATTTTCGTGGTATCCGTAACGGATGGCCGATGCCCCGGCGAGTACGGTTTCTAGCTTCCCAGAATTGTCATAGACGTACAGAATTTTGCCCGACTGGTGCGGAAATATTTTCGCCAAAATGTAGCCGTCGTCATTGTATAAGATTTCATAGGGGTGCCGGTTCATTGGCGAGAAGTATTGGTATTTGAAATAACCGAGAGATGTCATTAAAGCAAACGTATGGATGTGGCCTCGAGGTGTAGTAAGATTTTGTAGAGCTCCAGAGTCATCGTAATCGAGCAAATAGTCACTTCCTCTCGGCGTCGTCACTTTCAGAGGTAGACTGGTGAACATATCCCGGAAGGAGTACGCCAGCGACGAACCGTCTCCATACCGGATTTCATGCAGCCTTCCCGCTCTGTCAAAACCATATGTTTCATTGAGATCTCCCCATCTCCAGCTCGTCAATCTGTTGAATCTATCATAGTCGAGTTCGACCTCAGCGAAGATACCACTCCTGGGACCCCAGCGTACAGGTCTCGCCATTCGGTCGTAAGTGACGTTCAACAATTCTACTTTGTCGTCCATAAATATAGCGACTGTCGAAGTATCTCGATCATATTCCAGTGTGAGGAGATTCTCTCCGTTTATCCTTAGTTTGCGTCCTATTTGAGCGACAGCTTTATTGCTCTTTCCTTTGTTGGATTGAAGTCTACGTAAGAAATATCTCCATTCGAATCGATTAGCCAGATCGCCGCCTACTTCAGTCCTTTGCTTGGCAGGAACGGGGTAACTTTCGCCTAAAATTGGGTCTATTTCTGATAATATCGTGTAGGGAACCGTGTCGGTCGAAATTACATGCCCCCACGGCATGCTAGATGAAATACTTCCGTCAGTAGAAATTATAGTTTTCTTTTCGGCTTCGCCAACTTTAGTTATTACAGATGAGCCTTTGATCAATATCGAAGTTGGCTTTTTATTATTTTCACTCACAAGTACGGTGGCACCCTTCAAGCTCAGATCAAACGTCAGCGTTATGATTCTACCTGTGGGTGTTACCGCCGAAGTCAGTCTACCGAATTCGTCATATTTATAGATATAGCTACGACCTGTACTATCGTACTTAGCTTTAAGCAAACCAGTCGTACCGTGATAATCGAAGGTTACGTTGAAATTGTCTGGCGTTCTTAATTCTTGGAGCATTTTCATTCTGGACATCTTTAGTCTGCACTTTTGTCCCTTAGTATTTTCGATCGAATTGACGAGGCTGGAATAATCGCGTAGTAAGAACACTTTGTTGCCTGCGGCATCAGTGACGGTGCTAAGTTTTCCGTTGCTGGTATTAACGGTGTAGGTGAAAACGTAATTATTCTCTCCAGTTAAAATATTCTTAGTCATAACGTGTTGTCCGAACCTGTTAAATATGTAAATTTCTTGAGTATCCGGCGAATAAATTTCATATTCCCTAGCCCCACTTGCGTCTGGAATGCTTGCCATGACGGAACGAATTCTATAGTTGGCTTGGTCAGCAATATGCACAATACCATCGGGGCTAACGGTAACAGCAGAGATCGTATTAAACTTGGAGTTGGACGCCAGAAAATGATCGGCTTCGAAACAGTCACAGCCTCTTTCCAAGCAGTTGCACTTTGATTCAGCACCAGCATACAGGGATATTTTACCATCTGTTGTTATCAGCCTAACTCTGTTGATCCTCTGCGAATCGCTTTCCGCTACATACAAATCTCCTGCTGCACCGAATGCAATGCTCTGTGGCATTACCAATGTTGCATAAGTTGCTAATTCCATATCGTAGCCAGTTAAGGGTGAAGGACAGTGCAGTGGTCTGCCAGCGATTACTTTGACTCTGCCATCGGGAGCCATCTGAAGGATCATATGGTCATCTATTATATGCAGGCTGTTGTCTAGCGGATTGATTGCCAACTCAGTGGGCCATCTTAAGTGCACTTCTTCCACGCTTAGAGTACCTTCACATGGAATTGGCTTCCAGTGCGCCCGGTGCATATGGTTGCCAATAACTGTTGTTATAATTCCATCTCTATCGACCATCCTGATGTTGGTTCCGTCAGCGAAGTATAGAACGTTGTCTGTGGAAACCGCTACGCCCTTAGGGTATGCCAATTTGGCGTCCCGCGCGAGCGCACCATCACCGCAATGGGCCTCGTCACCTGGAAGACATCTTTCACCAGAGCCGACCACCGTTTCCCAGTTCCTCTCGGGATCGCTGAAGTCGTCGGTGTTTCGGACCTTTATGATCTGATGGGACTCTGGGTCTGAAATGTAGAGTGTGCCGTCCAAAGGTGACAGCGCCATGTGGTAACGATAGGAGACTCTTGTGGCACTGAAAAAGAAATATTGGAAGCGTAAGTAATATAACGAGACTTAAATCAATTTAACAAAAAGGCATTTATATATTTATCAGCAATTCTAAAATTAAAAACATAGAACAAAAGAGAAGACCAGAAAATGGCCTTGATGCTCTTATAAATATATATATACTACATAGAAAAAGGTTTACATAAATACTGTCTATAGTTTACGCGAGTAGTACACATTTAAATAAAACACTAACGGTTTAAAACGCGATATATTAGTTAAACTTATTTGAAAGTGATTTTTTACTTCAGCCCGACGTTTCGCATGCTTAGTAGCAGCCGTGGTCACGGGGAGACCGTAAAGTGTTTTATTAAAAAGGTTTACATACTAGAAGTTTAGTAGTAATACACAAAGTTTCTTAAGTTTGCTTCAGTACCATAGCGTACAAAATACTTACTTGAGTTTCACAACAGTCCTAACAGTGCCATCGGTATTAATCTTGCGAACTAAATTAAAGTCTCCAACGAAAATGCTGCCGTCTGGTGCAGCTGTGAGGGCCACAGGTGCCAGAAGACGCTGTCGGGTCGCAGTGCCGCCACATTCCGAACCACATTCAAGTGCGCGCTGTCGGCCATCGCCCATTGTTGTTATAATCAAACGCGGTTTGTGTTTCAGGTAGATATTTGTTCCGTCACCCTTTTGTAAAATACCTGAAATATTATAAGTTTTTAATATTAAATATCCATTAAGTTAGTAGAAGTTCTACTAGTTTTCAAAAATTCGGTAATAATAAATTTAAGGACAGCAACAGTTTGTACTTATGATCTTATAAAAATTGCGTTACTATTTAAAAAATGCTATAAGCCAGCCATTACCAACACATACAAACACATTGTGGTTACAATTCTTTAATGTTTTTGTGGGTATACATATTATTATGGTGTGTAATTCTTTTTTTAAGACAGAGGAGGACAGAAAAATAATAGAAAATTGAAATACCACAGACATACGTAATATCTACCTATTTTGATTTTTTTCATTCTGGAATCCGCAGAGTAAAGCCGAAACATGTTCTTTTTCGGACTTTCGGTATTTCTAATATCCACTTAAAGTCTAGATTTTATAATCGAATCTAATATGTTTCATAAAAATTATAACTTTAAATCTAACGACGTACCAATTTGCAATGAAAACTTACCTTCATGGAAATTGTATCTGTGATGAATGTCCAAGTTCCATCCGCCAACATCGGAAATACTCATATCGTGACCGCTCAACTTCGTCGTTTGCACGTTCCAGATGATATCCTTACAATCTGTGTATTGATAGCCCACCTTCACCAAAGCAGTCGTTACTCCGTACACCCTTTGTCTGTATACGTTCAACCGGTTCCATGGGTATGTGAACTTGATGACTGGATCCGCTTCAAAGGTCTTCTCGAACAGGATTCCTTCGATGGTAATTCGAAGGTGTATCAAGGCAAGCGTTGGAGGCACTTTTTCTGGAGTGAGTTGCAATTGAATGGTGGACAGGTAGCCAGCAGCGCGGGAGCTATGGTAGACCAGGTTCAGGCCCGTTCCGGGGATCTGTAGACTCTCTTGGACCACCTGGAAATATAAAAAAAAATTTATTCACATTGTGTAATAAAAAAATAAAGGCGAATTCTCCACGTGTACACAAAGGTACGTCTGATTAAATGCACTTTTCAAATGTGCTTAAGTGGTAACTTAAAATAATCTTAGTTCTACCATTTTTACCATGCCAAAACAGGCGCCGTAACGCGTTACGTAAAACAGCGGTTTCCACTTTTATTCCGCTATTAGAAATGTTTTATTCATGAAATCTCTTATATAATATTTTATGCCTAATTTCTTATTACATATAATTACTTTTGCAAACTTCAATATTTTTCACACATGATGGCATTTTATAAATAAAACACAGCGAAACACAGCGTTCCGTGCATTTTGTTCTAACGCTATGTAGATGCCGGTTAAAGTCCTGCCCGTGTCGTATTTTTTTTTATTAATCACAAATCGATTTTTAATTTATATAATTACTTTGAATGCCAACATTTTACAGGAACTCTGAATTAAATAGCGAAGGTGTCCTTTCAAATCATCTGACGATCCTAATCATCCAAACAAATAAGTGGTTTACCTGAGATTCAGCCAAGATGGCGCTCTTGTCGGGACAGGCACCCTGGAACCCATGCTTCCACGTCGCCAACACCACAGGTTTCATCGCATCATAGTCATGGGCCAGACACGCTTGTGGGGGACCCATTCCACCTTTTTCATCTGAAGTCGTCATTATTACTTCGTCAATGATTACCACCTGAAATATATAAAAATACTTTACATTTATATCCAAGGTAGATTTTAGGTGTAATGGTAGCAGTGTATGGCTAATAGTCAACGGGTCGTGGGTTCGGTCCCCACCGGATCCAAAGTTTTTCTAATCGATTTAAAAAAAATCTGAAACATGTTGGACTACCTCTGTCCCGGTTACCAATGTCCCCAGATGAAAAAGACGTGAAATTTAATCGCGTTTCCTGCTCAGTCTGTTTATTTCCGAATATCCAAGCCAAAATAGGTGGACACTATAAGTGAAACTCATACTTGTTTGTCCCCCCCATATAAAGAAAAATAAATAAACTCTTTACGAGAACAGTACATTGATTTCCAGGGAAGTCATTTTCAGCAAATGCAGGATAAATATGTATGTAAATAGCCCAGTTCTAACAGCTGATGTGAAAATAAAAACTTTAAACTAAGAGTAAAATTACTTAATTCTCCTTTGATTGCAGTTTTGCGTGTTGAATAAAAAGTGCAATGACTTTATACTGTTTGTCGAATGGCTTACTTACATGTAGAACGAGTAGTCAATTTTATGTTGAATACAGGTGTCCTGTCCAATTATTTTTATTTATTTTTATATTAATTTAAACAAAGTTATAAGGCTTTCGGGGCTGAAAACGTAACTAAGTATCTTTTCTTTCTTTTCGACCGTGATAATTGTGAAGTAGTTATCGAAACAAAATGGCCGTGATGCAAAACAAAATGGCGGCCACCATCAAGAGATGTTGAGCTTACTTCGACTAAACGAAAAATGACAATATTTCGACAATATTTATTTATAACGTCCAAACAGCTCGAAAACGTAAGTAGCCTAGACGGTTTTGCTTTTAACCTTATCCAGCTTTTATTGCTGCTTCTATTGTCTTTCAGATTAATGTAGAAACTACACAATCTACAGAGACTTATGTTATATATAAAAGGTATGTTTTTATTGATATAAAAATTAATTGTAAGTACGAAATATCATAGGTATTTATTTAATATTTTGGAATTCACAAAAGATCCAGTATTATTCTAAGTAATTTTAAGCTTAAATTTTTTAATAAAAGCCTTAATTTTATGTTAACTACGACCAGACGTTTCGGATTCTTGCCAAAAGTTTTCACGGGGGGAATAAGTTAACTATTTTTTTTACTGTGTTTTATTTAATGTGTTTTAATTAATTATGTGTACTCGCGTGACCATGGCTCCTGCAGAACATCCGAAACGTCGGGCCGTAGTTAAAATAATTTTCAAATAAGTTTAACTAATATTTATCGCGTTTTAAACCGTTAAAGTGTTTTGTTTAAATTTATTCTACATTTTTATTCTTTAGCCATATTTGCGTAATGTATCTGTTTGTTACCTTTTTGCAAAATAATACGTACCTCATTCCAAGGCACGAACACGACTTGCGTAGAACGTTTGAAAGGAGCTCTTCCGAAGTGCAACGTAACAGCCCCACCACCATTCACGAGTAGGTCGAACCAACCATCTTCTCTGGTCAGAGTGAATCCTTCGAGGGGAGTTGAGGTGGAAACTCGAACGCCAAGTAAACCTGATCCGAGAGAGGTAACCACTCTTCCGCGGATTACAGCGGATCGGCTGAAAATGTTCATACGAAAATGTTTTTAATTTCTGACTAATAATAAACGTAGATAATAACAAGACCAATCCAACCAATATATACAACATATAAAATATATTTTTGAAAAAAAAAAATCTTATTCATCGCTTTACAGAAATGAAGACACGCGCGGGATTCAAACCCACGATTAAGTGCCGTATTTTTTAAATATATTTTCCATTCTTAAAACTAATTCACTTTTAGCAAACTTTATATTAATGTAACTACTTTTAAAATATGTACAGTACAGTATGTACTTAAATTTAATAGTAAATATATACGGGTATTGAAGTCAACTTCTAAAATATGGGGGTAAGGTGTGTTGTTAAATCGTCCATGTATGTGTTTCGCAACACACACACACACAAACACACCACTATCTCGAGTTCGGTTTTAGAATACAATGGACTCTAATAGACGACTAGTTGTAAACGATTTTAGCTTTTTATCTAATATACATACGGTAGGATGTCGAATATCTATTACTACATACGGATTACAATATATAAGAAGCCAACACAAAACTCACAGGACACAGGTAATAACATGCACACACAAAATATACGCTTAATTAATACATAAAGATACAACTACGGTCCTACCTAAAATTTATGTAAACCTTACCTCGTGTTGAAGTGGTTCCAAAACATACTAGGCAGCGAAAAGACGAGAAAGAGAATAAGTATCGTTTGATACAGTTAATAGTAGTTAGTAATTATAGATCTCAATTTTCGAGAATCATGCGCATGAGTTAAATGTAATATTCTGTAAATGTGGATGTTTTTGCTATTACACGGTGACTCAATTAGGGTGGTAAATTTGACAAGACACAAATATGATAGAGTATTTACTATTTTATATTTTTAGATAGAAATCAATTCTGATTCTACGTAATATATAAATTAAAAATCGCTTGTAAATTGAAAACAATTACGACACGGGCAGTACTTGGGCGCTGTTGCTCTAAGCAATTGAGCTACCGTGTTCTTAATTTATATAGTTATCATATGCAATAACTATATATAATTATTGCAAATATTTTAGTGTCTGTAAATTTGTCTCTTTACATTTTATATATATCGAAAAATAACTCGTAAAACTTAGCACCCTATATTACACAAAGAATATTATAAGTGTTAAATTGAATTTAAACCACACTCACATAATAATACATTTACCAAAGTCAGTTAAGTTCGTCAACATAAACACATTTTAATAACATGTAACGTAAAACACTTTTCAAATAAAACATTTAGGAATGACTGGGGCACAACATTGCGTATTTTATATAACAAATATTTGTTTTTTAATTCACGTAGATTCGATTGATATTGGACATAACGTTTTTCAATACCGATCGTATCGTATAGTCACAGTTTTGAATTGTTCATTCTCATTATATTGGATTAGTCATTATTAAGTATTAGTACTAAACAACAATGAACAATTGTAAATCATATATATATTTTTTAACTGTTTTACTTAACCATTCAACGTATATGTTAAAGTATAAACTCATTTATATAAAACAACTGTTTAAAACTGCGAAATATATTACTAAAACTAAAACAAATTTTAGCTAAGACCCGACGTTACAGATGCTTCGCTGCAGCCGTGAAACAAGTTCAACAAGTATATTTCGCGTTTTAAACCGTTAAATTGTTTTTGATGGTACTCCTCAGGTTAACTACAGACAGTATGTATAAACTCTGCATGTACTGTTTATTTCTAATTAAGTAAAACAGTTGTATGTGCCTCGAAATGAAACCTCATATGTAACATTAAACATCGAACATAGACCTCACCTTTCGTTAAAGGTTTCCTGTTTAGCGTAGTTCTGGAGACTTCCTTCGTCTATCAGAAACTTCATCCGTTCGAAGAATGACGCTGTGATGGCCGGCGGCTGCTTCCTGAGTAGAATGTCGGTTGGTTTTGGCGAAGACACGCACAGTTGGCTGGTTTTGCATGCAGCACTCTGGCAGCATTCTGGGTCTTCGCAGTCGACTAGGCCATCTACGGAACGAGGGACGTATAATACCATTTATATATACACCGCGTACTAAATTATACAATAATATCAAAATAAATAAATGGCTCAAAATTAACACCAATAAAAAATACATCACACATCACTCAGCCGTTACTGCAACAGAATTGACAGCGTCAATCAATTATTGCCAAGCACGCGTTAAGGACGAGAAGTTCAAATCTCGGGAAAAGGATAATTTCGGTCGGGCGGAGCACAGAAATCTGAACAACTACTTGTCAGCATATAAAATAAATCAGAAAAATGAACATAGTCCCATGCCCCACAGACTCGGAAAACGCTTACAAATAACTAGGGGGATTGGACCGACACATTTTGAACGCGATTAAACTTCACGGAATTATTACTTGTGGGCTGGTTTTTTAACTCGGACGAAATTTAGACATCCCTACCTCCCGTTTTATATAAAGATTTCTAGGCAAAGTCTAACATGTTTTAGAGAAATTACGAATGGATTGAAAACATGTTGGTTGGTGGGGATCGATGATTATTATCAATTCGTCTCTACTAGAGACGGGCCGAGTACTCGGTTGACATTTGGCCCCCTGCGTACTCGGCAGGTTTTTTTATACTAATACTCTCCCGACTAATTCGGTTATCCTTTTTATTTGATAACAAGAATACTTTGTTCAAGAAAAGCAATATATTTTGGTAGAGATCATTAAAACAATAGTGCTGATACAAACGTATTTATTAGTAAGATGCGAGCGAGCCGAGGTCCTGGATAGTATATATAATAGTAGTCCGTGAATGTTCTTGGCAAAAAACTTTAATTTTTCCGACCATATTGAACTTCATACGGATAAGCACTGATGGACTGTAGACTATACCAAGCATGACGTAAATGCCATTAAATATTCGCAGCTTAAAATTATCATGTTAGCTTTTCGCCGATAGCTTAATGAAGGAATGATTAAAGTGTTCAGCTCGTTTAAGCTAAAAACTTGACGGACTTAGGTAGAAACTTGCGAAGTCCAAACTTTTATTGGATTTAGAAGACGCTGATAAATAGTGACGGGTAGTTAGTAATTGTATTGTTAAAGTTTTGATTGTAAAGTGAATATTTCAGAAGCAATGGACTTAAAAGGGCCGTGAATTATTTTGGGCTTGGAGAAGTTGTAATTGGTATTAAGAGACAATTTACAAGTCGCGTAAAAGACGTGCATACCGTTGTTGTAGGTATAACCGTTAGTGTCAATTTTATAATCATTTTAACATCAATAATTATTGTCTTATATGTGTCCTATCTAAATAAAAGAAAAGGTTACGCCAACACGTAAGTGCTTATTAAAATAATTCATAAATATTTCAATATTACATACTATGAAGATAGTAATTATAAAAATATTTTAAATTTTTAAGATAATAATTTCAATTCAGATTAAATTATTGAGTATTTTCTATCAAGTTTACATTTGTATGATAAATCACAATAAATAGGATCTTATTTTACCTTTATCATTATCCTTAGAGTCGTCACAGATCTGCTCCTTCAGAGTCGTACAATCCGGTCCGTCCCAGCCGTCGAAGCATTTGCACTCCCAATGTCCGTCATTGGCCACCCTGCACTGTCCGTGTCCAGCGCAGCCTCGCGGACAGCCTTCTAGTGTACAATGTCTGCCATTCCAGCCCGACACACAGAGGCAGGTCCCATTTTTGCATTGTCCGTGGTCGCTGCATCGAGGGTCACACAGTTTGGACGTGCAGAACTCTCCCGTCCAGCCGGCGTCGCACACGCATGACTCGCCAACACATCGGCCGTGAGGACCGCAGTCTAGGTCGCATACCTCTGTAAAGTACAAATATTATATTACATAGAGTATTAATATGAAGAATTACACTCTATGTTTCGGACACTGCTATGATCCGAATGGGGCTTGCACGTTCGGATGAACGAGGCTTTGTAATGTTATGCAATTTTTTTTGCTGGAGTAAGAACAAGTTTACCACGAAACACAAAAGTCAAACAGATATCAAAGTCAGTTTCAGATATCAAAAACTATAGCAGAACATCTCTTTAATATTTATAAGAAGGACAACGAAAAACATTTCTTTTTAATAATACTATAGCCTGGATATTGGATAAACACTAATATTTAACTAAAAATATGATTACGGCGAAAACTTTATATAAATGCCACCTTCGCCTACTCGTTTAAGTGCTAATAATCTCAGAATAATATTGCTAATAGATATCAATAGTAGGCGTTTAATTTGTCCAGAGCTTACTATACTTCGCCTAAAATAGAGTGATAAGTTTGACATTTATGGTGTAGTACGTTATATCGGATTATAATAGTAAACAGGTTGAGGGTTGGTATTTGAAAATTTTTGGACTTCTGGAAACCTGGCTATTAAATGGATGGTATATATATTTAATGGATCAATGTCGAAATTTCGTCTGGGTCACCAACCACCACAGATTAAAAGGCCATGAAGTTTCATCGCGTTTCGGTTTTAGTGTTGTGTTTTCCAAAAATCCAAAAGCCACCTACTATCACCACTGTCTGTCCTCTATCATAAAAAAAACCACACAACTTATATTAATGCAGATCGATGCATTGAAATACCGATACCAATGCGCCCTATGTGCTGACCACCGCTTGTTATAATTGCTGCATTACGTATTAACCATATCGCTGCAGCCATTAGATTAGCAGTCATGATCGCCAAGGACTTAGGTAACTATTAGTATGTTAATAAATTATTATTAGTCGCTGCTAATGTTTGATTGCGAAATTGGAAATTGCCAATGCAACGTGTGTAGTATACTATGCAATTTATAAGGGAGCCTCATCAGTGTATTCAATAGAATTAGGAATTAGAACGCGATTTTTTTATATTTGATATATATTATATATAATATAAATAATACACAAAAATACAATGGCAATAAATAATAATAATAGATGTATGTGGCGGGACACCACTCAGCTCTTGTTGTTACTGGAAGTAGGAACAACGATGATTTTCAGTGATGCCCCACGCTTGACATTTGAAGTAGAATATTACTACATTAATACAATTAAAAACAAAAGCAATGAAGCTTCGTGTCATTTACTCGCTAATGTTTTAAATAATAGAGGAGATTCACTTGATGGTAGGTGAAACACTCCAGTATCTAGACAAGCTGCGCTATCGACTTATTTTGTGTTTTGAAATCCGTAAATTGAAGTCCAAAATGTTTCAGAAACATTACAAATTAATGAGAAAGTTGTTGGAGCAGGTGGGGATCGAACCCTCGGCCCGTTGATTATTAGATACTGTCTATATGTCCCCCGTGACCACGGCTGCTGCAAAGCATCCGAAACGTCGGGCCGAAGTTAAAAATCATTTTCAAATAAGTTTAACTAATATATCGCGTTTTAAACCGTTAAAGTGTTTTATTTAAACCGTTGATTATTAGCCGTACATTGCTACCATTGAAAGAAGATATCTTTTCTATTTCAATTTAATATATTAAATATTATTAGCTTCTTTGATTTTAAATTCAAAGGAGAGGGAACAATAAAGTGTTAAACAAACCTTTGGAGCAGTCTTCTCCCGACCATCGCGCGTGACACGTACACGTCTGCGTGTCCACGTCAAAGGTGCCATGACCAGAACAATCAGGTAGACATTGCAGAGCATCTTTGTCCATCGTCGCGCAATCTAGACCCTTCCAGCCCTTCTTGCACACGCAAGCGCCGTCAATACAGAATCCGTGCCCCGAACAAGTGGGGTGCGGGCAGTCCACCTCCGCGCAGAATTTTCCTTTGTAACCCCTGACGCAAGAGCACTTCCCGTTGACGCAGTGACCGTGACCATTGCAGTCTGGTACCTCGCATTCGTCGTGTCGGAGGGAACACTCTTTTCCTTTCCAGCCAGGGTTGCACTGGCACTCTCCGTTTATGTATTCACCTCGCTGACTGCAGAGAACTGGACAGACACCTTAAAACATACACAATATCGTTAAAAACAAATTAACGATTGGTTTACGGGAATTCGTGTACAAATCGTTCAAAAATGTATACGTCCTTAATAATATAGATATATCATTTTTCAATATATATAAGGACAGTACACACGTATCCTGTAGGTAGTTGTTACAAATATATTATGACAATCAGTAGTAAAGAGATGACGTAATAGATGAAAAAAATATTATATAACTAGTAGGCACAGGTCTTTTTCTTAGTGGTTCTTACAACAGGAAACTATATTACTACTATTTGACGATACGAAAAGAAATTTAAGTTCTTAGCGTCGCACATAAATAACAAATTACTAACTTTCACTGCAATCGTCCCCTCCAAATCCGGGTTGACATTGACAATGCCCCATCAGACACTCCCCCTTTCCGGAGCAGCCGTTGGGGCAACTGTGCGTCAGGTAGTCCGCAAGCATCGCGATGAAGGATATTTCTTGTGGGTCACCGTCATCGTTGTAAAGAGAGAGAAACCAATGACCCTGTTCCATGTAGTGCGTTACTTCTTTCCTTACAGATGGCTGTTAAATATGAAGTTATGTTAATTAATATAAACTTTATAATGCCTATTGCCTATGCCTGCTATTAGATAGCCTATCACGCAGGTGAAAGCAAAGATTGAGACGTGTACAAGGTATATGTAAATAAAAAAAAAAACTCAATAATAATTTTGGTGGGGCACGGCTATCAGTTAAATTCAGGACTTCATACACACTTTATTTCGTATAGCTGGTCAGTAGCCGTGGAAATGCGAATAAAAACACGAATTTTGCCGGAACCAGAAACTGTATTCAAAGTTGAAAGTGTTAGATTACAAACAGTACTTACGTGCGATGCTCTCGTAGTTCTAGCCTTAAATCCGCTTAGAACTTCCAAAAAGTGATATTGTGTGTGTGTCGGTAAAGCGTTTCGCCTCGCGTACACTCCTATGGACGCTCCCCTCGGTATCATGTAGTCGAATTTCACGTAAGAGGCTTCCGATTGATAGAACTGCATATTCCAGTAGCTATATGGAGGGATTTCTTTTGATAATTTTTCACCTAAAGTAATTTGTTTGAATGTCGTTCCGTCAGGGGGGAAAGTCTGCATTGGAAACGTTCGCGCACCTATAATAAGAAAATGGTTAATATTGTGCTGGCTTTGAGGCCATTTGAGGGGATGCAGAGCGATGATAATGGAATGAAGCTGTATATTGAGATATCAGTAGATTTGAAAAGAGTACGTGCAAATAAACGAAATAACAACTAAGTTTTATGCCTAATTCTACTTCGTCCCACATGCATCTTAGTGTGTTAAGTTTCGAGCCCAAAATGATGTCCATGATTGTTAGTTAGTTACCAGATTATAAATCTAGATACCTCACCTTCCAATACAAGAATAGGTGGAGGCTTAACCTTAGGACAGACAATTTTTTGAAATTCGGTCGTAGATATCATCTCAGGTTCTGTTGTCACGTCGATAGTTGAATCGGTTGATATCTCATTCGTAGTTGTTAGTAAATCTCCTAATTCAGCCTCAGACATATTGCTTTTATCTGTAGAAGCAGATGCTGTTGACTCGTCTATAGTTTCTGTATAATCTGTAGCTATTGAGCTATAGTCAGTGTAAAATTCTGACCTATCCGTTGATGTAGTACCTTTTTCAATTTCATCATCATAAAAATTATCTGCAGACATGCTGCTCTCACAAACAGGACATGAACATTCGCAGCTACCTCCTCCGACATCGGCTTTAGGTTTGTTATTAAACGCCTCTGTGTTTTCTATTGCTATAGGCTTGTTAAAATTAGACGGTGCAGTTGGTTCTAAATCCATAGGTGTAATCTTTACAGAGGGAATCTCATTCTTATCACCAGCTGTGGGGACTGTGAATGTTAAGGAATAGAGAGGTTTGTATGAGTTATCTGCGTCATCCGAAGAGATGGTTAAATTGATTAAAACATGCTTTGTATTGATTACGACATCTGGACTTTCAGAATTCACAGTATCATTATCAATAATAGCTTCAGTGCTAGGAGTAGACTGTGAAGCAGGTGTCCTATTGTGTATCATATTGTTATTTACACTTGGCGTGATATTAGGTACATTCTGTGATTCACTCTCACTCGGCTCTTTTAGTAAGGAATTTGTATAAGCTGGTAATTTATCACTGTGCGTTGTAAATATGTTAGGTTGTTCCATCGTAGCTGTATTTTCTACGGGAGAGGTTATTATTTTATGTTCAGACGAAAAAGTAGTAGCAATGTTTTTAGGTGCTCTATTGTCATAATGATATTTAAATGGATTTTCACTTATCTCATCAGTTTCGTTAGAGAAAATATGAAGTTCTTCGCTTACTTCATTTAATCTTGTTAGTAATTTTAAATATTGTAACTTTTGAACACCGTATGAATAAATAGACGGGTTGGCGTCGGCTTGCATACTTTCAGGATCGTAGGCTATAGTGTCTTCCGCAGCGCCTTTTACTCCAGTCTTTCCCTTTATTTTTGCCATGTTAGTAGTTTTATTTGTTACAATAGTTTTACTTTTTTCGTTTGTTATTATGATGTTTTCTGTGTTATTTAAATTTAGTAGAGACGTGGTATTAGTCACATTATGAATTAGCCCCAAATCACCCTCTGTAGCATTTACGTAAGCTTTAGAAGCATCCTCTTGTATTTCTGTACTTACTTCTGGTGACACACCATGCACTAAACTACCAGTGGTCACAGAGGAAGAAGTGATTAGCTCATGCATATCTACAGTAGAAGAATCCGTGGAGGAAACAGAAGGAAAAGAAGCATGCTCGTCTACACTTCTACGAGCGCGTGAATGGCTGTCCCCTTTACCTGAGGTTGAAGATGTCGAGCTCTGGTGTTGTCGAGGCAATGACTTGTTATTGGATTCAAGCGTAGTTGCTTTCGATGCTTGAAATTTATCTACATCACCAACTATAACGGAGCACGGTTTTGCATTCTCATATGACCAGTTGTCCGTAAAATATGAAGCTGTCAACGAAATTACAAACGTGAGTTAAACCACACACATTTATATTATAAAACACACATTTTACAAAGTTGGTAGGAGATATTTACCTGACATATAAGAAGCAATAGACAATAGTAGAACAAACAGCACTATAAACACTATGGCGGTACATTTCCATGAGCATCTTGAAGATAGGCCCTTTCTGAAATGAAACCGGGAGGCGGCAGGGGGAAAGTGTGTCGCTCTTAAGTTATTTCTAACGGGAAGCACGGGCACTGGTGCACCGAAGGCCGGATGTCGGTCGCTTCTATCCATTCTTTCTAATGTCCCCTTTTCTTGTTTTCCTGGACTACTGCACGATGAGTTAGACTTGTAGTCCATAGACGGATTTTTTTGAATGTCCCCTAAAAGTTAGTTGTTATTAGTATATCACATAGTACTGAATCATCCTATTAAATATAGAATATTCAACGTAAGGAAGGGTCTGGAAAGTGTAAATCAAAACTCACAGGTATTGAGTTCACCTGAAGGCACGTAGAAGTTTCCGGAGGGGGTTCGCACGAGGCACGAAGGCTCGAAATCAGCCAAGTCGGCGGGGTTGCCGGTGATGCGCCCGTTCAGGCGAGACATCGTCGGGTTGCGAGGGGGGCACATCAGGAGGGGGGCCGAGACCCTTCTAGAAGACAACCTGGGGACAAAAAGATAGCCTTTATTATGTTGGTGAAATGTGCTTTCCAGTTGGTATTGCATAATTGCATTAATTACGGCATACGGTAGGTCCATAATTGACAATATTCTGTTAATTAATTATATGTTATTGGACAAGGCTAGTCCAAATTGGTTTTGACCGCAAAATTAGCACAGTGTAATTTAATTAGGGTCGAATTCTTGTCCGTTCAAATAAACTGATTCTGGAAATCGATGAAAGATTGCGTGTTTCGGCATTCAGTTATAAGCAAGATATTAGTAAATCCTGATCGGTAGGAAACGGCGGGGCGCGGCCTTCCTTTACCTAATATAAGTTAATGGAAAATCGAAGTATTATCTACCCCTCCGTACTCGCGAGCAACTTTTGATCCCCGACAAATTTTAAGGATTCCTTCGAGCGTTAATTAATTTATTGTAGCGGTCGCTGTAAGAAAACTCAATTAATTTTAAAAGGGTTTTTGTGTTTTTTTTTTCAGCGATCGCTTTCAGTGTCGCGAAAAGGAAGCTGGCTATAATGCAACAGTCCTTTGAAGCCCGACCCTTTTGAGCCGTTCGGTTGGCTGTAATTAGAGAGTAATGATTTTAAGCCGAAAGAAAATATCCTTTTAAATACAGAGACGGGACCGAAACACTGCTTCTATATACTAGTTTTTTCTGTTGAATAAAAGTTCATTGTAGTCTTATTATCTATGGTAAAATTACTAAGATGAATATTTAGTTTGTTTGAACGCACTAATCTCAGGAACTACTGTTCTGAATTGAAAATTTTTTTTTGTGGGTTTTGGATCACTTATTTTATTTTATTTTTATTTTATTTTAATAATATTAGGAAAACTTAACAGCTAATAGTTATAAATAATTTAGAACAGGAAGGTAGAATAGTAAAGCTAGGGGAAGTTTTCACTTATAGAACGAAAAGTACAATTTTACACTTAAAGGAGATCCTATATACAATTAGAGTTAAAAAGAGGAAAAACAAAAAAAACAACAACACAGTACAAGTTTGGGTGCAAGTTTCAACCAGATTCGTTAAAAAAAGAGTTCTGTACGATGCTTTTAAATGCGTTTTTCTTTAGAGTAAAGAGATCAAGGTCACTAGAGGTCATGGAGTTAAAAAGTGTCGTAGTTCTAGGGAAGAAGGACTGAAGGCGGTAATTGGTTCGACAGAGGGGAGTGTAAAGTTTTTGGGTTGTGCGTCTGGAAGTGGAGCGAACGGGAGAAAGTAATTTAACTTCAGATAAAAGATAGAGGTCGTGTTCAGAGGGTTGTGTAAGAAGGAGAGATCAGTTTCTCTTCTCATTTAGAGGGAGTATATGGTGGTGACAGCACTGTAGTTTTATGTTAATTGAGTTTATAGTTTAGGAGCTTAAGAAATTTTTTTTGGGGTTTTCGAGTTGTTTTATGAAACATTATAACGCGGATTCCAGACTTGAGAAGCATATTCTAACTGACTTCTAACAAGAGAACAATATTTTTTTAGGTTTTTGCTAGTTTGAAGTTTTTTGAGATCTAAAATGAATCCTAGGTTGCATAGCCTTTCCTGTAATTTTAAAAATATGTTTATCAAAATGAGCTTGGAATCTAATGTTATGCCTAAATCTATAATTGTGTCAGTTTGATGAGTATTTGTGAAGTTAGGAAAATAAATTTTTTTATCAGATCTTGTGAAGGATGATGAGCATTTTGAGAGGTTAAGGTCGAGTTTATTAGCGGTACAGTAATCGTGGAAAGTTTTAAGATCTTCTGAGAGTTCGGCATCTTTTTTTGACTTAATAGGTCTGTAAATCTTCATATCGTCTGGAAAAGAGGAATTTGCTGTTTTTAAAGCAACAAGTAGTCATTGTGTGTTAAAAGGACTGGGCCCAGAATTGAGCCTTGGGGAACACCAGAGGGAATAGTTATGGGAGACGATTCATAGCCATTAAGAACAACCACTTGGCACCTATTATTAACATAAGAAGAAAACACGCAATAAGTTTCCCCTTATCCCCGCCACCTGAAGCTTTTGTAGCAGGATGATGTGATCAATACGATCGAAACATTTTTTGTAGTCCGTATAAATGGCTCCACTTGACCATGTGATTCCATTCCTTTGGTAACATCATCGACAAAGGTTACTGATTAGAGTGTAGATCTTCCTTTTAAAAAACCATGTGCTGCGGTATAAAGGTATACTTTAAGGAAGATTGCAATTGCTATTTACTACTTTCTCAAAAACTTTTGCAAAGACACACAGCTTCGAAATCGGTCTAATGGAAATGTCTTGCTTGGATCCCTTTTTGTGGATAGGGGATACTAACGCGGATTCCACACGTTGGGCAGATGCCTTCTCTAAGAACGTTCAAATAGTAGACAGAGTGGCTTTACTAGGTGATCTGACAATTTTTGATGAGAATGGAGGAGTGTTGGTCCTGATGATTTATTGCAATCTAGGGTTTTTAATAGTTTTAAAACAAAGGGTGGGCGTAGTGAATAGTGTGTAAGTCCGAGGAAGAATGGTCGAGGGAGAAGAGTAAATATTATAGAAAGGCGTCATTTGAGTCAGACCGGGTGGTGGTAAGTAATTTGTTTGAAAAAATGATACAAAGGCGTTGGTAAGTCAAGCCTGAAGAAAATTCTCTGTTCTCATGATAGGTTGAAGGGTAAGAGAGGTTGGAAGACCGAAGTTGGATTATTTTAGATTTTTCTACAGCTGTAATAAGTTTGAGCAGGTGTGTCTAATTTAGCTCTTTCTCAAGACTTTAAAAGAATTATGGTCGTATATTTGTAAATTTTAACTTTTTGTTTTTTCTCCTTAAGCATTTAGAGAGCTGATAACCATGACGATTTTAAGGACTTTGTGGAAATAGCTGAGCCAAGTCGCGATATTTTATTGAATTGTCCACAGCATCGTCGAGTTGCCACTTTGAAGAAGAGAGCAGTCGAGCAATTGATTCTTCACAAAAGTCGAAAAGTCCGTTGTTATATTGAGGCGTTTTTATTTTTGTAGATTAGAAATGTCGAAGAAACAAAAGTTAGTGTACAAATTAAAGCCGGTGGTTTTATCCTCCTCAACCAGGGGCTCAATACAGCGTTTAACTAAGACTTTTCTTGCACAAACAGATCGAGAATATTATTAAAATGATTTTTAATGGCATTGATTGACTGAGCATATTTAGGTTTAGCAGGCAGAAAATCCGCGTGATCGAGTTACTTAATTTTACATGGGAGGAACTGCGTCAGCAGGTCCCATGAGATGTCACCAATATTGAAGTCTCCTAGTAATAAAAATTTATCTGGGGCGTTCCGAAGTTAAGCAATAGACGTCACTAAGTTATTTAATTGTTCAGTAAAAGAAAAGCCACGATTTTGCGAGCATAAATAAAGACAGCAAATGTGTACGAGTGTAGGCGCCGCCCGCAAAGTGTTGTGAATTTTGAAGTAATCCATAAGTCTTCAGCTGTAGAGTTCCATTTCGGGTTGCGCGGAAGCGATAAGCCCATGCCGCGCGGCGATCACACACCCCCCGCGTGTCCAGTGAGTGGTAGTCGCGGTCGCGCGCCACACTTGAAGCGACTAGTGAATAATTCTTCAGAATGAATGCCTTCAATAAGCCATGATTCGGTTAGACCACAAGTCGTATTATTTGTTGAACATTCCTTTTAAAAATTTCAGTTTTCGTCCGTAGACCTCTGACATTTTTGGTAAATTGTTAGTACCATTTACACACCTCAGCCGGAAAAAATCACAGCTGAGAAGCAAAAGATAACTGTAAGATAAAAGTTGTGAGAAGTTAGTCAGAGGGCGACGGACGTAGTGCTAAAAATTATTGTAGGAATGTTACATTTCAAATGAAAATATTTAATGGTATATGAGATTGAGTAAATAGTTTGTGTAGGACTGAGTGAATCAACTTGTGGGAAGTATTAAGTATTAAAGCAGGCATCGGAAGTGTGATAGGAGGATGTGACCTTGATTGTACGCAATAACGTAGGTTAGGTGAAATAAGCTTGAGGAGAATACGTAAAGAATTTTTTGTTTGCGGGGTTCATACAACACAGTAAAAACTATAGTAATTAAGATTAGATAAAATAATTTATCATTTATGGCACAATAAGGTAAAATAAACGAAATTGACAGTTCTAATGTGAGGTAAGTAGTGTATAATAGTCATTTAATTTTTATTAATCGACTTCGCTTTTTATATGCGTTTGGGGATCATTTTCTACCAGTATTGCCGTTTTGAACCCACACAAACTTGAATAGTTTTTCTAATGCGATTTTTTTATCTTAGACAAAAGTAATTTGTTTTCGCGGGTTAAGTGACGTTTATGAAGATCCTCGAAGGGGTACCGTTGAAGCCAATCTGGTCGGTGAAAGCGTTTTAAAGATCTCGCAGTGGACGAAGTTCTCCTTAAGACGTCTAGTGAAACCCACAATATTGGTTTTGTTCTAATGAAGGGTTCTGGTGACAAAATTAGTCCGCGGTAGCACTGGGTCCTATCACTTACCGTGGACCAGTCAATTAGTTTTCGGTTTTTCGCGGTATCCCTTTTATCTCAATGTTGTTCATCCGGTCGGTGGTACGTTAAGTTGGTTTCAAGAAGTATCTCCTGTTCCACAAGTTGAGTTTGAAGAACACCTTGCTCCAGACTAGGGTAGAAGTAGACTGTTTTGTTAGAGAGATCATTTGATATCGTTTTTGCATCATATCCATGTTTGTTTTGTGTTGCAATAAATCCAGAGGGTAGAATAGAGTATTTGTTCAGACTAGACTTTTGTTTGCATAAGTTCGGGTAATCTTCGTTCCGTAGTATTTTCGATTCCTTGCACAAACTGTCGGTTGAGGGCGAGGTGTGGGGGAGATCTTAAAGACTCATAGTGTTTACACTTTGTTGTAACAACGGTAGCAATAAAATCACCCACACTCTAGCGACGCAAGAGTGAACATGCAGTGTAATGTTTTATAACCTAAGGTGGTCTTACCAATAGAAGCGGAGAAACGGAGCGTAATATGAAAAAAACGGGATAAAATATTAATCTGTTACAACTTCTGTTGCATGTGCTGCGAAAACGATTTAAGAAATCATAATATATGTATAAACGAATGATTCCTCTTTTTACGGTCTTAAATAAACTCTACGACAGTATATATCTGTCATTTAAGATTTACACGCAAGAACGACGGTACAAGCTATTATTATGATGTGTGGGTAGTTTGCAAAAATAAATAATATGATGCCCAAAATATATATTCTATCCGGACAAAGTCGCGGGCGCAGCTTGTATCCGTACTTATTGGATAAGCCGAGATTAAGCAAGATCATTTATCTTCAAGGTATTTGGAGTTCAAACTATAGTGGTAACCGAGTATTCATCGGCCCAGGAGCCAATGAAAAACTAAATCGCCCCCCTAACCTAATTTAGGAGGACAAGCATCGTCATTAATACACATGTCAGCTGACGTCCTAGTACAAAATGCGGCCCATTTATATCCGGGGGAACGGGAATTATGGTAATAGGACGGATCGTGTCTTTTGTCTGTAATGGTAGGTAATTACTGAGCCACCTCTCGGGGACACTTCGTTTCTTTAAGGGCCTGGGAGCACGAGAATTCGACACTCGTTACTAGAATCGCCTCAACTTTAAAGGGGGAACGATTTCTAATGCCGATTGGGGATTTGTCGCATGAACGAACGTGTTTTGCTTTTGGAGATTGCTAATCATGCATTTATTTGAAAAAAACTTATTAAGATATGGCGGGGTAAGTCCGAAATGTAAGCTGTTATTAATTGTTTAAAAATAAGCGGTAACAGTTAAACTTTCCAAGCATAAATTAAATGCTGTAAGCTACCAAAACGTCGTTTCAAAATATTCGCAATTTTTTTTCTAATGATTTAAAACACGCTAAAATAAATATTAAACAATGAATGAAATAAATAAAAAAATGTGTACACTTACAGAGAGTCAAAGGTTCAATAGAAATCACTACGCAGTCACATTTTTATAAAAAAAATTACGTCGAGTATATATATTACACGACATTATACTTATAGTAGGTCGTAACTGGTTTTCTATTATAGAGTTCATTCACTGATGGAGCTTATGAAACTGAAAAATACACTATCAGCTGTATTACACCTCGTTCACTTTTATATTTTTTGGGCCATCTGCTGTATGTTCTTAGATGAAAACCCTTTTTGCTCACAAAAACTTAGTTATCGAAAGATAAAGACTATGGTCCCTTGTTCTGATGTTGATGGCAATGCTATATGTTGAAACATACAAATAACGTAATTAAAAACTTTTTACTTAAATAGCAAGGAATATTAATTTTTCCACGGTATGGAACGCAAATCGGCCGTAGAAAATATGTGATATATTTTTTTTATATTTATCAATTCAATAATCACACTAATATCTTCTTTTCATTATACTATTTTTGACAAAATATTCATAATACAAATGTACCTAATTATAAATAATATTTAAATTATTTGTTTTCTTAAACAATATTTTAATAAATAAAATAATATGTCATTCTGATTAAGATGAGATTACAATTAAATTACTGATAAGATGGACATAGTTGTAATACTTATTGGAAAGCGGATTTAAGTCAAATTTGCCCGTCACTTAAAATTGGAATAAGTTCCAGATGTTAGTGAGCGCATCTCAGCTGTATATAGGTCGTTAGGCCCGACGGCAAAATATATTCAGACATTCTCAGTTAACCTGTCGGCCATATATCTGTTTCAAGTTGTTTCATAACTGTGGACGTTGATGTATGAGACATAGCGATGGAAACTGAATACATTTAGGCAATCTCAACTCGACATATGCACAATCTTAAGCTCGTTTGTGGAGCGGAATTTTAGAATAACTTAATCGATGTCGGTAGTACAGTATATATGACGTAAAACGTTAGCTGTGGTTAGCTGGGTACAGACTCAACGCTCAATAATATCTGTAGTTTACGCGAGTGGTACACATTTAAATAAAACACTTTATCGGTTTAAAAAGCGATATATATTTTCAGAAGTCTAACCTATTTTAAAAACAATATAAATTGATTTTAAAGATGTGTTGCACCTGGTGAGAATCGAACCAACGCACTGTTGGTTATAAACAATTAAAACAATGAACTTGTAAGAAATCTAAATTAATTTACGACACGGGCAGGACTTGAGCCGGCATCCAACGCATTTCGTGCTGTTGCTCTAACCAATTGAGATACGTAAAGATCTATTTATACTATCTGTATTAAGCTTTATTCACAACTCTCGTGAGGGCATTGTCATAACGATTTCAGAGCGAAATTCGGTTGAGCGCGATCTTTATATGGAAGGAACGCTGCTCGATTTAGTTCGGAACAATCGGAAAGTTGCTCCGATGCGACTTCGTTTTAATTAGTAGCTATTCATCGTGAAACAATCGAGCCGGGAACAAATCTATTATTATCGGGAAGTTTTCGATAGAAGGTGTTGAAAGTTAGCGATGACTGCTATCAATCTGAAAACTTCGCGACATGATTTGACCTAGTAATTTTGTGAGGCTTAATGGCATTTCCATGGTAGCTACCGAAGCATATTTCGAGCACGTCCCATAGCTGGGATCAGAACTCTGTTAAAACCGTGACGTTCCTGCGTTATCTACTACCGCCATTAATTTAGTAAAGGTGAACTTGCTGTGCTACTGTCAGACTGGCTGATAAGAAAAATTATCTTGAAAAAAAAAAAACAAATACCGAACTAATATATATCAATAGGGTAAATATCCTAGTAAGATATGCTGTCGTCCCTTTTTGGCAGACGAAGCTCAACATGTTTAAAAAAATAATAATTGATTCGAACTAGTTAGTATCGATTACTAGCCATACACAGCTAAAATGTATTGTTTGAATAAATAATACAACGGCTTTATTAAAAATTTAGAATTAATCTCGTTTAAATGCGCGTATCTATGCTAAATTTAGTTCGTTATCAAATATACAATATAAAAAGCTAGTAAATCGCAACTGCGGACTATGCGTCATGTCAAGTGGCAACCGCTTGGCTGATAAGATTGCCAGACAAAGGAAATCCACCCATATCACTACCACAGCACCAAACGCAAGCCTTCCACCCCCACCAGGCTATAACCACTTCTAACTTCAAGAAACAAGGTCTATTTTCCCCTACACTGCCTTTATTAGGACTAACATCAGCGTCTCCTTCGTTAGAGGACACTCGGCTTTATTTATGTCGGCTAACGTTGGCTTAAGGACCAGAATATTTTACCTTCCGCTAATATAATTATTACGAACATATATTCCTAAATAAAACACTTCAATGGTTTAAAGCGCAATATATTTTAGTTAAAATTATTTTTAATTATGGCCCGATGTTTCGGATGCTTTGCATCAGCTGTGGTCACGGCGAGACATCCGAAACGTCGGGCCGTAGATAAAAATAATTCTCAAACAAGTTTAACTAAAATATGTCGCGTTTTACACCGTCAAAGTGTTTTATTTAAATTTCGCGTAAACTACAGACAGTATATATTCCTAAGGTTGAAATTGCGTTTATGACGTCATTGAACTACGGAAGATCGCTGAAATC